ACTTCTTTCTCCGTCTAGCCTCGAGACCTTGTCAACCCGATTATCAAGCACTTCGCGGAGAAGGTCCAGTTTCTTGCTGTTGACCGCACGGCGAACGCGAGTACCATTCATCTCATCGGATGGGATACTGTCATGATCCATTTCCTCACTGGCAGGACTGCTATCGTAAACCTCGCTTAGATAAGTCCTAACTGCGTCTCGATCCAGACCGAAAAATACCGGGACAAAGTCTCTGACGAAATTCATCACTTTCTGCGGGTCAGCGCCAAAACCCGCTGAATTATGGTCAACGTAACAGAGGATTAAATAGGTGGTATCGAGGATAACTTCGGAATCCGCAAAGGTATGTTTAAATTGGTAGCTGAGCACCGGGAATCCGCTTCGGCGAAGGGCTCTTGCTTCTTCAAATTTAGCTTGAACCTCCGCCTGGAAGTGCTTAGTCGTGAGAGTTTTCTTATCGTCCTTCTTGTTGATAGAAGACTGATGGTCAAGACTTCGCCAGTATCCCTTTTGCATCTGCTCCCGCCAGACCTTCTCCCACTCGCGCTTCAGAGACGTTAGTAAATTGCTCGGATAAGGATACATAATTTGATCTTACCTGGCTGAGCTTCCATTCTTCAACCTTTTGCTTCAGACGAGCAATGACGATAGGAAGAACCTGACTTGGGTTTGCGAATAGCTCATCTATAATGCGAAGGCCGTATTCTTTATCGTAAACTTTTTTGATAACTTTCTTATAAATCGTCTCGCTTTGCCCACCGAGTCCTGGTGGTAATTTAAAATTGGCTCTGTCTGACTCTGTCATAATTGAGATTTGTTGTAACAAAGCTTCCATGAGCTGTATGGTTCGAATTCCAGCCTCGATATAGTGGTCGTAATCATGACGATCTTCCTCGACCCTGTGCAGAGAATCTTCATGCTGGTTCTTTCGATGTGCAACGAAACCAGAATCTTCTGATGCCCATGTTGGATGCGATGCCCACTCATCGTTCAGAACACTTTGGCAGAGCTCGTCACGGCCGCTGCAGGGTTTCTGTCTCTCGAGTTTTGGAAGAAGCCGGTAACTAGGCCCAAGGGCTCGACAATGCGCAAGGTTGACAGTTCCAGATTCGTCCTTGGCCTTCGGCTCGATGATGTCGTCTTTTGGCTCTATGTGCATAAATCGCTTGAACCAATTCATTAACTCTTGGTTAGAGCCAATAAACCCTGCTGTTTTGTTAACAAGGACATTCCTGTCAATCAAGTCTGAAGAATACAAGTTGCACAGCTTGAGGAACTCGCTGAATATTTGTTTGTTGCCAATGAACTTCTTGACACGGTCAAAAAAGGCGTATTCTTCTTGAGATGCTGAGAGTGTAAAGGTTGGTGGGATGGGTTCTGGAGGTGCAGGCACAAGCGTGGGAGATATCGCAGGCGCAGCCTCAGGTGGTGCAGGCTTATGCGTAAGTTTCGTTCTCTGGTAAAATACCGTCAGCTTCCAAAATTTGCATGTAATGCGAACAACGACAGGCTGCGTGAAGAGACGCCGAGAAGAAGACGCCGAGAAGTGCGTCTGAAACATTAAAAAATAGGTGTACGTGCCAAAGTAGCCACACGTAGAAAGATACCTGCAAAGAAAGGAAAGGAAACAAAAACTGAACAGCGCCGGCCATAAAACCACCCAACCAAGCCAACCAAATATTAACAGGATAACAACAGTGTAGTCACGGGCAATTGTAGTTTCTAAAACAACAACAGATAGCTGGCATCCTGTTTCCGGCTGTTCATGGCAGAAAACCATTCAATGACAGAAAGTAAAGCATCCATCCACCTTTGCGTTCTTGAATTCACAGGCAAGATGCAGCAATAATCAAAAAGGCAATACAAAATCCTACTTAGCAAGACGTCTTACCTTGTTGACATTTCCAATTTGGGATGCTTGAACCTTGCTTGCCGGTCCTCCGACAGAAGTTTCCATTGGGCCAGGGGCGCCGATCGACGTCGCACCAGCTTGCGCACCAGGACCGCCGCGCCGCTTCTTGCTTTCCTTTGCCGAATCCTTAACGCTGAACTGACCCAGAGGCGGCATCTTGACAGTGTCCCTAGAGGACTGGCCCTGGAGGGCAGCAGAGCTATAACCAGGCTCTCCGCGAACGTTGCTCACAGAAATAGGAACCTCATCTTGGCGGCCTTGCCCTTGAACCTTCGCTTGGGCTGCCGATTCGGGAAGAAATTGCTTGAAGTCTTCCAAGAGATCAGGGGCAGAGTTGAACAGAACGGTCACCTGCGCATACACATCCTGGATCGGCTTTGATTCCCTTTGATAGGTCTGCAAAATCTCGAGGAACTGCTTGTATATCTCAGGAGAGTCCGCAAATCGATTCTGTTTGACCCCACATTAGCACATGGCCGCATCATTTTAGCTTGGAGGCAAAGGAAACTCACCTTGATTTTGTTAACGTAGCTGATTGCATGATTAAATTCGACGGGGCCTCGTCGAGTAGCCTCGTTCTGAGTTCCTTGAAGAACACCAGAGCCCATTCCTGCCAATGAAGTCGCGGGTTGATTAGGGCCAGGTGTCTGGCTGCCACCGGGAGGAAGTTGCATCATCGATCGCCCGGCGCCTCCAGTCGCGACAGAGACGGCGTTCTGCAACTGAGACACTCCGCGCTGTTCTTGTTGATGGAGCAGAGCAGCATTTGTTGCCGGGGTAGGCTGCTCATGCTGGCTCTGATACTCGTATGAACCTTCGTGGTGCTGACCCTGTGCACCCTGCTGGCCATACTGAGGTGGAACCATTCTGCCACTTGGGGAATAAGAGCCAACAGCACCAGGCATTGGGCCCTGCTGAGGTTGCTGTTGTTGCTGTTCGTGTCCCGGCTGCCACCCTGGACGGGATTGCTCAAAATACTCTGTGCGACTCGGAGGAATTAAACCCCCACTTTGTCCAGGTTCAGTGGTAGCCTCCAAAGCTGGACGGCCCGCAGACATGGAGATAGTATTCGTTCCAGAGGGTGTGGTGACCCGAATCGCGTCCGGATTGTCGTCTGGCCCACATTCAATCCTATACCCGGGTGGGAGGAAGGTATTGAATCCTTGAATAAGAGTGGGATGTCCGTTGAAAAGAGTCGAGACGCGTTGGATAACTCCAGGCGTGTCAATGCTGCGAGGTTGGTTAGAGAAGCAAAGCTATATATCTTAGAGTAGGCTGGTCACTCACGCTTGGCTTTTAAAATCTTTCATGATGTCAAGAAACCGATTGTAAACATCCGGGTGCTCGACGAATCGGACCTTGACCTGATCAAGGTAGCTGAGAGCGTCCTGTGGATTCGGCGCCATCAGTATCGACGTCACAAAGCTGTTGTGGTGCCAAAGAGTGTGAGGAAAAAAAAATTTTTTTTTTTTTTTTGTTGGTATGAAGAAAGAATTTTGAGGATGTGTTCAGGGTAGATGTAAATGTTTGGAAGACAGAGTTTTCAAAACAATGCCATGTCAACAGTTGAGGAATTTGTCGGCAGCAAAATATAGCATGTTCTGGAAAGCTCGCCGAGAAGGTCATCATGAAGGACCACAGCGGGCCAACTTTGTGAACAATTTTTCAAAATTTTCTTTCAAAATATAAGGAAGAGCAACAGATTTTATATCTTAATGGTACCACTTTTCACATTTAAAAAGGTGACGTGAACCCAAATATCTCTTCTCCAGGAGTAGTTAAGATGACTTACATTAAGTATAGGTTGCTGGCCTTGCGCCAATGCGGCAACACTCCCTGGGATCTGCGATGGCGCATTCCCACCAAATAACAGGGACTGAGATTGGACGGGCATATATTGTCTTGGTGGTCCATCTGGATGCTGCATCTGGCCGCCGAACAGACCTCCTGGGACGCTAGAACCCTGAAGAGCACTCTGGGGTGCATTTGGGCCAGTGGTCGCACCAAGATTCGAAAGCAATCCGTTAGGACCATGGATCGAATTTTGAACTTTGGAGGCGACGGGCTGATGTATTGGAATGGAGCCAGTGTGGCTTTGAACGGGATGATGTTGCTGCTGTTGCTGTTGTTGTTGCTGTTCGCGATGGTACCGCTCTGCATGCTCGCGGTCCCTTTCGCGAATCTCACGCTCCCGTTGCATAATCTCCTCCTCTCGCTGCATTTCGCGCTGTCTCTCGAGAATGTCCCTGTCCCTGTCCCGAGATTCTCTCTCTCTATCTCGGTTGATAGATGACTGCGGTGAGGAATGCTGGATCGATTGACTAATGCCGGGAAGGGAATGTGAACCCCCCAGGGATGGTTGTTGATGTTGCGCGTATCTTGGCGGCTGCTGATGTGATGGAGGTGGTACATTGGCACCTTGCGTCAGGTCTGCTAGAGTGGGAAGTGTGTGGCTAGAAGGCTGGCTAACTGCATGATAGGGGCCTATTCGTTGAGAAGAATTAGTGAAGAGTGAAGCAATGCCACGGCATGCATTTTGAACAAGCCAGCAGTGAAAGCGGCAAATGGAAATCTCCACAGATGAAGCTATGCAACATCGCAAAGAAGAAGAAGATTCTCACTATTTGATCAAAGAATGTTAGCGCAACGTTTGAAGTCCCGGACGAGGGGTGGGAACGGTACCCATAGCCGAGAGGCCTGTTCGACTGCTGCCCGAGCTGTTCTACTGCAGGATGCGGCTGCGGACCGCTAGCCCCTGAATGCCATCCATCTTTGTTGGACGGATTCATGACGATAGAATGATGTCTCGCTGAGTTTACAGAAGCGACAGGCAGGCAACCGGTGGTCCAGCGGAGTGAGAGGAGAATGCGGTATGGTGTCTAATTGCCCGTCTCTCAAGAAGAAAGCGTTTTGCCAAACAGACGAAGCGAAGATTAAAATTACATGGCAGACGCCAGGAAGACAAGACACTTGCGATAAGGATAGCACTCTCTTGAAGAGAAAGAAGTGGTAGAGAGGAGGTAAAAATCTCGGAGACAAGGCGTTACGGTAGACAGCGCAAACGGTGACGTGAACTGAGGTAAGGAGGTCAATCTTTTCTGCCGGCTGAGCTTTTCCGCATCCAGCCTAGCACGGCCCAGTCTTTGAGGCGTCTTTTAGCTCCCAGCGTTACGCCGGAAAGTCGGCCCCACATGGCTGCGGCTGTCCAATCAGGAGCTTGACTCTTCTGTGATGAGGTAATAAGGCGGTGAGACCAAACTCGGCAATTTGGCCCGTCCTGCCTCTTTGTTTGCTGGACGGCTTCGCCAGGCACGGGTGGCTGGAAAGTGACCCCCTCACAACAGGAACATGCATAATGAGCTTGCATCGCCCGACTTATATTCCCCAGGCCATTACGGAGTACTCTGTACACCTTCTCCTGCTTCAATAGCCACTGTTTGTCCCATGTCACGGGATGTTGAAACAACTTAAGCAGATTCTTTTGAATCCACACATCACAACAATGATGCATCCACACCATTACACACATGCAGATTTTGCTCCATGACTCCAGAGTACGGAGTACTTGCATACATAAATACATGTGCACTTCAACCGGAGCAAGTGGATGTCTCCCTATTTCCCAGTTGTATTGTTATGAACCCTACTGCAGAAGTAACCATGTATTCCATGTTGTGAGGGCATCTCGGTTTATGCAGCCGACACCAAGAAGAAATTAAACTAAAGTGGGCTGAGGTTCTTCGGTATATTGGCGTGGAGCTTCAGCAGCTACTCTGTGTGTAGTTAACTACCACATGACGGAGCTATTCTCACCTCATGGAGCAGGTGGCAAATCAATCACGACAAAAACGTGGCCTGAGGATCTTCGAGGACTTCCAGCTCCGAAAACGCTACCTATGGCTCGCCTGTTGAGTCGTATCGGTGCTTAATAGCGAATTCGACAAACACTCTCTCTGTGTTTTGGGGGGGGGGGGGGGGAACACAAACTCTGGCCATTCGGAAAGGCAGGCATCTGAATCTTCGTGAGAAGGAATGTGTTAGCCCGCAAGACGTTCAGACTAGAGTTCTACGGAGGAGTTCTTCAACGGCACACGCGGGCGCTTCTTCCTGGACGAGCAAGAGCAAATGTCGAGGCGTCATGTTCAATTTAATGTCAATGAACTTGCTCAAGTTGCAGCAAGGCCAGTCGGCGCGAACTGCTGGACAAATATCAAGAGGTGTGCCGATGGCATGTTCAACAAAGCATATATCTTTACACTTGACGATGGCAGGCAGGTAGTTGGCAAAGTTCCTAATTCAAATACCAGAGTACCTCACTCTACTGCTACTAGGGAAGTAGCAACTATTGACTTTGTGAGTTTGGATACCTACTTCAAATGTTCTCCTTTGCCTGATTACTTCAATAAAACACATAATCTGTTGAAGTCTCCGGCACCGACAGTGTATGCGTGAAACTCTCAAACCAATATTGATAATACTGTTCGAGCCGAGTATCTCATTATGGAAAAATTTGATGGAATCAAACTCGGACTTATTTGGCCCTCAAAGACACCAGTAAGATGAAGGTCTTCCTGTAAATCTTTGACCATCAGAGGGCATGGATTGCGATGAAATTTAGTATATTTGGGAGCCTCTACTATATAGATGATGTGGATGGACCATTTGAGCAGCCCCTCTGCGTTGAACAGCCGTCAGTGTGTAAGGGTTGGTCGACTCACTGTTGGCCCAGCCGCAGCCCGAGAATGTTTCGATGAGGAGATAAAGCAAGACGTGTGAAAAATAAAGGAGAAATTCGCAATCGAGCGAACTCACTCTGATGAAGAACGGAAATTTCTCGAGTAAATTTGGCCGTTTGATGATTGAGGTAGGACATGATTGCACACGATGCTTTTCCACAAAAATGGATCTATGGGTAGCATTTCACCAGGTTTTCAACTAGGAGAGCAAGTGATCGCTAGGTTCGGGCTCCGATGCGTTTATCACATACTTGGTAGATGTAATAGCTACTATCAGGGCGAAGGGTATGCGATGGGCCACGCGAGTAGGGCGATGGATTCCAAGCTCCGCTGCATTACCCATCCACACAATCATCCTTGTCATGTGTAAGTGAGACCTTTCTCTGTCTTGTCAGAAGCTCCTGGGAAATAGCTTCATTTTCCTTTTCCACTACTATGATTCAAAAAGACTGCGCTGGGTCATCCTAGCTTGGATGCTTGCATGGCTCTTCAAAGACACAAAGGAGAATGAAATAAAGCTAAAATGAAGGGTGAGCAAGGGATTCTAGGAAAGGCATGATTTGGGACATTCTTGACAGTGGTCCAGTGATTTCTGCACATTTGTATTGAACTCGACGATTCTTCACTTGAAACTTTTCAACTTCCTCACGGCTATACTTCAAGATGCAAGCTACATTTTGAAAATTGCAGTTTCCCGGTCTAACCCTAGATCGACCAGAATTGCATCTTGCTACTAATAGGTCCAAGGTGGTTAAAGCAGCCTGCCTCCAGTGCTTCTCCAGGACTTGTTGCTGCCAAATCGATATTTTGGGGAGAGCTCATATAAATCCCTTTAGGCTATTAAGAGGCAATAATCCTTTCACATCATCCTGTCGCACATGATGGGAGGATATGAGCAGGGAATGATTAGAGGAGCATTCCTTTGACCCAATAAACCATGATCTGATCATCCTATTCATTGATGGTACGGAATAGGTAGTAATGATCTTGATGTCTGATCCACTGCATGGCTTGCATGTGAATCCTGAACCCAGAAATCCCATTTCACATGCGCCAGAGTCAAAAGTGTTAGAGTTCAATGGGCCAATGCGGGAATAAACCAATGGGACAACAGGCAATCGTGAGTTAGCTCATGGAACTAAGACAAAAGTCATCGATGCACGGGATGGCACCCAGCAGTTCTGCCCGCTGAATGAAGCCGCGATATCTCGCAACTGTAGGATGAAGTAGGCCAAACAGGGGACAGCGAAGCTACCGTTTCGATAGCCGGACCTCAGGGAATTTTCTCTCCCTGGGCTGATCACGGAGTACTTCCTACCCCAGACCAGACACAAGAAACAAAGGGCTAAGAGATTGTACCGCGGTTGAATGTCATCATGGTGGGCTGCAACTCAGCTGGTGTGATTGGCCCAGGCAGACGCTCCGAAACCCGGGGTGAATTGCGCTTGTATCCATTCGCCGGCGATGATGGAATTACGTGCGCTCCCAGTGGCCAGAACGGGCGGCGGTGGCCAGCAGAATCGGAGTGGGCTGTAACTTTACGGGCCCGTTTCGCTGTGTGGAGATACCTCGGCCGAGATGGAGGCCCGCTGGGTCGTTACGGAGTACCTCGAACTGCGGGAGAGCTAAATCAAGGCCACCCTCTTCCTCTTCCTCTTCTTAACTGCCCGTTCCTGTCGTCTTTCACTGCTTCGTTCTCCCCCCGATCTCTTCCTCTCCCTGGTTGTGCTATCTACGTTTACTGCAATAGACCTTTTACATTCCCTATCATCAGCCATGGCCACTCCACAGAGAGTTATCGTCGTCGGGGGTGGACGTACGTCTTTTCCCTCTCTGCGGGCTGTTTCCGCTTCACATGTCGAGCAAAGAGCTGACCCATTTTGAACACAGTGTCCGGTTTGAGTGCTGCTCATACAGTCTACCTAAATGGCGGCAACGTACTCGTCCTCGATAAGCAGAGTGAGTGCCTTTCCGACTGTGCTTGCTTTTAATCCGAGACGTGTTGCTGACCCGGCTCCCCCCGCAGGTTTCTTCGGTGGCAACTCCACGAAAGCCACCTCCGGTATCAACGGAGCCCTCACGAGAACACAGATCGAACTTGGCATTGGCGACAGTGTCAAGCAGTTCTACGAAGACACCCTGAAGTCCGCCAGAGACAAGGCTCGCCCAGATCTCATCAAGGTTCTCACATACAAGTCCGCTGCGGCCGTCGAATGGCTCCAGGACGTCTTCGACCTCGACTTGACCCTCGTATCCCGCCTTGGGTAAGTTCTTGTACAATTCGCCTCAGGCTGCTTACATATTTTACTAACGGGAGGATAGTGGCCACTCATTCCCCCGTACCCACCGTGGTCACGATGCCAAATTCCCTGGAATGGCGATCACATATGCGCTCATGCAGAAATTGGAAGAACTCACGGAGAAGGAGCCCAACCGTGTACAAGTGCTGAAGAAGGCACGAGTTACCGGAATCAACAGGGAGGGTAACAAGGTCACCGGTGTCACCTACGAGTACAACGGCGAGTCCCACTCCGCCGACGGTGTTGTCGTCCTGGCCACCGGTGGATATGCCGCCGATTTCACAGAAAACTCTCTCCTAAAGAAATGGCGACCAGACACTTTCAACCTCTCCAGCACAAACGGCGTTCACGCCACTGGTGATGGACACAAGATGTTGATGGCGATTGGTGCCAATGATATTGATATGGACAAGGTCCAGGTTCACCCAACTGGTCTTGTCGATCCCAAGGATCCTACTTCCAAATGGAAGTTCTTGGCTGCTGAAGGTACGTTGTATTCAAATAGCTCTCTGTGGATAAGGCTAACCGTGCTATAGCTCTTCGTGGTGAGGGTGGTCTCTTGCTCAACAAAGACGGCCAGCGGTTCGCTGATGAACTGGGTCATCGTGATTACGTCTCCGGCGAGATGTGGAAGGAGAAGGAGAAAGGAAAATGGCCTATCCGTCTTATTCTCAACAGCAAAGCTTCCAACGTCCTTGACTTCCACACCCGCCACTATTCTGGCCGTGGTTTGATGAAGAAGATGACCGGAAAGGAACTTGCGAGAGAGATTGGCTGTGGAGAAGCCGCATTGAAGAAGACCTTCGATGACTACAACCAGATTGCCGAAGGCAAGAAGAAGGATCCATTTGGCAAGAAATACTTCCACAACTTGCCCTTCTCCGTTGATGACACATTCCACGTTGCTGTGATGGAGCCCGTTCTTCACTTTACCATGGGTGGTATTGAGATCAACGACAAGGCTCAAGTCCTCAACAAGGAAGGCAAGCCATTCGATGGCTTGTTTGTCTGTGGTGAGCTTGCAGGTGGTGTCCACGGAGCTAATCGTCTCGGTGGCTCTTCTCTCCTCGGCTGTGTCGTCTACGGCCGTGTTGCCGGTGACTCGGCTAGCGAATATCTCTTCCAGCAGGTGCTTTCCAACCCTGGTGCCACTGCTCAGTCTCGCTTGAACCAAATCTCCCTCCACATTGACCCTTCGCAGCCTGGTAAGATTTCTGTCGAGTGGACTGCTCCTGGCGACGGCAAGGGCCAGGGCCAGGTTCAGGCCCAAATCTCCGCCCCAAAGGCCGATGCATCAGCGACTCCCGCCCCCGCCGCGGCATCCACGCCTGCTGAAGCAGATATCTCCGATTTCAAAGTCCCAGAGAAGGAATTCACCATGGAAGAAGTCGCTAAACACAACAAAAAAGACGACCTCTGGATCGTCGTCAAGGGTGTCGTGATGGATGTTTCCAACTGGCTTGACGAGCATCCTGGTGGTGCTCAGGCTCTGTTCAGCCATATGGGCAAAGATGCTACCGAAGGTACGCTAAACCTGTGAAACCAATTCTGCTAATTGCGCGTTGGCCATGCTGACTTAATCCTCAGAGTTCGAGATGCTCCATGACGATGAAGTCATTCCCAAATATGCCTCTCAGATCGTTATCGGACGTGTAAAGGGACAGACCCCAAGCTTGAAGTTTTAGAACAAATCGCCCTCCTGACTCTCCATAGACGACCACCTCCCCTCCCTTCTTTATCCGACCAGACTGGGATTTCTTTCTGCCTAATTTTCCATTTTCCTATTTCGGACATGCGTGTATTATCCCACAATAACGGAATTTGTTTTTTACTCTTTTTAGTTACGATATTGCATTGTATAGCCTTTTTTTCCTTGGGGCGGCTTCTCTTGGTGTAAACAGCCTTTTGTTTCTAAGAATTTATCTCTCGATTTTGTTCGAAATTTACTGGGTATATCTAGTCTACTGTACAGTAGCTGCATTAACAACCCGTAGCCATCGGGGGGCATTGATATATACATATAAAATCCAGTTAGAACACCCGGCCCGTATGTGCGCAATTTATATACATCTCTAGATATCGACCAAAGCGAGCAAAAAGATAATTTATGTATCCGGTCAAGTTCCAACAGGACTCTTTTTCTCTCTCAGATGCGCCAAGATCATCCCCAGCCTTCTCACAGCCGGGCCTCCATACACACCGCCGTCGCCAGTACCCGGGTCTGCACCTTTTTCCCTCCGCTCCTCAACCTCCCTCCTAGCTTCTTCGGTGTATGTCTTCAGCGCACCGCCCCAGACGGCGTCTGTATATGAAACGTCGAGGTCCAGCCACTCGGAGACTGTGGGGATGGACGAAAGTTCCTCTGGAGGGAGGGAGAGGAGAGATTGGATCTCGGGGAGAAGGGAGACTGGCGGGAGCGGTTCTGTGCGCAACGCAGGAGATATGAATGTGGAGTCGGGGATGGGGGCGAGGGTTGGGGATGGAGGGACGGAGGAAGGGGTTAAGGGGTCGAAGGATGGATCTGAAAGGAGGGAGAGGACGGCTGAGCCGTCGGTTGTTTCGGTTGCCGGGTGGGAATTTGGGTTAGCCTGGGAGGGATGAGACCAAGCTGACTCAAAAGCGACTGAGGACGGGAAGTGCTGGAGAGGTGGTGGGTTTGTGTCTTCGGCGATAAGCTTGCCTTTGCCCTTTCCGATATTGTCTTCTGGTGAGAATAAAAACTCCTCCCGATTCAATTGTCCTTCGAATGACCTTAGCAGATCGGCATTTTCCTGGTCGGTTGTTGCAGATGTCAAATTCGACCGGAACGACTCAGATCGTAGACTGGAGCCACCGATCGGGTGTATGGCCGAGGTTGAAGGTGCGCTTCGTCCGCCGGCGGATCGCAGTGAATCGTTTATCACGCCATGACTGGATTGTTGACCGGCAAACGGACCACCCTGTGAAGAACCAGGTTTCCCGGAATTGGCCAAGCTCCCAGAAAGGCCTGATGCGAGGCTGTCGCTCAAGGAGGGTGATCGGGTGTTGAGAAAGGTGTTTTGAAGGAGGCCGGAGGCAGAGAATTGAATCCGGTCAGCAAGGGACTTCCCCGCGGGGGCTGGTTGGGCGGGAGAATTATTATCTGAATCAGAAATCACAGATTTTGGAGGGATATCCTGGTTACTCCCTCTCTCGTCCGGTGGCACAGGCCGTTTTCCATCCATTGTTCGAGTCGGTGGAATGCTTGTTCCCCCCGGCAAAATCACTGTTAACTAGTATCTATGATAGATGCCAGAAGCTCATCTCACGGCATTTTCCGATTCCTGAAATTAACCCAGGCTCGAAGAGAACGCGATGACAGGGAGAACAATCACCGCAGCGATGTGAAATTTTCGGGTCTGATGATGCCTGCGTACGGTTTGCCTCGACTGCGGGCTGTCAAGGATGGAATGGATGGTCTTGGTAGGGCTGGAGTCGCTGCATGTGAAGATTGACCTCAAGAAGCGGGCGATCGTCGGCCGGTACCTGCTGGCTACTAGTTAACTAAGATCAGTGAGTTTAGTTAGATAAGCGCCCTTGTTAAAGCAGCCTTGCAAGTTGTGTATCATCGCTGGGAGACGTCGCAGGCGGAAGAAGCTCTCAAGCAATGGAGCAGTTCACTGAATATCTCCATAACACACCCTGCTGCTTTGGACAAACTGTGCGGTCATCACTGAGAAATGCACATTTAGTATTTAATGCGTGAGAACTACAGTGTAGCTCGCACAGGGAGAGGTATGTACCTCTATAAGTAGCTTGTTGGTGCATGACTTCTCACATTTTTCCCTTTTTTTTAACGATTTTTTTTTTCTCAATTTTGCCCACTCTGTCAGCAAGAGAAGGGCATTTACCTAGAAGTCGACTTTCTCTGCTTTCTGTTGCGAACCGACAGCTTTGTTGTTGTCTGGTGCTCTGCAGCTTGTTACATCACAGAGTTGTGACCAGGTTTGGCGCTTCCCTCTCTCTCTGCCTCTCCTCGTCTGCTTCCAGCGACGGGATCCGCACTTGTTTTCTTTCCCCCCCAAACCGGCACCTCTCCCCTCCATCGATCCCAGAGTACCAACACCACCACCACCACCACCGCCGCCGCCGCCGCCATCGCCGGAGCATCACCATACACTCCACTCCCCTCCTCAATCCTGATTTCTTTTTCTCCTCTTTTCAGTATCTTCTGTGGCTCTTTTTCCCGTTTTCTGCTTCCTTCTCAGCATCGCGTGCCTTGTCTTTTTTTTTCCTCTCCCATCCTCCTCCTTCTACAGCCGTCATCATCCTTTCTATTTCTTAGCTTCAGATTTCAGCAAAATCCCATCCCACTGCTCCTCTGCCGACGAAACCTCTCCCTTCTTCATTACCTGTAAGTTAGAAAAATGCATTCTTAAAACGCGACCTTCTCCTGCTACTCTGGTCACCATCCCGTCACTATCCCGTCACTTGTCTTGGAAGCTTCCCGTCACCTCCATATCCTGATGTGAGCTGGTTGTCAAGTGTCCAATTACCCACATCACATCACTCACTTATAACAATAACCTCCCTCTCCTCCTCTCTTCTATTGGAGCCCTACTTTCTAACTTGTGCTTAAGCTAATACTGTCGGCGCACGCAGCATTCATCTTCAGACCGAACTCCTTCAGACCGAACCACCTCAGATCGAAATCACTTGAGACCGAAGTACATCAACTGAACCCTCCTACCTTTGGTTTGTAGAACGTATCCCACCTTATATAATTCCTTATAAATCCCACATCTTCTCACCGTGTGGAAAAGTTTCTGCTTTGCAGCTGTCCCCTACAGTTTCAAGCACACCATCCACTCTTGCGGTGGGATCTTTAATCAAGTTTGCCTGCTTCATCTTGCTACCTAAAGGTCAGGTAGCGGCTAGGAAAGATGGTTGACGGGGATCCAGGTTCGCCAACCTGGAAGTTTACACAGTACGTCTTGAATTCTGCTGGCAGAGCCTGTATCGCAGCACACAGCAATGCTTCTGTGGCAGCTCTGTCTGGCTATGCTGTGAGACCCGCCACTGATTGTTAACTAGATGTTTTGGAGACAAGGGCGACGTTGAAGATATCACTGAAGGTATACAAACGCCCATCGCGCATTGAATCACATTGTTGCTATTACTCCATTTGTCACTCCTCGCTTATATTTCTTTTACCTTGCCTATAGCCGATATCATTTCCACCGTCGAGTTCGATCATACGGGTAACTATTTGGCGACTGGCGACAAGGGAGGTCGAGTGGTTCTTTTCGAGAGGAATGAAACTGTATGCGTTCCCCACGCCTACGTTGTCGTTTCGGGGTTGAATAGGGTGACTGACGTTGCTGGTCTAGAAAAAAACATGCGAATACAAGTTCCATACCGAATTTCAGTCGCACGAGCCGGAATTCGATTACCTCAAGTCCTTAGAGATCGAAGAGAAGATCAACAAAATAAAATGGTGCAGACGGCAAAATGCTTCTCATTTCCTCCTTTCGACGAACGACAAGACTATAAAGCTGTGGAAGGTGTTTGACAAGTCGCTCAAGGTGGTTGCAGAGAATAACCTCTCCCATGACCTTACCCCAGGCAGCGCTGTTGGTGGAGGGGGTATCCCGCGACCACCGCACATTTCATTCAAGGACGCATCGGCCCTCAAGTTACCCCGTATGACGCACCATGATACCGTAGTTGCGGCAGTCCCACGGCGTATCTACGCTAATGCACATGCCTATCACATTAATTCCATATCGGTCAACAGCGATGGGGAGACATTCATCAGCAGCGACGATCTACGTATCAACTTGTGGAATTTGAATATCCAAGACCAGAGTTTCAACATTGTCGATATCAAGCCAGCGAATATGGAAGAATTGACTGAGGTTATAACTGCTGCAGAGTTCCACCCTATCAGCTGCAACTGGTTCATGTATGCTAGTTCCAAGGGAACGATCAAGTTGGCCGATATGCGGCAGCGCGCTTTGTGCGATGAGCATGCAAAACGTACGTACTCTTCTAACCACCTTGGAATATTGTTTATCTTTCTATGCCAATGGAATACACCTGTGCTCACATTTGATTTTGTTCACCCGCAGAATTTGAACAAGAAGAAGATGTGTCTTCTCGATCTTTCTTTTCTGAAATCATCTCTTCCATCTCTGATGTTCGGTTCTCTCACGACGGCCGCTATATCGTTTCCCGCGACTACCTCACTGTGAAGATCTGGGATGTAAACATGGAACGTCAACCTGTTAAGACAATTCCGATCCACGAGCATCTACGCCCGAGGCTCTGCGACACGTACGAAAATGATAGTATCTTTGACAAATTTGAAGTAGTCTTCTCCGGCGATGCCAATAATGTGATGACTGGAAGTTACAACAACAACTTCATGATTTATCCAACAGACCCAAGCCAGGAGACCGAGGTTGTCCTCCAGGCTGATAAGACCGCGTTCAAAGCGAAGAAGGTGGGCGTTCCAACTCCCATTAACTCTTCGATTTCGACAAATGCTGGTAAGAAGGGTGGATCAAGAGCCGGCAGTCCTGCTGGAATTGGAGGACGCATGCGTAAAGAGACAGATGCAGATCAAATTGATTTTAACAAGAAGATTCTGCACATGAGTTGGCATCCATTTGAGGATAGCATTGCTATCGCTGCAACAAACAATGTAAGTTCCCATTCCAACAACCATCACTGCTATTTCACATTCAAGATGCTAACTCCTGCGCCGTTCACAGTTATTTGTATTCTCAGCTTTGTGAAGCATGCAAAGCACATATTGTATCTAAGCCAACTTTACAAAATCGCAGCCCTCCGGAAATGCCATGGTATCCCCTCTTCTTCACATGCATATTCATTGAACCCAAAACTCCCTCTACTCTGCCTCTCATTTCAATCAGATCCGCATTGTGGCCATGGAATAGGAGCATGCGCGCATTGGTTTAAGAGAGGAAAAATAAAAAATTTCTTGCATAGATAGCCATGTTGCTTTGTACCCTAACACATGCGCCTACACTTACTCTTGCCTTTTCTTTTTTTTTACAATTCAAGGGCCATTTTGCAACGGACGGTTGAAGATAAATAGCTTGATTGGCGCCGGAAATTGTGCATAATCGCTTGGACGGGGATTTCGGAGAGATTGAAAAGGAGACAAAAACAATACTGGGGATGTTCTTAAGGGCAGATCAAGAATGGATTGGTTCCTTGGATATTGACAGATGCCGAAGGGTCAACTAGTTCGAAAGGTTTGACAGAGGCTGATAAGGCATGGATGGGTGGATTGATGGATCGATAGCGGGAAACTAATGAATACACCCCTCCTCTGATTGAGGAGTCCCTCTTGCCCCTATTTCATGGCCTTTGGAAAAAAATTTTAAGTTAGCTGCTTTATTACCGGTTAATTGGGATTGTGATAGGCAGTTTAAGAAGCTAGACTGTGTTCCTTAAATACAATCTAGGCTTCAACAGTGGAAATCTATGATATCATCTATATTCATTTGTCAAACCCCACGCAGATTTGTCGATCTCGTCGTCTTGATACTTTTAGCCCTTCTGAAGACTGAAGATAGTCCCTGACATCAACCCTTTCACCGTCCATATGTGGTTGTTTATAGCCATGAAAAGTAAAAGAATGGTTAGCGCTGTAGACCAGACATCGAAAGCGGGAGATTTCATGATCTTGCCGAGCATAATGGCTGCGTTTGTGTAGACTCCCTATTTTGTTTTTCTCTTAGCATGGCCTTCATTCAATCTTTAGATTGTGAAATGCAGACTAGATGCGACAGGATAACAATAGTTAGTTACTAACCCATGGAAAGACAAGCGACCAAGCGCCCAGTGTGAAGCTTGTCGCTCTCAAACCACCCGACTGCGCGAGAAGAGAATGCACGATGCTTATGATGGATAATGCCCACCAGAATGTGCCGAAGCCCCAGGATAGCAGGCCCGCGAATTGGCTGGTGACTCCCACCGTGGGCGCGGAGTTTGCGGTGAGGAATGTGCCCCGGTCATACGACGCGAAGCTTCCTCGCTGGACGACCTGGCCTAGCATTTGCAACGCGAAGCTTGCCTGGCCGAAGGGTCCGCAAAGGATCATGGTTTGATAGATCTCTTTCGTTGCCGGGAATGCTCGGTCGAATAGTCGAGCAAGGTAGATCGTTTCTAAACAGACAGCGAGAGGTAATCCGATCCCGATCTCTAGGTAGGAGACGATGATCATGGGCACTTGTAGCCGTGCGCTGATCGCACCATATCGGCAAATCACTCCCGCTCCGGCGGCGGATGTCAATGCAGCGATGAGCGGTAACAGAGTCGCCGGAGGAACACCTTTGATCCCGGGCGGCTGAACCTGAACGTAGATGTAGGGTATACCCAGGACAGCGAGCACGGCGAGAGCGGTGTTGATCCACCACAGGACGAAGGCGACAATTCCCCAGGCAGAGCCCCATTCTCTTACCACAGTCAATGCAACCATTTGTATGATCGACGTGAAGGCGATTGAAATGCTCGCCAGGCACGACGTTTCCAGGATGCTATGTCGTAATTGGTACGCGACATGTCGGGGATAGAGCAGGATGCGGAGGACGTATAAACCCAGACATGAACCAAGCAAGACAATCGTGTAAACCCAGACGATCTTGGATATTATTTCCAGCCCGCGGAATTGGTAAGGAAGTTGGTGGAGGATTACGGCGATGATGCCCATGCCTTGCGGGACGAGGAACCATTGTGACGAGAACATGAAGAGGGCATATGCCAGCCCAGAAGTAGGGCGACGAGGCTGGCTGCGCTGAGGAGGTTCGAGGGGATCGAAGGCTCTGCGAGTGGTGCCATTATGTGCCTCTCTCGTCCCTGAGACGTTTTGTCGTTGGCGGGGAACGTGGTTCTGCATCCTCAGGGTGTTAGGAGGAGGTCAATTGAGTTGGAAATTGACCTGGATCACATCATGAGCGGCTACTTCAGATGCGCAGCGCGTTACATTCATTCCGTCCATCCTGCAAAGAGGAGAAATCATCCTTAACTACTGCGTATACGGGCGATGAGCAATGCCCTCACTGCTGGGCATGCATGGTGGTACAGCAGCAAGCCGTTTTTGTCTGACGTCAGGCTGGACGACCCTCTTCTTTCGCCACACCCCACGTTAGTCAATGGACTACGGAGTACTCCGTAGTTAGTTAGTCATTACAGGTAGATCCCCGCTATAGCGAACCCCCATACAACGAATTCCCCTATATAACGGATGAAATCTCTTCCCAAATTTGAATCTCCCTACTCCGTACAAAATTCGTTAATCCCCGATAAACTGAAATTCGCTAACTATTTTGAATATTTTATAGGCAATTCATTATAACAAGACCCAATGCCACACCAAACTGCTATTCTAATTGAGTGAAAGAAGGCCCTCCAGGCTCACAAGCTGCAGTATTCAAGCCTCAGCAACAAGGCTTTGAAGCAGTGGTTTGAGCAACACTATAATCAAACCATTGCTCTATCCTCTGTCTCCGAGATTCTATCGTCATGTTATGATTATCTTGATCAGACTGCCTGCCGCTCAGAGCAGAAGTGCTACTGTTGCGAGCACTGGCCTGAGCTTGAAACAGCTCTTTACATGTGGATTCAACAGGCGGAGAACCACATCCCTATCTCAGGAGAGATGATTCAGCATAAAGCAGAGTTCTTTTGGAAGAATCTGTCAGTCTACAAAGACTGTGAGATGCCAGCATTCAGCAATGGTTGGCTTCACCGATTTCAGTCCCACCGATTACGCCTTCGGAGGCTCTAGATCTAGTTAAACGGCTCCGGCTGTACGAAGAGCAGCAAGATCAGGGAGATCAACAGCTAATTTGGCAGCTCAACAGCTACGAGAGCAAAATAGCAGCAAGAAGGCTTCAAACTCAGCAGCAGCAAGATATTCGTGCCTATTTTCAACGCGCACCCCCTATATAGCGAATTCCCCTATATAACGAATCGAACAAGCTTCCAAATTTAAATCGCTATAGCGGGGATCTACTGTACTCCGTAGAGACAGTTCCATCGGTTAGGCCGCAATTCTCCAAGAAATATGGAACTAGGCCAGCTAGTAAAGCCCTGCGAAATTCCACCGGGCTAAGCAAATGTTCTCCAGTCTCTGAATTACTTGATTCCTGGCCTACAAGACATCTTAGACGCGCCCTCTGTGTGAAGCGTGTGCCTCTTGCTACAAGAATACAAGAAATGGTATAGCGTACAGATACTTTTTACACCACCGTGCAATGGATCTCTGCTGATGAATGAGACTCTACGGGAGCCAGTGCCTTTTCACTCCAGAGGGATACTTAGTCATTTCATTCATTATGTCATTACGAAGTAACTGGGTCCTGTGCCCAGGTGTGAGAGAGAAACACCTTGTTCCATCTTCAAGAATCTACATGGGTTCAGGCCATTCAGTGGACCATCTGTGCCGCTGCAAATTCCTGCATTGTAGAAAGCGGTTAGTGTTAAGTAGCTCAAAGGGATATCCAAAATAGACTTACAGGGAACTCGTCCATGATGGAGGCGGCGACTTTTTCCACTTCATCCGTCAAATGTTGCACGCCAGCGTCCCATATCCTTAAGCTCCTCCCCTCCGTGTCCGTAGGCCCAACGCCATCTACTCCTGACTTAAAGTAGATGACACCCGCGATCTGATCAATATTCCCCTCAAGTCGACCCTGTTCTACCATTCGGGCAGCGTATACCTCCGCCCTCTCGCCAGCGCTCATATCTCCGCTCGCTTCGAGGCCAAGAATGGACGCTAAACTATCCACATGGATATTTTCATATAGCCGACTTGCCGCGAGCAGATTATGCTCGATAACCGCCTTGTCAAGAACGGTTGACCCATCCGCTGTCTGTGCAAGCTGGTGAGGAGCCAATTTTATCGAAAAAGCTTTCACTTCTTCCGGGGTAAGGAGATGATCCCTGAATATCTTCTCTAGGATGCTGTGTTCCTCTAGTGAGGAGGATCGATCATCCTTGGAGAGTCGCGAAAGCATGCGTGATCTTTGAGGTCCTGCTGGTGCCAGCACCGCGCAGACTATAGCCGCAGATAACGCGTGAAGTCGATCCCCTTCATCCACACCAGTGGCCAAACTAACATTGAGATACTCCTGGCTGGCATCGAGAAAGCGTCTTCGGGCGTCGAGAATTCGTGCTTGTGATAGCTGGAAATGGAGCTTCAATTCCTGATCTTGAATCTTTGATGGTAAATTCTTTATCTTGTTCAGGAATCCTTCAGCACTTGTAGGGTCATCTTCTTCAAGGTATAGTCTGACAATTCGTATCCACATGCGCATCTTATCTTCATCCGATATTAAACGCTGCGAGCTATCCAGATGAATTCCTTGAAGGACCCTGGCAGCAGCTAGATATTCATCTTGCGACTCGTATGCATCCGCAAGTATTCCACGTATCGAGGAGTCTTGTTCTTCCACCGATGTTGATCGGCTCTGAAGAGCGTGGATGGCGTGTTGACCGACATTGATCTGGACGTCTGCGGGGAGCGTGCGGAGGGCATTTATAAAGGCATCGAGAAGAGGGCGAGAGGCGATTATGCTCACATTTTCGCTCAATATGGATCCTAGGAAGGCGATAAGGTCTTGCGATATGGTGGTGGGGCTGGATGAGGATACTATCTGGGAGAGGAGTTCATTGTACCGTACTGCTTTGGCCTGTTGGTTTGATGTTGCATCAATTGCTGCGAGGGCAGACGTGACTTCAGCCGAAGCCATGATCGCAGTGAACTAGCACACTATCGGATCAAAATTACAACCTCATACAACCACCTAAATTAGGATGTCAGTGTACCGGGCCAAACAGAGCTTCAACAAACAAAAAACATAGGCTCCCCCTCATTAACTACTCGGAGCTCTCGGAAGCTCAACTAAGCTGCTTAGTCACCCGAAAGCGAATTCCCATAATCACGTGATCCAGTGACTTCATCGAATTGTCACGAAGCTTCATTCTAAAGAGCATACAGACACATCCGTCACGGCCAGCCCCTTTCAACAGCTTCTCCGGCCCCAAATATATTTTCATATCTGCCATCGCCATTTCCTTTGCTTCTACACTCCATTGTGAGCGGACGATAATGTCAAACATTGGCGCTTCCGCCGTCAAACCGGAACCAAGTCCCGGACCGGCGATCAAATCAGAACCCGACACAAAAGACAATGACATTGCGATGCTATCAGACGAGGATATCTATGAGGATACGGGTGATTTAGATTTTGCGAATGCCGCGCAAGATGTATGGCTGACGAGGATTCCGAAAATTCTCTGGGAGAATTGGTCGAAACTCGACGATGATGAGGAGATACAGATCGGCACAGTAAGGGTGGAAGGGCCGCCAACCGACATTAAGCGGGTATGGATCTGAATCCGGATCTGGAGCTTTCTGCTCTCTTCCGACTCAGCTAATACTATGAGTCTAGATCAGTCTTCGATTACTCGATATCCCCCAGAATGAGGGAGTACCGAAGGATTATAATCTGAAACGCCAGAATATAAATGCAGATCGGACTGCTTACGCCGTGCAGAATACGTTTATATTTACAGAGAAGGATCTTCCTGGGTACAAAGACAGGGCGCATCTTCTATTCAATGAAAACCAGCCCCACGGGCGATCGTACGTGTACGAGCAAATGAAACGGGATTCAAGGAAGAAGGCAAACAAGAAGAAGTGGGAGCCATATACAAGGAAAACTATTCCAAGTGTGTTCTCCATTTGTCTATATGTGAGAACTGTGGAAATACTAATATTTTCTTCAGAGCAAACGGCCATCGCCGCGCGAGTACACGATGAGTTCAACTGCCTTCCCGTTGAAAATGAGGAATATCATAGAATAGCCGAGAAAAGAGCTCTAGAAGCCCTTAAACCGAAGAGAGAAACCAAGTTTATCGAAAGAGTTACTGGCAAAATGTTGCAGCCGAAGACTGCTCAAGCTGCCGACAAGTCCAACTTTATTGTAAGCCTTCGTCATTTCTCTTTCACCTCTATATTGTGGTTTATTACTGACATCCAATAGCAAGTTACGAAACCCCCAAAGATTCGCACCCAAGACAACAAAACCGCCCGTATGCCGCAAAACGAGCTCCTGGACCTCATCTACGCCTGTTTCCGACGATACAGGTACTGGCCATTTAAATCCCTCAAAGCTGAGCTTAAGCAGCCAGAGGCTTACCTCAAGCAAACCTTGGAGATGGTCGCACATCTTGTCAAGAGTGGTGATTTTGCGATGACATGGGAGCTTAAGCCGGAAGCACGGGAAGCAAGCTACGCGAACGCCATGGCGTATAAAGATGCGAAGCAGGAGCTGGCTCCAAGCGCGATGGATGAAGGTTCTGAGGCAGAGCCAACCGCTTCCGGAATTGGTACCGATAATGATGATGATGAAAACATTAAATTTGAAAATGTGGTTTGAACAGCGTTGAGGTCCATATAGTGTTTGGCTGCATTTACATACTATCGTGGTTTGGTGTTGGGAGTTCGGCAGTGGAACTATAGTAAAATCCACATCAAGGTTTCTGTTGGCGTTATTATGTATCCAGCTACTAGACACGCATTCTGAATCATACTCATTTCTCATGATATTTCCCTTGCCTCTTTGGATGTTAGAGTAATCCGAGCATCGCCTGCGAAGTGATGGATATGGATTTCGGATAAATGATAAGCCGAACCATTTCCTTCTTGGAAGCGGCTCGCCATAACAAGCGACCGTCGCTCATCCTTTGAGCAAAAGTAAATGTCGACAATCAGCTTCAGACGTTAGATTCAGAATGAGTGAAGACCAAGAACTCTTAGCCAGGATCGGCCGCCTTGCTGGTATATTATTACCCCTTATCATCCATCTATTCTGACAAGAGCTAAATGAAAATCCCCCAGGGCAAATCAACCAGCACAAGAGTCAACTTACGCCTCTCTCACGCGGCGGTTACGCTAGCGCCCCATCGCATACCAGCTATGGTAGCATTCACAGGCCTCATCCTGGCTGGGCACCTTATCGTGGACGTGGCCGGCCTCCTTCAAGACGCGCTGCTGGACCCCATCGCCACCGAACTCTCGTCCTCAATAACAAAACACCCAACCCCGACACTGCGGATAGCAGCTCATCTACCACTGTACCTGGCGACATGAATGTCGAAGCAAAACCGCCACAGCAAACTGGGTGGGTAGCGAAACGCGATCGTCACATGCAACTTATCAATACCGCAATCTACGACCAGGAAGCCCAAGCGAGAACGAAAGCTATTGAAGAGACCCGCAAGCTAAAGGCACAGAAAAAAGCGGAGCTGGAAAAAGCGAAAGTCTTAAGATTTGCGCAGCATATTGTTGCTCCGACTGCAGAAGCCGCCGCTGCTGGTGTACGTCCGGATTCATACAAGATCGTCATACAAGAAATCCCCTTCCAAGTTATTAAAGGAGGGAGCAAGTTAATCCGATTATCAAGTGAGCCTACCCCAAGGCTTAGAGAAGGTGTGAGAACCGGCTTACAGTTGATAGATGACCCCACAGCCGCAAATGCGACTCCGAAAAAAGTAAACGTTGGTGGCGTGACATTTGTCAGAAGCAAGAACGGGAACCTACATCGGTTAGGGGCCGTGGTTTCAAAGAAGTGCGTGTCGATTCCCCGTGAGAGCTATAAGATATCTGACACTGGCGGCAGGAAAACCGGGGCTGTTAGGAAAAAGGATGAACTCTGCAAGAGATTTACTGCGACGGGTACCCTTACTCTCCCTCCCACCGAAAGGCTCTATCCAATAAAAGCTACGATGAAGCTTCGCCAGATGGAATTTCGATTTGAACTAGGCGAATGCCCCCTACTAGGCAAATACTAACCATGGTTTTCTTTCTAGGTTCCTGCTATAAGGGGCCTAAGTGCTCATATATTCACGATCCGAATAAGGTTGCCATCTGCAAGGAATTTCTTCAAACAGGTAAATGCAGTGCAGGACCATCGTGCGATCTTTCGCATGAGCCATCACCAGAGAGATCTCCTGCCTGCGTCCACTTCATTCGTGGCCGCTGTTCTAACCCCGCATGTCGATATGCGCACATCCGAGTGACACCAGGAGCGCCAGTGTGTCGGGATTTTGCTATCCTGGGATACTGCAGCAAAGGTGACCAGTGTCAGGACCGCCATGTTATAGAGTGTCCAGACTATGCGAACATGGGCAAGTGTGCCAAGCAAAAATGCCCGTTACCGCACATTGACCGAGCGGGCCAAATCCGCAAACTCGCCGCTAATAAGGCAGATAACAACACCCACGCTACGGAAAATCCAGGAGAATATGCGGACGATGTATCTAGTGAAGAGGAGGCATACGACGAGATTGATTCTGATGATGTTGATTCTGATGAGCTTGATGACGACGAACCCGAAGTGATCATCCCTGGTGCACATGCAGGAGAAGAGGTCACCCAGCAACACGACTTCATCAAATTCTAAGTATCTGTTCATGTCTGATCTAACATACATGCATACACACAGGGCCAGATTTTCTCTACCATAGAGCTGGATCTCTGTACCCTTCCAGAGTGCAACATGGCCGACAACTGTTCCAGGATACCCATACTCAAAGTTATCCCAGGCGTTGGGAATAGCTAAAATTCAACATCCCAGACAAAAAGCACAAATTCTTCATTTGAACCCCATCGGGGAGATATCATATCACTCCCTATCTACCACATGTACTATCGTTGCGATGGTGCATTTTCCCTGCTTTTCTTTTCCACGACAGCATTCAGATTGCATGGTATTGTCTTACCTCTCTCGCTGTGATTCCCCTGGGAACTGCTTTGCTAGATTTTCGGGAGAGGGGTTTATTTCCCTTTACATATGCCGCACAGCCATTAGTGATTTCTTTTTTCTACATTGGAGCAGGCGTTTTGTAGTATCCTATCCATTCATGGCTCAGTATTCATTATCATGATATATATATTTTGGAGAAGCAGAATTTTGTTCTCATCTATTACGCGAAAGAGAATAATGGACAAGAAAGAAAAGAAAAGTAAAAAGTAAATGAAATAAAAATAGTTACTTCAATGATATAGTGAATATTCCAAAGGACTACACATATTGGGTACATACATGGATTCCTGGTATGGCCCGCTTGGAAGGACGTTTTGGCCACCACAAAGCATTCGGAGGCATACACAGCAGGGAGTAGTCGCCCCATCAATCGCCACAGCATTTACGCTCCCATACCTATCATTGCAAAATGGCAATGGACATACATATATGCGTATGTGATTCAAAAAGAAAAAGCACTCGTAAAAACTGTAAGTGCTAGTTTACTTGGCAAGGCCGCATTGCATCCGAAACAGCTTTGACACTGGCGCTCTCGAGGGAGACGTCTCTGCTTCTTCCGCAATTCGATCGAGAGATAAATTTATCTTTTCTCCGCCATGTAGGGGGTAAATCCTCATTTTGGTTTCGTGGTTTCGTTTTTTGCCATCAGGTGAATACGTACATATGCAACTTTATTGCAAAGGCGAATTTTTATATTGCCGGGGGAGTATGGCACGGATGCATACAGAGTGCATGCACCGAGTTTCCAAACACATAGAAAAAAAGGGAGTGTGAGAGAGAGAGAGAGGAAAAGAAAAGCCACATGGACTGTTGCTGCTGGACCAGCTAGAGTGGTGGGCATGTTTGGTTCGAAACTGAAACAGATGGCTTTGAGGGGCTGACGTACCTTTTTCATTTTTTTTCAAAAGGGGATGCTTTTATTCGCTGGGTAAGAGCGAAAAGCAACGGCTAAAAGGAGTGAATGACGGGGCAATGGGCATAGTTGGCGGAGCGAGCAGGGTTAGATGCTGAAGAAGTGTGGATGTTCACATGCCTTGAACCTGAAGATAGAAAATGGTACATCGTTTCTGATATCAAAACAAAGTGCTAGTGACAGAGAAGTTCATGTATGTATGTTTAATTAATAGCAGTCAGGAAGACAATTGCCATGATGTTTCAAAAATTCGTGATCGCCTGTTCCGACTCGCGGCCGCGGGGTGGTCTAAGAGCGGGGAGAAAACGTGGCGTGTCAACGAAGGCCGCTGTTAGTAGAAAGGATGGAAATTGAGTTGACAATTTGCATATTTGAATTTTGATATCGACTTGCTATTTTCAGCTCAACGTCGGATAAACCGTCCGCGGTGCAGGTGTTCTTGTAGCAGTACAAAATCGTGCACAATGAGGACATTGTGATTTGGAAGAAAGCGAGATCTAGTGTAGTGGCAAGCGTCGGGTATCAAAGCTTGCCGCAGTTAACGCGGACTGGCTACTGCAGTACATACATACGGGGTTTGAACAAAGAAATAGGTAAGGAGGTATGCATGCATTTACATGCAGCAGCGTCAGTGAATGGAGGAGAAAATGCGAAGGTACCGAAGGAAAGGGTGTCCATTTCCTGTGGACCACAGAAATTACATGAAAACGAGATTTTGATATGCTCCATGACGTTAGCTACATCCGTGCTGGCAATTCACTTCCAGAGGGTGCAGGCAAGAGGGCACGTGAAGGTAACGGTCTGTGCTGCAAATGATTTTATATGCTGGATCGAGGATCCTATGCAGCCTTTTCCCGCAATCTTTTGAAATCTGTTGTTCCAGTCTAGGCTGGTGCAAGGCGGGATTTTGTATACTTCTTCGGGCGCGACAAACGCAGTGAAGCCATCCCCAACCTATCAAGGGCAGCTTGTAACTGTGGGCGCACAGATGTACTTCTGTTGAGAGGAGTGTGCCCAATGTCAGGGGGTGTCAAGGGAAACAGGGACCATGAGGCGATGAACGGAGATTGCGTCGCAGTGATTAAAAGGCCAAAGAACAAAGAAAAAGCCGGAGAGTCAAACCTGGGCTCAAATCGAAAGAGGGCGGAAAAGGAAATGGGCCTGAGGCAGGGCGAAAGAGAGAGGGAGAGCCAAGCAATACGGCTGGACTTTCGTCCTGGGGACCTTGTTCGTAAATCACAATCATCACCCAAAGAGGTCATGGTATTCAAGCAAATGGACGTCTTGATGGATGGACAGCCCTAAAGTATTGCCCCATGTGACATGGAAGAGCGGAGATGGTACGTTGGACTCGCTGATGCGCCACCCTGAAGAGCAGCGAATGACGGCCTCCAGCAAGGAGATTCCGATCTGAGGCTGGCAGCCAAAACCTCTTTAACCCCCCCCCCCCCTCGGACAGTATGAAGAAAGCCCACAGGCAGAAAAGAATTAAGGTCCGAAGGGAGATCCGACTGGCCTGCGAGAATAAATTGCCCCTGGTCAAGAAAAGAGAGGGATCACCAAGGAGATGCGGGCCATTGGATGAGAATTCGTGGGACGACGGGTCTTGAGTGTTTCGGCCCCCCTTGGTTTTTGCTGGGTGAGAAGCTGATTCGGCGCATTGAACGGCGAGATGCCTAAGGGCCTGAAAAGGCTCTTCAGCTCCCCAGGATCCCGTTCGAGAGGGCCGGCGGGCGAGGGGACGTTTTGGCTCGTTGCGACGAAAGCGGGGATGGAGCGTGGCAGCGGCGAGTGAGGTCGGCCGGCCGACTGCAGGCGGGAGCCATTGGAAACTGTACTAGACCAATCTTGGACTAGATAGGCTTGGCAAATGCTTAGTAATTATGACGCTAGACGGTAACTAATTTGGTTATGGGATTACGCGGAGTACACGATTCTTCGCTGGCTTGGAGGGTTTTTTTACGGCGGGTGGCCAGACGAGCATACCATCATCGCTGCCCATCTTTCATCCGACTCAAGATCTTCCATGCAGACAGACATGGATCTCGGATATTACTCCTCACTGGACCTGTCTCATCGAGCAGAACGCCTCTTTCTCCCTAAAAATGCTGGATGATTGAACTATTCTTTCCCCAAAGGCGAGCTAATTATCCCGTATCTTCACAGTTTTGTGGCAAAGATGGCCGGTAAATCACCAGGCCACACGGGCCGTACCCTTAATTCGTCTACTAGTTGGTTATTCGTAATCCGCCAAACCCGAATCTTGGGGCCTCATGATTTGCATACATGATCGGATCCCGCTCATGCGTCCGGTGCCCAAGGCCCCTCAGATATCCACTAAAAAGCGACCCGGCTCTGGAGTGCTTAAAAGTGTACGTACCACACGATGTTCGGGGTTTGTGGGCTCTGTCTGGGCTGGTTTGCAGGCGTACTTTTGCCGAGTGGTACTGAGTCACCGTGAGGGACTGTCGAACGTGAGTGGCTTTTTCTCTTTGAATGGTGAAAGAACTCGCAAGATGCACGACGGACCACTGCTCTGTTGGAGAATCCATGAAGTGATCGTTGACGAATAGGTACCTAAGTGTAACTAACCACAGCGTATTCCGAGCTGTTTGATTTAAAGGGTAAAAACTACTCTGTAGACTCGAATCGCGCCCCCCCATCCATGGGACATGGTCACGCAAGTGATGAAAACGCTCGCAGGAATGACAAACTACAGAACAGACGTTTCGATCACTGTTCAACAGGCTCAGCATCTCGCTTGCAGTCTAAGAGTCTGCGTCGCTCTTGTGACCTCGTCGAAGCCTGGAGCAAAAATTGCACTGCCGACTTGAGCAATCACTATGTTAGGCATGTACTCGGTAGTTAGCTATTCCATCAAACTTCAAAAAGGATCTCTGAACGTGAAATTCTTTGGGGGGGAATGACTTCTGCCCACGAAGCTCCCCCGTTATGACTCATAACTCGAAGCACCAGACCTTCTCATCCTTATCGTACCATGAACACCACGGGTACTTTGATATCAAATCGATAACCCCACATACTCCTGTACAGCGCAGCATCATTTATTGCTTGGGCAGCGAAAACCGGCCCAGATAGGAAAAGCCGATTCCACCCAGTCATGAGGTCAGCATGTACGGCGTCATGTACCTCAGACTTAGCTATCCTATGGGAATCAACTAGGGCACGGAGTTGAATCCCGCTTCTCTTTCTTCCACTCACGTTGTCTCGTTTTTTAACATTTTTATTTTCTGTATGATGCACGGGAGAGAAACGGAGCATGTACATACATACGTTATACAGAATACATGGTACATATGTAAGGGACAAAGAGGGCAACGGATACGGTTCTATGGGTCGTTCTTGGTCTCTTTCCTCTTCAGCTTCTTACGCTCAAGACGGTGGAAGTCCGAGATGTGAGGCGTTCAGGCATGTCATCTTGATGCTTGACTGCCTGGCGTACATGGATTTCGACATCTGAGTGGATAGACCGGGCGCATGTAATCACCTTTCACTTGCTTGAAATTCCCCGTTTCGCGGGTCCAGTGGATTACCAGCGGTGAGGATGCGAATATCTATTGGCTGATGGCATCCTATTCGTCCGTAGTTTGAAGATGAGCTACTACGGAGTACAAGGCGACAGATTTGACGTTTGGTGCTTTTCCTTTTTTTTTTTTTTTCCAACTTTGCCTTGTGGCCGACAAAAAATTGGAGAGCCTTGTGGATGATGTGCTCGTAGGAGATCCTCGCAAGGAGTGAGAGGCTAACTAGCTTCTGGCACGGTAGATTAGAGAAGATGTGCCGCAAAACTATTACCACAGTTCCCCCCTCCCAGTGCCATTGACACGCAAAGAGGGCACGGGTAGACTATCCGACGAGCACAAGAAGACGCTGTACAAGGAATGACCGAGATGGCCAAAGCACAAGTAAAACGTTGTACAAGAACACAGTACTGCGAGATATCGAAAAGCCAACGCAAATAGGCAGCGTAGAGAGCGGGAAGAGCTGTCGTGTTCTGTAGATCAAGCATCGGAGCTTGGGGATTGGTACCTTGTGGCCCCCGGACGGTCTAGAGAGAGAACGAGATGAGAAAGAGGGAGACAGGAGAGGCACAGTTGTACCTTGAGGGGGGGGGAAGGGTCTGATCGACAGATAGGTAGGGTTTCCATGAGCTCTCGTCGGAGAGAGAGGGGCTGGTTCGGCATAAAGGCCCCAGGCTGCAAGGGAGAGGCAAAACGGGGGAGCATAAAGTAATTATCGATGAGACAAGTTGAACATTATCCAAAAAGTCAAGTTGGAAGATAACTAAGTGTCCGAGGAGTCGAACCGTGGCTCGCAGCCCTGGGACCACAGGAAATGGCGAAAAGCCTAGTTGAACGACGGTCTTCATTCAACTAGAGATAGCGAACGAAAAAAAAAAAAAAAAAAAAAAAAAAAAAATTCGAGACGGAAAAAGCAGAGGTAAAAAAAAAAAAGTTTCATTCGACCGTTCAGCCGGGAAGGAGAAGCTTTCTCGGTCGCGGACGGTTAGTTCGGTTGTGCTGCTTCAGCCCAGTCAGAGAGCTTGCCTCAAGAACTGAAACAGGCAGAGGCCTGCGGTGGACTTTTCAGTGCACGAGGGCCTGTCATTGCTCGAAAACCGCGAAGGCTTGCGAGGGTGTTGTGCAAGGGGAGAGGAGGCAAAAGGTGAAGATGGTCGTCACCCGTGATCTCCACTCGCCAGGGCTGTTTGGCTTGAATTTTTTTTTTTTTTTTTGATTCCGAAATGGAACTAATTATATTTTATTTTTATTTTTCTCCTATTTTTCGGATTAAAATGCAACTGAACGATTAACTAATCCGTGATGCTCGGGCCCGTGCAAACGCCCATGATACTTTTTTTAAGGTCCGACGAGTATTATTACTAGGGGCAAAGAGTGTGCAAGATGCATGTATGCCCAAAGGCCAACAGAGAGGGCATCCAATGGCGAGCGGGCAGGCAGGACGAACGACAAATCGTCGCCCCTGTTTTCGCCAGAAGTCCAAAGTTCCTGGAACGCTGCACCTAGCGTCTATCAACCCCAGTCGATCTGGAACAGTCGCGCCTTTCTGCCCATCACATTGGAGAAAGGGCGAGTGGGAATAAGCAAAAGCATACCCGTAATTCGGGCCGTGCAGAGGGATGTTTCTGACGTTCGGTTTGTGGTGCTGCTGCTGTGACGCTGCTGCGAGCGAGCACTTCGACTCGACTCGACTCACTCGAGCGTCCGGTCGCCCTGAAGGGTCGTTGGCCCATCGGTATCTCGACTGACTCCTCGACTCGTCCCTGGTCAGCAGTGCAACACTCGCCTACTGGCCGGGGAAAATGCCTTTGCTTTTCCCAGGCACACCCACACCCCCCCCCCCTCTCCATCCTCGAACAGCTCCACAGATGAGGCCGTGAAATTATGGCAGAAAAGGGTTGTCTCTGGTTTTTTCTTTTCCCGCGAAGCCGACATGCTACTGGACAATCGGCAAATTCCTTATGGGTTTACTCGAAACGGACGAGGGCGAGGTACGGCAGCGAACTAGGTTGGAGGGGCCTGGTCCGGCTGTCTCTAACTCTCTCTCTCGCCTTCGCTCCCTTGCCGCAGAAACTAACTCCACCCAGAACTCAACTAGCTAATAATTATACAATGTACTGTGTCGATGAAGGGGAAGTCGTTTTCACATCTGCAGAAGGGGAGAAATAATAATTATAAAAAAAAAAAAGGTATGTATATCTATCAGCTTCCCCCCCCCCCGGGTGTTGATATATTGTCCTCTTCCTTTTTATGTCTTTTTTTTTTCCCCTCTCCCTCAATAGCATAAACAAGAATCCTGTCCAAGACAAAATATCCATCCCATCCCCCCAGCCTCTTCTCGCCTCTCTGGTCAGGATTTCTGGTCTCGAACCCCGCACTGTTGAAACGGCCTCCCCCCTCCTCAAAGGTAAATCCTCCTCAAGGTCACACACACACCCTCTCACCACTCCCTCTCACACGCATGCAGCTCACACTCGCCCACCCGAACAACGACAGACTCCAGATATAGCTAGAGAAAAGAGAGACAGACAGACAAGACACATCGACACACCCTCCTCGCCGCTCGCCTTATCACGTCCTCCTATCACCCCAACAGAGAACGGGCAAACTTTCTCAAAACAAGAACCACACAATCCCACACCGCCTCTTCGCCCGCGTCCCTCTTAAAAACTCCCGCTCACTTCCTCGCACCCCCCCCCCCCAGTTATTCCACCTCGCTCCTCTTCATCGGAGAAATTATCCTTCACACGAATCACATCCTTCACGACCTTCACGACCCTGTACTATTTTGCTTCTTTTTCTCCGGACTTGACGGCTGTCGTCCCACTTTCGATCTGCCCCGATTCTTTGTACCTTTTTGCCTTTTTTTTTTTCTTTTTCATTTTTTTTTTTTTTTTTTTTTCTTTCCCTTTTATCCATCGATCTTGACTTTCGGAGGTTAAATTTTATCCAAAACACCTCCATTTTTTTATTTTTATTTTTATTATTTTATTATTTTTATCTTCTCTTCACACCCTCACAATGGCGAAGTATTCACATCCTTCGTCGTTCGACTTTTTTCAACAATCGCCCGCCCTCGACTCCAAACCCATCTTCTCCCCAGACGACGAGATGAGCGTACTAGACGACAAGATCCTCGACTCAAACACACAAGACATCACATCCCTCAACGGCCAACGAAGGTCGTCCTTTGACCACACCACAGACGACTTCTCGCGGAGAGACTCTGTCTGGTCGGATATGGCACAACACCACAGCGGAGCCCAGTCGCGGCAACCGTCCCAGATGTCCACTCCTCTCTTTGAACCCATCGCCAACCCGTTCGTCCACACAACCACATACCCTCCACAACAATGGACGCTGGCCACGGATTCCGGCTCCTGTACCCCGACTCCCATGTACGAACAGTTCCCACACGACTTCGATGCTGCGGCTCAAAACCCGTTCGCTGGCGGTGCTGTCGGTGCCGTGCAGCCAGTTGCCTACCCAACCATGCCATACCGACCCGGCTCTACCTTCGCTCCTCACAATGCCATTCCAATGTCCCCGCAATCTAGCCAAGGCTGGGCCTCAGCGTCTGCCGATCCCGCCGAGATGCAGACGAAGGCTGCACGGAAAAACTCCACAACTGCCACCGGCTATCGAAATAGTTCCAACCTCCATATCCGCCGGGATGGAATCCGGAAGAAGAATGCTCGCTTCGACATCCCTGCCGAACGTACTCTGAGCAACATCGACCTCCTCATCAGCCGTTCCACCGATGAAGAGGAGATCAAAGAGCTCAAGCAACAGAAACGTCTGTTGAGAAACCGACAGGCTGCGTATGGATCCCTTCCCCTTTTTTCACTTACCCACCACACCAAACCCCCCCCCAAAAAAATATCCTCTTACAATGATACACGGAAATCTGTTGACTGAACCATTCTGGCTGACTCTTCCGCTCCTAGGCTTGACTCCCGTCAACGTAAGAAGGTGCACACCGAACAGCTTGAGGAAGACAAGCGACGGTCCACCACTCTCATCAACGAGCTCCAGGAGGCTATCCGTGAGATGAAACTCCGGGAGACTGAGCTTGTACGGGAGAAGAACGAATTGCTCGAGGGTCAGCAGCAGCTCCATCAGTATATCGACCAACTCCACACTGAAAAGGAGGAGTTGATTCGATCTCATACTCTGGAGACCGGTGAACTTCGAAAGAAGAACACCATTCTTCGCGAACATATGGAGAAACTAGAGCATTCGTCTGCGTCCGGGTCCCTCTTCCGCAGCGATTTCTCCGATTATGAGAGTCTTGCCGTTGATGGAAGCTCCTGGGATGACTTCTCTATGACCAACGAGTTTACTCTGGATAGCGAGCCTCGGGTACCCATTCGGACCCCGACGCCCGCTCCCGAGAAGTCGCTTACAACGGTCATCAAGAAAACTGACAAGGTTGTCGAGAAGCTTTCGTCGCAAACAGACTTCCCGTTCAGCTGGAATGCATTTTACATGTGTCTACTCTTCGGTGCTTTTATGGCTTCAAACGGCCCGTCGATGTCTCCTAGCTCCATTCCTCCTCTTTCGGAAGAGTATCGTGCCGAATCTGCCAATGTTCTAAAAGCAGTCCTTGCTTCTGCAAATCCTCCCCAGGCCTCCAATTCGCTCAACCTAGCCTCCATTGCTGGGCCATCGTCTACTACCCCGTTCCCTGCAACAATCTCCGGCGCAGAAATGGCACAGATCTCTTCGGGTCAGGACACCACTATGACCAACCTGGATGACCTGCACCGAAACCTTGTCGTTCCCACAAAGCAGCAAGAGGAGGAGCAGGCGTTCGCCCTGACCGCAGAGCAGTACAACGCCTTGACGACCCTGGACGATGACGAAGGGGATATTACTCCGCAACCTTCCAACCTGCAGCAAGCCTACGCTGCGATGCGAAGCCAAAATACCGGCATCAAAGGCACCTCTGAGGTCTATTCCCGCTCTCTCCTTTGGGACCGTGTGCCAGAGAAAGTTATCCGTGATTTCAGACGGATGGTCAAGGACTGCGGAATACCCGGCAAACACGAAGAACCTGGCGGTGCGATGTGCACATCTTGACGCCAAGCCTTTTAATGCAACTATTAATAAACAAACTCCGCTCTCAGAGTTTGGTATACCTACCTAAACCTATTGGCTCGACGCCTTGACACGAATTTCCTTTTTGTGACCTTCATTCCCTCCATCAAACTCTTATCGTTCCTTATATATCTCTGTTTTTCTTTTTTTTTCTTTTTTTTTTTTTTTTTTTTTTTTTGCGCTTTTTTCGGCTCGGAGCATTTTCACATGGCGGGCCGGAGTCGGGGACGGAAACACCCATCATGCATTCCCTCAAGAATCAGGACCTAGAGAGCGCCGCGAGGCGCATGTTTAGCTCGCCGCTAATACGATAGCGAAAGACCTGGCTTTGACAGCCCATTGAAGAGTTCCGTTCGCACGGCTACAAAAACACATCCAACTATATACGCTGCACCTTAACTCTCCTTGTGTCTACATTATACTTTTCTGGGATTTATGTAGGTATATTGCAAACACCCTCCACGGACCGTCACCATCCTCTTCTTTTCCATTGTCTTTGGTCCCTGTTCGGCTTTTTTTTTTTTTTTTTTTTTTTTCGGCTTCTTCGTTTTGTGTTTCATCTGATGTTCCTATATGATGGTACTGGACTCTTGGGTGAAGTTTAGCATGTTGGGAGGCTTAGTTGTTATATGTTTATTATCTCGCCTTTGCTTCTGTGTTTAGCCTATGGGTATAGCGGGTTTCTTCTTTTCCTTTTTGACCTTGGCTTTTACTGTTTTGCAGTTTTGGCTTTTATGAATTTTTGAACTGGGTTGATGACCTGATATGACACATGATATGATGATCCGCGATACGACAGGTTTGCATTCTACTATTTTTAAAAACATTTTTTTTTTTTTTCCTCTTTTTGTCCTCTTTCTCTGCAGTTTGTTTTGGAGAAAAAGCATGTGGCGCTACAACCTTGGTTGGAAAGGTTTGTTGTGTGTTTCATGAGGTTGTCGTGGGCCTTTTTACAGTGTATCTATTGAATGTTGGCTGAATGTACCATGGCTTGTTCCTCTCCAGGCCACTCCTAATTTTTTTTTTTTTCCCTGCTTCTGCTTCTGCTTCTGCCTCCGCCTCCGCTTTTGCTTCAAGGAGAGCGGAGGAGGCTTGAGGAGGAGGAGCGGTGTTTTGGATATTTTCTTCTGGGTAATTTACTACTCACTATTCTGGAGGGGTGGCAATGCATTGGCGAGCTGTGGTGTTTTTTATTATTGTTGCTCATCTTTTCTCTTTTCCTTTCTTTCTAATGTCCCTTATGCTTAACCCAAGATGAGACGGCCGCATTCCTTTTGGTATAAATTTCTCTTTCCGGTCACATATTTCTTTTTTTTTTTTTTTTTTTTTTTTTTCAACCTTTTTGAGAGTCTTGGGCATTTAGCGTACAGGCGAAAATAGTAATTTTGTGTCTCTAAAACTTCTTATTTGCAAATACTACCTTATTTGTTGAAGCTAGAGCTCGGAAGATAGGAGCTAGAACGTAGTATGTTGCTCGATCAAATCCAGCGTATGCTTCCCGTATGGCTTGGAGTGGTACGATATGGGAACTGAGCTGCTCTGATCTCCAGAGATGCGCCTCGAAGACGTGTCGAGCACCCCACCTCCTTGGCGCGACAGCGTTTGGCTCGCGAAATCCGCCGGAAGTCTATTGATGAGTTTCTGATACTCCGTACTCCGTAGAGGAGGAATTAACTAGTGAGTTATGCTTGTCAATCACCAAGCTCGGGTTCGAGAGATTCGCCCAAATCAATGTGGGTCACAATGGGTGAACTAGTTGGATTATCTTGAAGTTTATCAATACTTTTTCTGCCCCGTTCACACTTCGCCGACGGACCGTCGCCATAACTTTCCTGCTAGATGTGATTTCACCCCTAAGGTTGACGACACAGCCCGGCTTTTTCCTTTTATTTTCCCCTTTCTTTTTTCTTTTTATTTTATTTTATTTTTTTCCCGACGGGAACGATGACGACCTCTAGGCCGGAACCTCGAGGACATCCCGACATACGCTCTCTCATACCGAGTGTCTCAGATTGAACGGCTATCAAAATATACAATCAACAATTAACCTTTCTTGACGAATCCCAGATGCCCGAATCTGCAACGATATCCCATTTCTCTCTCCCGCTGCCCCAGTGGCAAAGACCAGTGAGCTATCGCACAGCCAAATACGATCCTCCGCAGCGCGCCAAACGCCCCCTTGTCGAAGACACCGACGCCTCGAGCATCGAAACCGGCTCCGATAGCAGCGACTATGAAGACATCGAAGCAGCCTCCTCGGGGCGCCAATCGCGGGCAACAAGCACCGTGAAAAGCGACCGCGCCTCCTCCTCCTCCTCCTTCTCCCGCCGGCCCTGCCGCCGCTCGACATCCGCACGCTCCTCCGTCATCCTCACACCGGACGAAGCGCATCAATACCGCATCGCCGGCCAGCCGCCGGACACGGAGTTGCCGGGAGGGAATTTCCCGCACTCCGGCCTCTCTTCGCCCTCGGGCGTGAAGCCGGCTACCAGGAGGCGTATCGAGACGGATCTGGCGCAGCTGAATCCGCCGGTGTTTCTGCCGGGTTCGGCGCGGAACAGCCTGCGTCTGAAGCATCTGGGCGTGATCACGACGATCTTGCATCGGTGTCTGCTTGAAGGGGACTATGTGCGGGCGGGGAGGGCTTGGGGGCTGATTCTGCGGGATGAGTGGGGTGGGCATGCGATTGATGTGAGGACGGAAGGAAGATGGGGGATCGGAGCGGAGATTTTGCTGTGGAGAGATGGGCAGATGGCGACTGCGGGGGCGGAGGGAGGTGGTGGGAAGGGTGGTTATAAGAGGGAGTGGTTTTCGAGACGGGGGTTTGAGAGGGCCAAGCAGTACTACGAGAGGTTGATATTGCATTATCCGTATCGGAAACATGCGCCCAATGCTCTGGGGCCGTTGGATTTCTACCCGGCTATGTTTGGACTTTGGATATCGGTCGTACAGGAGGAGAGTCGAGCTACGAGGGAGGCTGCTACGTATGATGTGGTGAGGGGGGAGAGGGACTACGACGTTGGCTACGACGTGGAAGATAACATGTCTATGACCAGCGATCTGGGGCGGGAAGATCGACAAAGGGCCGAAATTGTCGCTCGAGCTCGCTCGAAGGAACTCGAGGAGGCGCAACAGATCGCGTCTCAGCTCGATGATCTGCTCGTCTCTCCTCCGTTCTCGGATAGTTATGAGTTATTGAGATTACGAGGGATGGTGTCATTGTGGATCGGGGATCTATGCGTCTCATCAGTGTCTCCCGATGAAGCAGCTGAGCAGGGCGTGCAGATGGGCGGTGATGAGGACGGAGATATCACCATGATGTCGTATGACGATAGGGTAGACTCTATCTTGGCGAGAATGGAGGAAGGGCTGGGGATGGAGAGGAGGCAGGCGGAGGTGGATAAAGCAAAGGAGTTCTTTGAGAGGGCGCGCGCGAGGAAGGTTGGGCCGCTAAGTGCAGCGGATAAAGTGTACATGGATAGTATTGACTCATACTAATAGCGACCATAAATAAAAAAAAAAAAAAATGAAAAAAAAAAGAAAGCCCAAGGGGTAAAATCAGAGCTCTTCTCGTCTGGTGTTGTAAACAGAACTTGCTGCTCATATATATATATATATGGCAGAGCGAGCTGTCATGTGACTTCGTGTTTTGGTGCGTGTTTTTTGGCGCTGCTGCGACAGGAGGCGTTGAACGACAAACGTCACTCACCACCTTGTCTCGCTGGCTTTTCTGTAATGCAGGTGTTTTAAAATCATGAGTTAATAAGCTGAAAGTCTGACTTTGCTGTTGTTGCTGGCTTCTCCATCTCCTCTGGGTCTATTACTTTTCTCCTTCCATCCAATATTATTCTGTGGGCTCCGGGGAGCTCCCTAGGTTACTCTTCCATTCACCATGCTGAAAGTTAGCGATTATGTCCATGGAACCATACCCCAAAACAATGACCGGCCAGTGTCCCAGGGCACCAGCAAAGGCAGCATTCCGTCCTCAAGGCTGCGTGCGGCGGAATTGGCTCGGGTCAATGTACCTCCTACTAGATTAGCTGGGTTCAATGCCACCCCGGCAGTGAACATGCATGGCAGACAACAGTCCCAAAACTTGCAAATGACGGGTGATCAAAGGATTGGGCCTTTTGGCGCACTTAACCCGGAGCATCGCGATATGTTCGATACAGACGTTGAAGGATTTGACGACAGCACCACCACGATGAGTCTCGTTCGAGACGACGATGTCGTTGTGCCGCCACCACCCCAGGAGGAGCGTCTGGCCTCTCCCAGGAGAGGCAGAGACAATGGAACCACACACCATCATGGCGATATGTCATTGGACCCATTGAATGGCGCATTTGAACAGCGGAATTATATGTCAATTGCCGAGAGAATGAAGGAGCTCGATTCTGAACCTGATGATCTTCGTACTAGTCATCAGCATGAGCATTATCATCAGAATTTCGAGGCTCATGTTGATGAGCAAGATGGCGATCACGATATGGAGCTCGAGGGAGAGCCCACTATCAAGGTTGGATGGGATGCCAACCATGGGAACAGCCAGCACGCTATGAGTTGGCAACAGATTGAGGCAGCACTTCGGGAGCATAACCGTCAAACCGCGGGCAACGAGTCAAGCTCCGTGCAACGTCCAGAATACATGCCGCCACACCAGGTTCAAAGTGAACTACAGAGCCCTGCCGGAAATGAACCAGACCAGAGTAACTACGCCAATACCACCCACGCTACTCCTCGACCGATACGGAAACTAATTCCTGGAGGCCGCTTTACTCCCAAATCCCGTTTCGCGACCCCCAAGCCTCCAAAACCGCCAACACCATTTTCAATCTCACGAATTCCACGCCCAATTTCTGCTCCAGGGATCCCTTTTCCTTCCGACAACGCTCTCTCTCCGCTTAATCCTGAGTATCGCAGGGATCAGCTTCCACTCAGTCCTTCCCAAACAGACACCAACAACGATCAGTATCATAACAACCAAGGGGGCATATTCGACACGACCGACCTAAGTGCCCTAGACAGCTCCGAAGAAAGCATTACAGAGCCAAATATGCCGCCTTCGGCCACTTCTCCACAGCTCTCCACGCTCTCTCCTGTATCTTCAAAACGCCCATTCACAGCCTTCACGTCCGACTATCACCCGAACATCCTTCATACCAAATCCTACTCCGACCTCCAAGCCGAGCCGTTCGATTATAATCCCGCCCCACCACCACCTGTCTTCCCACCACAAGACCCGGAGCTCCCACTCATAGAAAAGCTACACCGCTTGAAATCACTTACCGACGACCAGAGACGTAACTTTTTCTCATCTCTGACGCAGGCAGAATGGGAAGATAGTGGGGACTGGTTGATCGAGCAATTCGGCGTTATCTTGCAGAAAACAAAGAACGCGAGACGGGAAAGAAGACAGGTTGCTGCGGTGTTCGAGGCAGAGATCAAGCGGCGCTACGAACTTGTGGAGGGAGAAGTGAAAGATATCCGAGATCGAATGGATGACATGAGAGCCGGAGGCATGGGGGTTTTGAAAGGTCGAGGGTGATGGAGGTTCGAAATTTATCCGCATACTACTCGAGTTCGGTTTGGTAAAACAATACATGTTAACGGGTGAAATTATCTCTGGCATTTTACGGCGTATATCATCTGGGATTTATGATACGGGCAGGCAACGGAGCAGACACGACTGATGACTTCAAGGCAAGGTTTTAACCATGGTGTTCTTAATGTGTCTTTTAATTTATTGTATGTACAAGAAGACGGGGAAACCAAGCAGTATATTTACGAAAGTGAATACAATATAATGTTCAGGATTCTAGACACTCCTGGGGGTGTCTATGATCTATCCTACTCAAATTCCTTCTCGTTTATAAACCCCTTCTTGGGTAGAAGAACGAGGGAAAGCATTATCCATTTGAACCGTAAAGGTGCTATGGCTCAAATTAGCCCGCATCCCCTACGCCATCGACCATCTCCGACCATCATCCTACTCCTTTCCACTTCCCAACAACCTGTGATTCTTCGCTCGGCGCCTCCCGACCATGCTGCTCCAAGGATTGCCCAGGACATTCTGGACTGGGTTCTTGACCCCAGGCACTCTTTTCGAGCGAAGTTTCTCGGAGCCATTGGTGCAGTGCGAGCTTGAGAAAATCCCTGTGGGACCGAAGACAGCTAGACCAGCAGTTCCTTTCCAGCCCTCGACTCCACAAGGTGGAGTGATTCGCCAGATCCATGTCACGGCACCTTTTAACACAGCGGAGTTTGATCAGGACTTTGTCCCCATGTTCGTGGGTGAAGAAGCCCACATATCTCCTCGGAGACGGTGGATGTTCCTTCGTGTATACTCTGTGCAAATTGTTAGGATTAGTCACATTTTCTTTTATTTTGTCCTTGGCGTCAAATACCTAGATACATAATCTGTGTCTCACCCGATACAATAAGACGGAGTTACAGGGGCGCCTGGTAGGATAAAGAGTTATGTAGGGCGTGATCAATGTCAAGGACTTCTGCATTCGAGTCGCCAAAGGGTTACTAAGAAGTAAATTCGCAATAGCGGCGCTCACTCCAAGTGCCTTGACTTTCCATTCATCGCCTCATCAACACCCCAACTTAGAGGTTCACGTCTGTAGAAATCAGGGTGATCATTTGCGCGCAGGATTGATGGCTGGCAGAACTTCCAAATAATTTTTTCTTGGGTATTCATGAGATTGCAGTTACCCTCCGAATATAGAGCAAGCACATATCGTTGACACAGCAAGCATTTGCAAGGGAATGTCGGGTTAAGGACGCTATCCTCCTTTCCCACCGGCTAAGACGCTGCGAGAAAGGCATCTCCACCTTTTCTGAACCGCACTGCCGGGATGGTGGCACTATTCTCGAATCCTCGCAAGGAGCGTTTGTATGAAGTGGTATGAACAGCTAGATAGATTCGTATTTATACCAGCAATGAATATACACTGACAATTGTGACACCGACAGATAGACACGAGAAAGTGGATTGGATCAGAAACGAACCCAATCCGTTCATGAAATAATCACTCCTCTCTCGCTCAACCTAACCGGGGGAGGAAATAAAAAAGGGAAAAAGGGAAAAAAAAAAGAAAAAGAAACACACCAGGTTGAAGGACAAAGATAGCAAATAAGAACAGGCTGGGAAAGCAATTTTGCATGGGGAGTACAAACATGAGGGTGGAGGGATTGAGGGGAGGCAAGGAGGCCAAACACGCCCAGGAGAAAATTCAATGTAAAGCGATTAACAGAAAAAGGAAAATGCAGAAAATGAAATAAAAAGCAGCCCATGCAAGAATACCAAATGCCCACGTAACCCTGTATACAGTTTATGGTCCCGTACCCCCAAACTGCGCCGGCTTTGCGTGCTTCTGCAATCAAGGACAAGAAAAACTAAAACGCACCAAATTCTGAACCCAACAAGAGACTTTACGCTTAAGGACGAGGTTAAAGGGAGCGAATTCGCACGTCCCGAATGAATAATTCTTAAAACACAGAATCGCTTTCAAAACCACCAGGATAAAAAAGTGAGGTTCTCAAATTGTCATTAAGATGAGAGTGGCAAACCCAAGAGGACGGAAAAGCTTTTGCAACCGTCAAGAAGAATGTGAAATATTTGTAATTTCGCGGAGATTCCGTAATAGGATGGGATAGTTATGCACCGGATATAGAGCAAGAAGCGATTAGAAATGGTACTGGAACGGATGTGTTGAGTGATATTAGCAGACATGTTAGTCAGTTGGAACTGATTGATGGGTAGACCGTCGACATTTATGTTGAGTTGCTTTCAGGTTCAGCGGTGTTTCCATGGTTGTCGGAGTTTGAAACACCCTCACCCCTACATAAGGGGCAGGAGTTTCGCCCGGTAGTCAACCACTGGTGCATTGGTTAGTTGTGGACAAAAAAGGATATGCAGATAATCTCGTACCTCGTCAATACATTCGCGATGATAGATGTGTCCGCATTTTGCTAATAACCGGACTTCCTCCTCAGCAGCATAGTCACTGAGACAGATGAGACACCTATCGTTTTCACTAATTTGAATGCGTTCTCCGTCTTCCGCGTTTTCAGCAACCAATGACTCGGGATACTGAACTAATCGATAAAGGCCTCCGGCGAGAGCAACATCTTCTTCTGAAGCCACAGGTGGTTTAACGGGGCCGAGAAGAGAAGATAAGAGCATCATATCCTCGTACGTAGGATTCTACAAAGTCAGTTAGCTATTTGATCAGCACCAATTCTAGGGTTGACGCGCTTACATCAGTAAACAAGCTGGGAGCAGCGAGGGCTGGATGATTCTCAGCAAGGTTAGCACCAACGACATAAATCAACCAGCTTCTTGTAGTACTAGGCGAAGGGTCATCCGGTTCAACCACTCCATTTCGACGTGCCGCACCAGAGCCAAGTCCGCGATGGCGAGCAGCTTCGGAATCGCTCCGTCGGCGCTGGCGAGGGAAATTAAACGTCGTACTTTGTTCAGCAGCCGCTTCGGCTTCCCCACTGGAGTCCTCATTTAGCTGCGGGAGGAAAGCAGAGGCCGACGAGGGCCTTCTGCTCGGAGTATTTACCGTCGAAGATGCACCAGATAGGCCAGGGTCAGCCGGCGTGGACGGTGGAGGATTTGGGCCTGGTGGACTTTCCGAAAAAACTGTTGGCAGGGATGAAGACAAGTCGGCGAGCGATCCAGCATCGGACCGTCCCCCAGAAGAAGTAGATTGATGTCGTTGGCTATCGTGATTGGTTTGTATGGGTGGACCAGCGACAGAGTTGCGATTGCTAGTGAATCGGGTTCGGCCATCACCGCGACGCAGGAAGCCACTAGAGCCTCTATCGCTACGGAGAAGATTTCCGGCAGATAGGAATGGTAGGCGAAGGAGCGATTCGGCGTTCAATCTAGCATTGGTACCGCTTTCATTCCCAGTGCTACCGTTAGCCGGGATAGATCTCACGCCGACAACAACTAGAGTCAGCAATCGTCTTTCAGGATTTTCTTCTCCTGGATCGTGATGACCTGTCTCCATTGAATCACCAGCGTCTTCTTGGGATTCGGATGAGTTTGACTGAGAAGGGCTGTTGTGAGCATTATCGGCGTTGACGAAACGAAAGACTCTTAAGAAATTAACATTAGGGAAGCCTCCCTCGGCCGAATTTTCACCGGCACCAGCCTCTTCCTGCGAAGAAGCAATATGTTGCAAGCCTTGCAAGAGGGACTCAAGCGGCCCATCCAGACCATCCGCTCCGATGTTTTGAAGGTTGGAAGCTCCTGGAGTCGCATTTCCTGAAATCTGAGCTGCGAGTGCGCTTGCAGCCAGGTGTAGGATGTGAGACAGGGGCGTTTGTGTAGATTCATCTCTTCGGAGTAGCCGAGTTGCTCGTGACCTAATTGCACCAGGCGATCTCCTGGCCTCCGAAACGGCCGGGACATATCGAGAAGAAGCTGAGTTTGAGCGAACGTGTCGAGCTGCCGGCTCAACCGAATCAAGTTCGTGTGGCTCATCCAAATCCATCGCAGAATCCATTTGTCGTAAAGGTGGGAGCGAACCATCTGAATCTTCCGTAAACCCGGAACGAGAAGGACGTCGTGGCGGGGCCGTAGATGCATGACTTGTGGTTGAAGGTGAACCTTGGCCGAATATATGCGACATCGGTGATGCTATTGAACTACGCACATGGCCCAACCGGGAGTGGCGGCGCCAAGAGAACCTACGACGTTCGGCGGCTCTATCAGGGCTTAGGAAAGTTGGATTCGGAGGGGATTCGGGCAGGAGAGCAGATTCGCCACGTGGTAGTGCGTAGGGTCCCCGGATCGAGCGTCTTCTTGCAATTCCCCGAGATCCTAGGTTTCTGAGCGAAGGTGACTGTGGACGATTGCGGCCATCCTGTCGAAAGGAGAGTCCGGATCTGGAAAAGAGAGTAGGACGATTAGGCTGGCTTTCCCCTGACGATTCACTTCCACGGCTATGTAGGCTTCTCCTGATGGAGCTCGGAATGATTCTTGACCCTAGTCTCGACATGGTTGACTGTCGGCTACTGGATGATTGAGCAGACTGACGAGTATGAATGGAGCCCTGCGTCGACAGTCCCTCCATGGCCAAGTCTTCGTGCCCATCATGCACGAATGATCCTATGCGTTCTTGATTTTCTATCGATATTCGGGTTGAGGTTGAGCCCCGGGAAGCTGGAAGCTCTGAGATCGATGGCGTAGTGGCTTCCGACCCACTGGTCGGCTCACTCGCGTTGCGGCTAATTTGCATGCTCGGAAGACTGGAAGATAGACCAATGTGATCGTCCCCGATTTGCTGATCAGAGGTGGAGCTGGTGCGGCGAAAAAAGTCCGCCCGTTGCGAGGAACCAGCTTGGCCCATTGCTGTAGCTGGGGATGAAGCAGCTGAACGGCGATCGGAAAGAGCAACAAAGGAGTTAGGCATGAGCTGCCATGTCAACAAGGGTAAAAGGAAAGCCTGTGAAACATTAAACACGTAAGCATTAACCTTCTAAAATAAAAAATATTATTCGAAAGAACATGGAAGATTGCGAGGTAGCATATCTCTGCCCTGTAACGGTTGATGGGTGAGGTTTTGCTCACTCAGAAAAGGTCGCAGAGCGGGCAAGAGGCGATGTGGAGGAGACATGGGGAAGAAGACTCACGAAGACGAGCTCTCAAGCGGAGTCAAAACGCTGGGCCAAATCGGTGGCTTGTACGGAGTACCTAAAAGCGAGTTGGGCTAATCGATAGGCTAGAATGTGTTTCTAAGGCCGTTTCAGCTTTGCCTTAGATGATACGGGGTAAGGAGAGCGACGCGGCAAAGAAAGTGACGGTTGATTCAGTTCAAAAGAAAGACAGCCTCTCTCGGCCTGCTGGATATCCAGACAGGCAAGTTGGATTCACAGAAATCCGTACACCTGCGAGAGGGGAGAGGTTCGGATGTGATGGATGGGGGGTGAGGAGGGCGACTGCTGGGTGATGCAGGATGGATGCAAGCTGAAGATAGGTGAAGGGGGCGGCGGGCGGACCAGTGGCGCAAAAGCATGACTTCATCGGAAAAACAGATCTTCCAGTGCAGAGCCGCCGCCCAACCTGCATCCATACTGTGGATCCATTCCGCAAGTCACTCTCCGGCCCTGCCCGGAACATCGCTATTGTCTTCGCCTTAGAGAGTGGTGTCGGAAGAAGCTCGACAATTCAATCACCGAACGCCGCTGCGGGAGAGAGAGACCGGCTCTTGTTTAAAGGTCGATTAAATAGCTAACTGCCCCATCCTCGTCAATGGATCCATTTCCCCACCGTCACATCACTGGATACTGATGAAGATGTAGATCCATTTGTACAGTAGGTACGGAGTACAGTGCATACGAGATGAGTGTGCACATTATTTCTTCCCCGGGGAAGCCGCCAGTGTGGGGCCCGCAGACCTCTAAGATGAAGTTTGGATCCATGCTTGGCCGTTGATACCTTTTCAATTGCTGATGGTCGGATAGCTTCTGCGAAGAGGTATGGTGGAGAGAGGCGATACCCGGACGAGCCTCCATTAAAATCCACACCACAGCGCAACATTAATATCATATCTAGGACTATCATTTTACGGGATATGTGGGAGAGTTTATCAATACTCTTACGAGTTTAAGCTATGGTAGGGTTCACCCGTCCCCCTCCAGTGCGCCATGTCTCGCGGTTGGTGAAGCGAATCGAAATCCCCCTCGCCTTGCGCACGTTTGATATAATTTGACTTGCTGATCTAGCCCTTCGCGGTTATAAAGTTTTTCTGGGATGCTACGCTCTCTACCGCCAGCGCTCGCGCGAGAACGAGACCCAATTGACCCATTATCTCTCCTATATCTCTCTGGTCATTGTGGGAATCGGTTCCGCGGCGTACCATGCAACATTGAAGTACCCATTACAGCTAGGTATATATTAAATCCTACCTGGTGGCCACTGGCTTTTGTTGCCATATCGCAACGTTTGTGGACAGCCGTGTTGACACGCACCTTATTCCTCCTGCCAATTTAGTTGATGACCTGTCCATGTTGTTGGGTGCGGGCATTATGTTCCATCATGTCCTTACCATCAATCGCGGGACTGGAGATCGAATTCGACTGTTTCTCCTTATCACTATTGTTCTCTCGCTCGCAGTCTGGGCCCATATAAAAACGGGCGACTCAGCGTTGCACCAGATCGTCTTCGGCAGCATGGTTGTTACCGTTGGATTCCGAACATTCAAGCTCCTGAAAGCAATGATATCCAGTCGGAATATGCGTTCGAAATTACGGCGACTCGCGACTCGGGGATATTGTGAGTATACTTTACAACCCGCCCAACCTTTTCACGAGCGCTCAAGGCTCACTTGCATTTTAGTGATACTGATCGTTGCGTATGGCCTGTGGTTGATCGATGTCTTCGCCTGTCAACATCTGAGAGCTCTCAGACATGCCATCGGGCTTCCTTTGGCTTGGTTGTTTGAGCTCCACGGCTGGTGAGTTGCTTCCCATTATGGTGTCTGCCGTCCAGGCTAGCTTGAGATCCGTTGAAACTAATGAGTTTGGTTAGGTGGCATATTTTGACCGCTACAGGCGTATATATATACATGCTTCTCGGAGAATATCTCCAACCTGCTTATCGTGATCAGGAGTCAGGGGGAAATGATGGATGGATTTCAATTTTGAAAGGTCCATCCAATGTCAAGCCAAAAGAGTCGAGGACAAACGGGTGCATCAAGAAACTCAGTTGATCGAACATTGTCGGACTTTCTTTTCAACCCTGAGAAATGCAAAGCTCCATGTTGCGTGGTGGACAGCAGCTACTCTGTGAGAGCATGAACAGTCTTAATAGGAAAATAATTCGAAACTGCTGTGATAACCAATGCTTACAAGATAGTAAAAGCTTTTCATCAAAAGAGGGGTTTCAAGTGTGAGAGTGTCTTGGTTAATGCGTTCGCAGGACAAGGAATTTGCATCCTGAATTATTATTTGTTGAGGCATGGACAAGGATAGCCTGTGAAAGGAGTCACCTATCAGGTAAGGACAACCAAAAAGGACAGACACAAATCTTCCTCTATAACTAGTCTGTAAGTTGGCGGTGTGACCACTCAGAGCTGCCCTTTTTTGACCCCGTTTTAAGCTCATTTTGTCACCCATGTGGTCAATAACACATCAAGAGCGTCACCCATTCCCATGCAGTAACGCAGGAGCAAAGGTATCAGTACACCCATGAGAGGATTGATAACTCACAACAGTCAGCCCATCACCCTGATAGTGATAAGCAGATGGAACCATCTGCTAGATTGGGATTGACCGGAGTCCGACCATTCTCGTCATGGATTATCGCCCTTAGGAACCGCTTCTAGTCTGTTTATAGATGGAGGCTGTAGCCCGTGCCCAGATGTGGGAAGCTCTCCTAACAGCATGAGTAACTCTAGCAGGATGACACCCCGGACACCACAGCCATCGATTTCGAGCATTCTCACTTTGTGACGGGTTTGAATGGCTCCAGGCTGCTGCTCAGACTCCCACTGGTCTTGGAGACCTTCCTCTGATCACTCTTGCTATCAAGTTTATCGCTATTTTGTCATTTAGAGCCTGTCTCGAAGTAAATCCGGGTACGTCCTCTCGAAAAGTCGGGTTCGCCACCTAAATTAGGATCAAACGCTGACCCTCTGATATAGCCTATGAATGTCCCTTCCTCCGTCCGCTCGAATATCTAGAGGCCCTGTTCCATTCCAACTTCATGCTGTAGAATGGGATATTATTGCATCTTCATAAATCTTGAAATCAGACCGAACTGAGCCACCCCTGAATACTTGATACTCTTTCATGAATATCCGTTGGCTTAGCCTCATCATCCTTTCAGGAACTGTTGGAGATATTCAAAGACTCAAATGTTTCCCTATTGCTTTCTTCCCTTAATCACTTGTCGAAATAAATGTCCTTAGGAAGGATAGCCTTTGCAGTTATGTGTAACCCACCCAAAAGCCTCCTGGGATGCTATCATCCGTGCCTTCTGATCGGGGAGAGCTTGACACAAAAGTCCTTAGGGGTTGGCATAGTCGTGTTCATGGTGGACAAACAGTTTGGAGTAGGATTTGTCCCAAATCCACTGACTTGTATTGCCTGACCATCTTCTTGAAGCCATACATCAATGCCTATACATCAGTCGGCGGCAGTAGCAGGTATGGCGGACATGTACTCTAGTAGCCAATTGTTGGGAGGTTGTAATCCCAACAAGCTCCCATGGTGTAAAGATTGGACTATCGTAATGTAAATTATCATCAGCAGCAGGTGATAGGGAGAGAAGTTGCCAGACATCAGCTCTAGACATCCAGATGCCAGCAACATTGGGTTGAATATATGGCACTGAGCCAGCAATATCCATGAATGTTTGCAGACAACCAATCCCGGCTGAAGAGATATGACTCAAAAGGAGCAGCTCTACTTCCCACAAATTCAAGTATCATTCCAGACAGTCCACTGAGGCCGGCCCCTAACTAAAAGGGATACAAGGTTTAGATGGCAAATGGCGCACATTATGGTGACCAACTCGGTATTGTTTGACAAGCCCTGAAAATGAACATTGCGTAGTTCATTGAGGACGGGATGCAACCGCAGGCTAACAAAATTGCAAAGCAGCCCAGGTTTCCAAAATACGCCACAGAGGATGGAGAGTCTTGCCTCAGAGGCGTTGGAGTGCCGCTGCAGGTATCCCGCAAAGCCAAAAATCAGCCCTGCAAGATGGCACGGACGCCCTCCACGCTCTTCTCAACCAACTTTCATAACCCATCTTCTGTCCCGCCTGTCCCCAGCCTGGAGAATTGCACCCTATCAGAGTCCACGTCAGCACATTCTGCAAGTTTGCTACTCTGCATCGACGCGGGCCACACATCGGTTTAGTCACCTATCGTCTTCCACCTCAAAATGTAATCCAAAAGCTACTCGAGGTGCAACGGTCTAGACTGCTAAAATCCGAAATTCCAGAGAGACAAAGGGAGAAAAGGGCAGTTAAAAAGAAAGGAGCAAAACGTCAAGGAAATAAAATCTGTATTGTCCATCGCCATCATCAAAATCTATCCATCAGAGTTTTGAATGAGGGGGTCTTGCAAGAGCTGTGTTGCAGTCAGACGCTTCTCAGGGAAGTAGTTAAATCCTCGACTCAGAATGGAGTATACAAGTTCTCGCTTTGCTGGATCGGCGCGTCCTTCCGTAGGAACCCCACCTACGTACAAAGATTGAAGGTCGGACTAGGCTGATTGTTCTGATCATATCATGAATTGATGCTTGATTTGGGCAAGATGTCATAGCGCCTTCTATTCCTCAGGGAGCGGGCCTAAGAGCTTGACCATAAAACCCACAGCACCCCCCATCTGAAAAGGTAGTGAAAAGGTGGAGACCAAGGTAGAGCTCTGAAAAGATGCACATGTAGCTCCACATGTCGCAAGCAATGCTTGGACCTTTGTTATGAAGTCAATCCAGGGAACAGAATATAGTTGGTGGACGGCCATCTAGAATCTTGAGATCACTAAGTTTCATCACCAGGCCAAAGCCTCGTATTTCACTTTCCTGCCGAGGTGGTCAAGAGGAACCATGCCCCATAGACAATTACTATCATTTGGATCTGAAAGGAGGGACATTACCATGCGAATAATAGCACAAGACAGACTCTTGCTTTGCCTCAGCGCACAGTTCCAGCTTTGTGTAGGTTTTCCACGGCCTCCAGCAACTGCATCGTAGCGGTCATTCAGGTAGCCATTGACATATCTTTCCACCTCAGGTTATAAATGCCAACCACATCAGGGAAGCACCACGACCCGGTGAACTGCACCTGTCTCCACAAAGTGTAAAGGTCACCAGATACATGACAAGGTGCAAGGTATCCTGTACACTCTTGCTGTATTTCATCATGCATCCGAATCTCATGTTCTCTCGACTCGCTTGGCACCAGAACTTTTAACGGCCACATACCTTTTTCCCTGAAGGTCATGGGCCATCCAGATAGTAGTAAAGCCGCCATGGCCGAGTTTGTGCTTAACGCGGTATCTCTCATCAAGCACGTCTCCAATGCAGATCGGGTAGAATATGGATAAAAATTGATTCTTATCATACTTCTCAGAGGGGCTCAGCGACCTCCTCGATGAATCCCTCTTCGCGTTCAGTGTGCGCAAAGTCGCCCGGGTCATCCATCTCGGTGCTAGTAACCTCTGAGGATTTGGGTATCACACTGCACTCACTTAAGCCATTGCACTACAGCAGAATATCTTGTTGTCGCAGGAAGCCACAGAGTTGTGCAAATACTTACAGGAAAGAAAAAAAAAGAGATCGCTGAAAGTAGTGGTTAAATGATTCTTTCTATTTGTCCTTTTTTGCACCCTGTTTGTAGCCTCGCACAATTTCACTCAAGTTTGTACCCTAGTGGCTTCGAGCTACCAGGTTGAACCTGACCAACCAACAACAGCAGAACTGCACATCTGCTTCATTCCTGTACCTTGGCCGGCCTTCAATTCGTTGTGAATACGGAGTACAGAGTACATGGCTTCTCTCTTCGTGCCACTTCCTCCCGGGTGCACCAATCTGAATCAAAATGCCTATGTCACAGACGTGAACCTGCAAATCCCCTAACGACTATCACGTATCAGGCAGCAGGAGAAGGGCAGTTTATATAGTCGTGAAAGTAGCAATATGGCGCTTTACCTGATTAAGGTGGTGCTAAACCCTACCCCCGGTAGCTACAGTTACTCCGTCTCGGTACTCCATACAGAGCCCTTCGTCTAACAACAGATATGCACTTTTTTAGCACTCCCTCAATGCAAAGTGGACTAGGAGCGCTTTGTGACCCCTCACAAAATCACAATCCAAACCCCCCCGCCTCCCTTTTCCGGAAGATGGAGGGAAGTTGTGTGGTAATATGTGGGATAGGCTTTGGGGAAGGCATCCACCGCAGACTTGGTTCCTATGGACAGACTGTGGGCAGCCTTACAAAATGGTGAATGGAATACCAATCCCACCGGTCAAAACAACCGCTCAGTCCGCCATGCTCCGTGCAGAGTACATACAGCCCATGCACACCGTACTCCGTACCACCCCAGTAAATACGGTGGCTGTACGCAGTCCGGAAGACTGAGCTGATGGGCTAACTAAGTGGGTTAACGAGTAAGTTACACGGTGGATACTGTAACTAACTAAGCAAGCGCACTCCACGTGGGAATCAGCCACATTGATGGGGCCGGTGGACCGTGACTAATAACGAGTCGATAGTTAGTTATCCAAACTGGCAGAGCTGAAGATGAGAGAGCAAGAATACGGAGGACATCAAAAAAAATAAAACGACGCCGGCGTGCCGGAAAGACCTTCTCTCGTCTCGGCCGGAAGATGGACAAAACCTATTCTCTTGAGGGGAAAAAACAGTGTAAACGGGGAGTTTCCCGGCGGCGTATTGCAGACCGACAAAGCTTGGAATCTTGCCGGGGGGGTGTAGGTTAATTTAGCACGTCGTCACGGATCGTTACTTATGAGAGCTTTTGATAACACCTGTACGGAGTACTCCGTACGAGCTTCTGATAAGGGTGGCAGAGGACTTGGCATGCCTTAGCATGACTCTTGATTTCGGGGCCAATGCCATTTCTTTTGTTATCGGCGACGAAGTTGGGTGCAAGGGCGAATATCCGGGAAAGGAGCAGTCAACCCCAACCAGGATTCTCCATTCAATACGGGCCGCCGAACCGGGATGCTGGGAGGGCATTCCCGGCATCGAGGGCGGCACCATGGCCGAGGAACTCTATGTAACCTTTGAGTTCAAGCTTCTCCTTCTCGGCCTCCCGTGCATCGTTTCCCGTAAGAGAGTGAGGGTAAAAAAAGAAAAAAAAAAAAAAAAAAAAAAAAAAAAAAAGAAGGAAAGGAAAAAGAAAAAGGACGGGGTCACACGGGACAGGTTCCGTTCCTGTTTTGGAAGACCTCCTCTGGCTCCAGAATCGTGCGGCGTCCTGTCGTTTTTTTTGTTTTTTTTTCAGGCTGTCCACCGAGCAGTCTGGAATGGTGGCTTTGCGCGAATTGGAAACCGGCGTCTTCAAGCAACACAGGGTTATCGGGATTCCTCTACCGTCTTGCCGTTAAAAAGGTTGGCCCCGGCGGCCAAACCCCGAGATCTCAGCTTCGGACCATGGAAAGATGCCTGCACGTCAATTCCTGAGATACTTGTGTGCCGCCATATAAGACCGCCAACTAAGGCATGGACTGCGTCAGGCTTCCCGGGGAAGATGGGCCCCTCGTTCTTGCCTGTCAATTTATCTGCAGGCGATAATGCGCAGTGGGCTCCGTCGTTACATGTTCTCCGGACGTACGGAGTGCCTATTCTTCTTTTCCGGGACGAGCGCGGCCTTGGCAGATCCTCGGAAACCGAAGGCACAAAGCGGAACGCAGGGACGCGGCGATCAAGGACTTCGTGAGAATTGGAGGATGCCGAAGCAAGATCGGACAAGTCATGACTGTCTATTCTAGGCCCAGCTATCAAATTTGCCATGGAGTACCTTTTGAGGTCCATGCGATACCCTACCCTAAATATTACTGGTAGGATTTTGTCCCAGCGGCACCGCTACCCACAACCTTGCACTCAAAAAACTAAGATCTATATAATTAATTGGTGCATGGAAAAACCATGACCCTTGGGGCCCTTGCATGGTTGCTGGATTTAACAGCGGAGATGTTTGGCAATGAAGACAGCGCCACACCTGCAGTGCCGAGGGAATCCATCCAAGAGGACACCTGGCTCGAAACTGCTCTGAACATGGGGAACCATGAATAGCATCAAAAGGATCCTTGGATCTTGAGACAGTGGGCCACCACCAGAAGGGGAAGAAAAGGGGAGGGAAAAGGGTAAACAAGGCAAAGAATGATACAGAAGCAGAGAAGCAAGTATTATAATGCGAATGTGTACGGAGTAGACCGCAAGGAATCACCAGGGCGCCGCAGTAAAGTTTCAAACAATCCCATACATGCATCAACAAGCCATTTTTTCCCATGTAATTGTAAAAACCAACTCGAGAAAATAGAACGATTTCACACGCCCTGTCCCATCTTCTCTAGCCCCTTCTCGGCGTCATCCAATAGGGTTTTCAGTTCACGCCCTCCATCAGAGCCCCTTCCTTCAGCTTCCAAGCCTTTCTGAAGCCAGTCGATGGCCTCCTCCCATCTTCCCATCTCGATCAAACACTTTCCACCCCTCCACCAAGCCTTTGTGTTGGTTTCATCGTTGCATTCAATGCTAAGCTGCGCATCGACCCACCCTTCGGGCCACTGCTGCTGGGACATGTGTGCCTGAGCACGATTTGAGTAGAGCGGAGCCAGTTCCTCTCGCACCAAGCCAAGCGGTTCCCACGCGGGCCGTTGCATGGCCATGTCGATCGCATAGCTGTATAGTCTGATGGCCTCTGCGAAAGCGGACTTGCGATATGCCGTGTTTGCGGAGTCGCGCAGCTTGGAGACCTGGGCACTGCGTTTCGGGTTCACCGGTCGCGGCGGGGGAGGGACATTGGGGCTGTCGAGGTTCAGGATGGAGCGGTGCAGGGAGTTGAGGGCGTCAAGTTCGGTGGAGAGGCCGGGATATGAGGTATTTGGGGCAGAGATGGCTTTGGAGGTCGGGTCGAGATGGAGAGGGTGCTGCAAGAAGACTTGGGCCGGAGAGGCCATGTTGGTATGGAGTTCTTGAGGTTGAAGCCCTTTTCCTTTTCTTTTTTTCTTTTTTTTTTTTTTGGGTATTCTGAAGTATCTAGGTTATGGAATGGATAATCTGGGATCTAAGGATGTTATTGAAGGGAATGGGAGATAGGCTTTGGAGAGGGAGCTTGATGTTGGCTTTTTGGTGGTGACGAAGGAGTTTAAAGGTGGCCTTTAATAAACTTGAGTGACAGCGCTGGTTCTGCCACCCAATTGAAACAGTCTACGGAGTAAAGGGTGGCCTACACCAAGTAGGAAATTCAATCTTCGAGATAGCAAGGTAGATAGATACAGAAGACCTTCTAGATATAAAACTCAACCATCGTCTATGAATATCAAAATGACTGTCCCTTTTTGATGTCGGGGACCATTTTTTTTTTTTTGTCCGCTTCCTAGGCTTCTCCTGGAATTCATGAACTACGGCGGCCAACCCGGACGAACCCGCAACCAGGGGATCTGCGGAACAAAATTAATCCGCCAGTGGTGTCAAATCGTCTACATCGGGCAGGAAGCCGATCCACGCCCAAAAGGCTCCTCCCCAGAAACGAAAGAGTGCCATTACCAAGATAGGCAGGTAACTCACGTGTTAGAAGCAGCAACCCCGGCTCCTTCTCTTTGCGGCTAGGGGTTCCTTCGCCGAAATAGGTAATATACATACATAGGCTAACTAACCCTGCACACCCGTTCCTTCTCCCTCCTTTACTCCGTACCTGCCCCTCTTAGCCCCTCCCTCTCCTCTCCGCCTGCTTCTTGGACTTCCGCCGCTCCTTGCGATGGTCGCGCTCAGACTCTCAACGTCAAGCATACATTCATACTCCCTGGCTGGCTGCGGAGTCATTTAAATAACTAGCCAGTGAGAAGGAATGACATATAAGAGGCTTTTCACTGTTGCATTGATCCTTCAGCGAACACCCATTCCATAGTTAAAGCCGCTAGTTAGGTGCGAGAGCCGCAAAGAGCTCTCCGAGTTTCCACACGCTCGCGCCGTGAAGCTTTTCTGACACCTTCATGCTCGGTGCCCTAGGTGCTAGGGCCCAGAGAACTTCACCTTTCCTGTGCTCCTCTGTCGCGTCAAGCAATATAGCTTGAACATCATGTGAAAAAACACACCTCCTCCGCATAAAGGCGCCTCTTCCCCGTTGTCATCCGTATCGCCCTTGAGATCCGGCTTCCGGCTAATTCGAATTCAGCCAATGCAAGGCACAAGTGATCATGCAAAACGGCCATAGATACACCGAGGCTGTTTGTTATCTACGCTAGCTAAGGCTCTTGGCATTCCGATTCCACGAGGGGCTGGAATGGTCTTCCTCGCCCAAACCACCATACGTCTGGGTGCTCTGTATGGAGTATCGCCTTTCATGATTCAAGCCGCACTCGCCGACGCTTTCTGACGCCTGAAAATCACTTTATTTTTTCAGACGATAAATGCAGGCAGAAACTATGATATCACTCCGTGCTCCGCGGACTGAACAAGCCCTTTTCTCGGGTGCGTGAGCTTCACCACTATCAAAACCTGAGTTCTGGACACCTTGTATGTTCTAAAAATATCTCCGTATCAGCCGATAGTCTCCAATTCTGACCGCCCTCGACCAGCCATCACCGAGCAACTAATTTTTAGCGTGGAGGCCTGGGTCCCAAAACGCTCAACCCAGGATGCAGATGCCAGGAGGCTCCCAATGAATGTAAGCCAATCAGCATCGATAACAATGCGTTGAGTGCAGCTGTCCGGGCGGGCCACAATGTTATGAGTTCGGCCTCCATGAACCGGACTGATACATACTTGACTCTTGTGACGAGAGCTTCCCGTGCGCGGAGGCACACCCTGAGGTTATTTTCGTCAGCAGAGAAACTAGCCAAAGCAGTCCCATAGTTTCGCCCCTCTGCCCCAACAAAGACAGCACGGCGCGCCTCTCCCGCAGAAGAACCGCGTAAATTGAATTATCTTTTTCCCTATCCTGACATGTGGAGCCCCATGCATCGAGCCATTCTGGTTGTCCTAACAAGGTTTTTGGATTCTGATGAGGCCTACCGGGTGTGACCATCATGGCGTCCCACGGCGACGATGAATCATGATACATAAACGCAAATCCACTTTGATGCCATTGGCGGCTAGCTAACGAACTTAATCAGTTGGTCAGGATTTACTTTTTTTCGGGTCCGCGGGGTCATCAGGCCCTCCCAATTCCCTACAATCCCCGTCCGAGAATTGCGCAACATCGAGGTCAAGTTTATGATTCCTCGAAGGGAACTCCTGGCAGCGATAACTAGTGGTAATGGTGTATTTCTAGGTAAATACCGGTATGGTTAAGTGAGTCGAGCGCGTTCGCAGCGCCGGACCTGGGCAGTCGGGACGCTGCGTTGCAGGGATGCAGTGGCGCATGCCCGGGACACCCTAGGCGATCCAGGGGGACTGGCTTCGCACCACCCGAGAGACAGTGGCTATCGGAACATCCAGCCGAACCTTCCTGCTGTTCCACAAAGGCTGAACGGACTTCGCACCCTGGGGTTGAGTATGTAGGTAACCAACGAGCAGTTAGACGCATCAGGAGTACGACAAGTCTGGCGGCGCCTGCAGCTCTAGAAGCGGCAACAAAGATATGAAGCTAAATCGGCGTGCATACGCTGGGGCACACAGAGCACCAACTAGTCAGCGAGAGATCGGCCTGGTTGGTGGATAGTTCCTTGACTCAGGCCGAAGAGCCGTTTTTATTGAAAGCCTCGCAAACTCAATTTTGCCCTCTCGAGATCAGGTTGGCGACCCACACTGCCCATGAACATAGGACCGTTTGGACTTCTCCATTCCACACACACACACCTTTCTCCAAGGAAAGCAAAGAATCGTTGCTGTACGGAGGAACTATCTGGGGCCCCTTCCACGGTTTTTAGCTCGATAAGGCTCGAGTGCGAATACGGAGTGTGGAGAGCATTCAGATCCAAACTTTGGCTTCTCCACACACTCTTTTTCTCGCGTCCCCCTTCTCTCCCAGTCAATGCCGTGCTGGAGTGCTACTGGGCCAGGGACGATTTCCAGCAAGTCCATTTGTCCACAGCTGGACAGACTTTTCTCCAAACATGCCATAGTGGCTAAATAGTGCGAATCGTTTTTCTTTTTTCTGGGCTTTTACGGGTCAACGATTTCCACATCAAGAAGATGACCCCATCTCTGGCTTCCGGCGCTCTGGTGCCATCCGCTAACCATATTCCCTGCAAATCACACCCGTTGGAAATCCCCCAGTTTCCGCCCCAGGCCCTGATTCTTTACATAGAAATCCTTGATGCCACCCGATCAGCAGTCAGCTCTGACTTCAAACTAGCCGGAACAAGGCCCCGTCCGCCTGCTTCCCACCCTGGACGAGCACGATCTCATCCGTGCTCAGATGCATGTTGTCTGTGAGTAACACAAGCTTAGAGGCACTGAACCCTGCGCACTTTTAAAATTCGCACAAGAGTACTCCGGACGGAGCACGGGGTACGGCCACTCCCTTGCAGATTGAGTTTGGCCCTGGCTGGCTTCCTGCCAGCGGTTATTCCTTTTTACTACGGAGTATCCCCTCCACTATCCGTCCCTATGGGCAAGACCCTTGAGCCAGCTTGGAACTCTTTGGGATTGGTTTACGATACTGAGGTAAAATTTCATTAAAAGTGTCCTGTTTGGCTAATGTTTTCCCCCTTTAGAACTTCTTCGCATATCTGGCCGCCACTGACGACATGGCGATCAGCTTTCTTTTTAATGTAGATCTTCTTTTCTCCTTTGAAGCAAACCTGCGAAGCTGCTGTTATACCTAAACACGCTATCTCTACAAACGCTGTTTATCATCTTCTCTTGAAGACTACTCACGGAACTTGGCTCCCGCAACTGTCACACCTCTGTCCTCTGAGAATTGGAAAGGCGATATGGAGAGCTCTGATGCGTCCGGATTCCACAGGGAGGGTGGTTACTCGACACCGGGCCCGAATACGTGGAATATACCGTCAGCTGCGTTTCCAACTCCGTCGAACATTTCATTAACTCCGCACTATCCCAACACACTTGCGTTATGGCATAATCCGCACCATATTCATCCCTCCTCTGATTCCCAAGATTTTCGACCTCAACCTCAGGTTCCTCAGAGGCCCCCGGAACAGAAACGGCACAAAAGGACCAAAAGTGGCTGTTTCACCTGTCGCGCACGCCGAGTAAAGGTCGGTTCTCACTTCTTGTGTGTTCTTTGTCCTCTTTGTGTCGCCAACTGTGAAGGTTGCGTAACTAACAGGCGCCAAGTGTGATGAGACTCGCCCTATTTGCGAGCGTAAGTATAATCATCCGCCAGTTGCATATATTAAGTCGCATGTGTTAATTTGGTTTATCGTTCAGGTTGCGGTAAAGGAAAGCGAGAGTGCAACTACCCTCCGGCTCCAATTTTAAAGAAAGATAGTCGATCAAATATGAAGAAAAGCGAGAAGTATCCTTCAATTCGAGAATCCGAATCAGAGGAGGCTAGTCACAATGATGCTAGCACGGGCACCCAAGACTCGTGGAAGCGGGATATTCAACCGCGACAGATGAAAGAAACCTCAAAGCAGAGTGCGTTTGCCCAGAGACATCAAGTTCAACCTCTCGCACGAAGGAAGATACGCCAGTCGTCCGAGACGGGTTCGAGTCTAGCAGATACGACATGTGCATCTCCATCAAGCGATATCACTGGACTATCGACGGAATCACCCAGCCCGGCAGCTTGCAGTGATTTAGATTCTCACTCGCTACCACCCTCCACCCCTTCTGACTTGTCTGTCTTGACACCGGACGTTACCTTTTTCATCGCTTATCGCAAACAACACATAAATTATCACCACTATCTTCTTAAATCCCATGCAGCAAAATTCTTAGGTGAGGACATGATGAGCTACGCTATGGGCTATGAGCCTTTGCTATATGCCGTCGTTGCATTTTCCGCATATCATTACTCAATTGCACATCCCAACGGAAAGCTTTACACCTTTCTTCAGTACTACAACAAGTCGGTCTCGCTACTCTTAAACTCGCTCCGAGGGGGTGAGAAGCATAACGATGCTATGCTTTTAACTATTCTTCAGCTAGCTGCATTTGAGGTACGTACATGTTGCCCTAACGCTATGGTTTACCTGTTGATTGGAGAATACTAGGAGCTTGTCGGGGACTGGGTGAACCTCATCGACCACCATCAAGCTGCCCACCGCATGCTGGTAGACCTTTATACTCCGGAAAGTATCAATGTCGATTATTTCCATCGTCATATCCTGCTCTGGTACACCAGATATGATGTGATGGCTGGTTTGATGTCAGGGAACTCGATGGTTTTGAGTCGTGAGTGGTATATGGCAGACGAGGAATTCTCAATGCAAGATTCTATGGTCCATCCGCATGACTTGAACAAGAAGGTTATGGCGTGGGGTGCAAGGTGCCGACGATTCGGAATGGACATGGCATCGTTATTTGCGAAAATAACCCAAGGCCTCATTACACTTGAGCAGTTTATAGAGGAGAAGGCGATTGTTGATGACGCTCTCGAGGAATTGCGGCAGTTTCTGGAATCGATGAAGGATCCAAGATATCTAGTGCTCTCCTATCCACATCAACAGCCACTTGAACCTGGAGATGTTTTTGACCCTTACGTGCCCGGAGTTATCTATGGCGATGAGCTATGGGACGTTAACTTCTGCGCAATGGAATTGATAACAACAACCCTGTTATATAAGTACCAAATAGGGGCGATACTGAAAAACATGGACCACTCAGAGTTGTATGAGATGGCCAAGGAACAAGCTCAGAGGATTGAAACATTGAATCGCTGGCCGAACTGTCCTGAAGAAATGCATCTTCGGTTTATGTCCCCTTTGGGAATGGTCGTACTTCTTCTGCCTCACGACGAGGAGCATATTATGTGGTGTCGAAAGAAGTTGGCTCGCAACGAGCAGTTAGGGTACGCACTCTTACTTTTTTGACTTTCCTTTTATATTATTGTTGGTATCTCCTCCCCGTTGGAGATTGGAAACACTAATTTTTTATTTTTTATTTTTTTTTGCATCTAGATATATCTATCCTCCAGCGATGCGTATGAAGCTGGCCGACTTCTGGAAAATCCCGGAGGTGAAGAACTGGTGGCTTCCCAATGACGAAGGCTATCCAAGGATTGTCCAGGACATCAGGGCATGGACGAAGGAACGCATCACAGATCCAAGGGATACATTCCGTGAAGCCGTTCGGGATATTAAAGCGGTGTTTGGGAACATGAGTTTGGAAGACAGCAGCAGCCCAGGGACCTCTCCGAGTGTCAATAGTGCGGTGGGGCTCTCGCCGCGACAATCGCCGCAGGATCTCAGGCCAAGATGACGCACGTGGAATTTTATGCGGAGCTTAGAATTAAGGAATATTCCAGTCTAGACAATGGATTCCCGCTGGACCAAGCTGATTTCGACGATTATATTCTACCATGAAGCGGAGCCTTGTAGCTTCGTCTCGAATTCTGTCATCTGTGAACCCAGTCTCCCTTGAACATATTGGAGGATTGGGAATCGGCTCTGTTACTGTTTCTCTCATTCAAAGGAGCTGTTTGCAGATACTGCCGATGTCTTGGTCCATGGCATAGCATTGGGTATCGTCGAAGAGTCCACGGAAAATACTGAGCTTATCTGTCTGTATTAATTTCTGCCATTTGATGCTGGTTGATTCCACAATGTCCCTAGCCCGTTTGGTTAGTTGATCAGCATCGAGAGTTCTCGGTTCGCATAACACCAGCAACCATTAAATGATGGCAAGAGATCCTACATCGTGGTTCAATAAAGCTACCTTTTTGTCCCCTTTTCCAATTCCCCACGCCATCTTGAGTTTATTTGGAGGTTCTCAATATGTACTCCGTCGTTAAGTCTCTACTGTGATTTGCCAAAGAAATATGCTTTGGCAACATTTGAGCCCCTTTGTTCAGCCGCCGAAGATCTTGGATGCTCAGCAACGAACCGGGAACAAAAATAAAAATTCTCCACTTGTTGATCTTCTCTACTCCGTACTCCGTAGAATTACCTATTATTGCATACGCTGGACGCCTGTAATGCCGGCCGAGCAGTGAGCGAACTGGAAACCTCAGTCTCTCACATTTACTCGTACACTTTCACTCCGCCAGCCTTCCCTCTAACCTCCACGGCTTCGACAACTGTCGCCAATCCAGCTGGCAGCTCCCTTCCTTCAGGTCCATCGGCATAAGAGACATCCTGTGCACCCATCTCCCCCTCCCCCCATGGCAACGCATCAACATCAATCTCCATTCCCAGAAGGCTCTTCAACACGACACCTGCCCCAGCTTTGCTCATCACAACGTTGAGCTCGGGACAGCGCTCGTCGCATACGCATTCAACGCAGCCACGTGGCGTGATACACGTGCATGATTCGATCCGTGCGACTGCGCGACGGAGTAGGGAGTCTATGAATTCAAAGGCCTTCGAGGCAATGCCTGAGCCCGACACGCCACCTTTAGCATCGTAGAACGTCAATCTAGCGGGCCGTTGGCGGCGCGGTGGCGGAGGCAGTCGGTCTTCTTGATTATTTTGGGACTGTGTAGAGGGCTTTTTTAATTCTTTGACTGCGACTTTGCACTCCGTGCGGATGTCGCCGGGTGATGAGATCACGAATGTCGGGAGGAGCGACATTACCGCGTGTTCCGCGGCGTGAATTGCAGCGGCCGCATTGAGATTGTGGGACGCGAGGATTTCAAGCGCTTGTTTTGGGACGTCGAGCCAGAGGCCTTTACTGAAAATATCTATCGGTGGGTTGTCGAGAGCAACGGCGTCCAAAATTCGGCCTTTTTTGTCCACTTTGAAGTATCCGTAGACGACGGTGTGTATCTTGATAGCGCCGAAGAATGCCCGGCTGTTAGATTTATCACTGATTTTCCTTATTGCCTCCGTCTCAATTGGATCGATGTCAGTGAAATCCCGCTGCCGCGTCGTCCAATCCACTTGAACACGAACAACTCGAGCAAAACGTAGAGTGGTATTTAACTCCTTTACCAGGTAAGTATGGCCCTGGTGAAGGAATATTGCACCCTCATAAAGAGTGAAAAAAACTCGTCTATCTTCGACCTCCTCTATTACTGCGTTGCGATTGTTTGTGGTGTCGATAACCGCATAATGCTCTTGTTCTACATCACGAATCTGAACGCAGCGTGCTGGCTGAGGACGGAATCGTTCATGACAATGGTAAAACCCCATATTATCCCGTACTAAACGGGTGGAAGCTAGCTGAGCTAGTTGAGGGCCAAAGTATTGCTCATCTTCTTCAGGATGTATAGGCATCTCGAATGCTGCACATTGAAGGTGGCCTTCGAGGACTAGCTCATTCTGTAAATCGACCTGCAACTCGCAGTTGGGTTTTGTGAAGAGCTCATCTGGGTTTCGCATGTAATGTTGGTCCGTTGCGTACGAGTCACCTACTAATATCGAAAGTGAGTCTTTATTTCGGCGTCCCGCGCGCCCGCTTTGTTGACGGAGATTAGAGATCGAGAATGGAAACCCATGGCTAATGACTGCATCCAAAGACCCTATATCGACGCCAAGTTCTAGGGCACTAGTCGCTACTATGCCCAGGAGTTTCCCTTCAAACATCTCCCGTTCAATCTGGCGCCGATCTTGGGGACTGTATCCACCACGGTAGCCCATGACGAACTTGGCGACGCTTGATCGATCTAAGGCACGGAATTCATCTCTCACTGCACTTAGGAGGAATTCACATTGTTTTCGAATACGACAGAAAGCGATTACCCGGACACCGCGGAGAATTAGCTGGCAAAAAAGCCTTGCCGACTCTAACAAACAGTTGCCACGACCAGAGCTAGGGTCACCAGGATCCTTAAAGGGGGTATTCCAACAGATGAATTCCTTACGGCCAGCAGGGGATCCGTCAAAGTCGGTTAATTTGACTTTGTTCACACCAAATATAGTCTTCATATGTTGCTCTGGATTGGCGACAGTGGCAGAGCAGGATACAAATCTCACGCTATGATTCCCCAGGGAAGCGCATATCCTTCTCAGCCGCCTCATAATATACGCGACGTGGGAGCCAAAGAGGCCATTGTACACATGAAGCTCGTCCACGACTACGAGCTTCAAATTTTTGAGAAAGGTACGCCAAGACGATTCCTGTGGCAAGATTGTAATGTGGAGCATATCTGGATTGGTAAATATGATCCTGGCTTCATCACGAATTGCATTTCTCCGCTCCATTGGTGTATCGCCGTCAAAGGTTTCGACCATGGTATATTCTAAGCCTTCCATATACTGCATTAGTTCCTCCATATTCCGCCGCTGATCCTGTGCAAGGGCTTTTGTTGGGAATATATACATCCCTCGGCTTTGGCTATCCTTTTCTAGCTCACAAAGCATCGGCACCTGGTAGATCAGTGATTTTCCTGAGCTAGTTGACGTTGAAACGATCACGTCGTGCCCGTCATGAAGGTTGTTGATGGCTTCAGCTTGGTGCGAATATATCTGAGTGATCCCTTTTGTGTTGTAGAGTGCATTGACCACATTCTGCGAAAGTTGAAAATTCAATTCGCCGTATATGGGCAGCTGGGCATCGAAAACGCGATGTCCATTCGGAACAATCTGACCCGCGTACCATTCTTGCTCCCTAATCTCAGCGATAATTTCAGATATGGATTTTCGATCCTTGGGAATCTGCATAGGCAACTTGGCAGCAGCGGGAGTATTAATGCCAGAACTGCCGGAGACAGGGAGATACATATCCTTTTCAGCTTCAAGTTTTGCGACCGGGTCGACACCTTCATCTTGGCAGCGAGAAAGAAAAGTATCAATAGCATCAGAAAACTTTTTATTCCGCTTCTCGAGCAGGGTCAGCATATGTTTCTGATTATAAACTGGCATTTTCAGGTTATCTTCCATCGGCCTTCGAGTCGCCGTTCCGATATTCTTTTCTCTCCTCAAGTCTCCGTCCACAAACTCAAACAGTAAGACTTCACTTTTATCCATGCTGTTGCCAGCGATCTCCACGTCATCTTCCATATCCTTACCTGATTCTTCCGTCTCCCAGCCATCCCAAGCCTTGCCTAATTTTAGCCCTCTCGAGTCTGGTACGCTCATAACGTCCACTACACCAGCATCCACGGCCTCGAACCTTACTGCTCGTGGAATCAGCACCTTGACCTTGGCCACATCCTCAACGGTCAATCGTTTCCCGCCTGTCTGGGCTTCGACAGATGATTTGATATTCTCAAATGTGGTTGCAAAGTGCTTTCTTGTGCAGCACAAGGTGTATACGAGGTTCAGGGCACGGTGGGTCTGGGATAGGTCCTTGAATGCAGAGGGCCAGGGGATAGTAGGTTTTGCGGATGGCTTCACGCTGGAGCGGGAAGCGCTTGATGCTCGAGATGAGGCAGCGGAGGAAGAGCTCGAACGGGAAGATTTGCGAGAGCGGGATGGGCCATCATGTCGCTTCGTCGGAACTGTGGTGACTGTGGTATGTGCCTCGTCAGCGAAAGGGAGGGCTGCCCGACCTTCTGTTCCATCAAGGCATTCTGCTTTTCTCTTTTTGGCCATGGTCGAGTATAGGAATCGCCTGCAAACACAGCCGAGAAGGATCCGGCACGATTTTCAAAACTTTAGTCGCCTTGTTCCATGTTTAGATCTTCAGGCTGGCAGGTTTCTTTCCGCGTCTCTGCGAACTCTGTCGCGCGCCGAGGCGTCAAATCAAGGTTCGAACTAAGAATTAAGCGCTGCTTAGTTAAGTAGTCGTCTGCCTCGCATCCCGTAGAGGCTTCAAACGTATGTGCACAGCTCAGGAAGGGAAGCACGGCGAAGTTATCAAAGGAAGCATTGATTTACCACAGCTTTCAAAGACCAAAGACATCAAACTTAAGTAGAGTCTCTCTGACAATCGCTTGAGGGAGCCGCTACAGAATATTAGCACCTTGGAAATTCCCTATCTGCCAGGAGGCACTACCCAACATAACATGGCTTGTCTGGGCTATCTAGGTATACTTCCTGAAGAAACCCAGAACTTTTAAAGACGTTTGGATAAAGTCGGATATTTGACGCCACAGTACTGTACCCTATTAGCACTTCAGAATTAACTGCTAATTCAAAACTCTACTCCGAAAGTAATTACATTCAGACTTCCCCCCCCCCCCCCCTTTGGAGCGGGTCAGTTAACCGGGCACGCATTTAAAAACTCCGGTCACGAAAAGCTCAAAAAGAAAAAAAGATTCTCTTTTGGACAATGTGATAATCGAAATCACGACCTTCCGTATTACCATCAATGCAAAACGGATGTTATACCACTAAACTAATTGCCCATCTTCTTGGCGAAGATTTTCCGCTCAAAATTTTGACCCACATTATGAAGTGTGCGAGATACAAATGCGAAAACCCCCTAATCTCTACTTACAGTATTGTATGGAGAGGTGTCTGCAGAGTCTAGACAATGAAAGTGGGTGAGGAAAGTATTAAAAACAAAGAAAATCGAAACGATCGAAGGACCCTTTCTATTCCAACCCCAAAAGGTCATAAAAGGCCAAATGTTCTAGATAAGGAATATCTCCCAAGACGAAATTATGCACAGGTCACATAAAAGAAAGCAGTTTTGATCGGGAGGTATATGAATAAGACGCGACTCTAAAAGCGAAGGAAGATGAAAGACTACCATGCGCGAAATGGGAAACGGGTGTTGGATAAATATAAAATATAAAACTAAGCACGGCCACATGTGAAATAGCCATGACAAGTAGATACTGGTATCCAGACAAAACATTTTTTCATGAGACATGGCAGTGGATATTCGCACTGTACCCTATGATCGTTCAGGGGCCACATTCCACCATCGAAGATCAAAATTTCAACAGGATATCTTGTATACTATGATATGCATCTTTGGCCGCGGCAAGGCTTGCAGTCTATACTAAAGTCAGTCTCATCAACGACGCAATATAGGACTGTATGTGGCATGGAAAGCTCACCCTTAACAAATACGGAGTAGATTTGCCATTTTCCATTCCAACAAGGTGGATCTGTTTGCCCGTCGGTTCGTTGCCGGTCGCGTCTCCAACTTTCATTCCCTTGAAGAGCGGAGAATTAAGGACAACTCGTAACACGGCATCGGTGCGCATGATCATGCGTGCAGAGCGCACAACTCTCTTGGACGCGGAGCTTTCTTCGGCTTCAACAACATTGATCTTGAAGGTGCCAATACCACGCTCCTTCCACTCCTTGCCATCGAACTGGAACAGTTTCCCCCGGCAGGAGTACCATGTCTTTTCATTTTCCTCTCCGGTTTCCGCTGAACAAAATATGGAATTAGTGTTTCGTAAGGGAAAAATCAAGCGTGGTTAGAAACAAAGACCGCGTACTTTCTTGTTTGAAGAACCTGTCGTCCCTTTTGACCTCCTCTAGTCCCTCAAATGCGGGGCGGCTCTCGTCCTCTCCTTGATCATCCTCTTCCTCCTCGCCATCCGATGCAGCACCAAACGGCTTAGTCTTGGGGCCACCACCAAGAATAGTCGTGCTGTCAGGAGAAGCAAAACTAGTCAACCGTCCCGAAGATTGAGGCGCTGAAGAAGTAAAACTGGCAAAAGCACTCGAAGCAAATCCTCCCGAGAATGACGCGAATGGGGATGCCCCGGTAGCGGCAAGTGGCGACGGGGTAGCAGCAGTGGCAGATGCAACGTTCTCTTTTCCTTGGATACTAGTCTCGGCTTGTTTCATGGACTTGAAGACGGACGCGTTGCTTCCAATGGTGCCGAAAGGGGACTTTTCTGAGCTTGCGAAAGCAGCTAATCCTGACGAAGCAAATGCAGATGCGGATGTCACTGGTTGTGTTTTTGGAGCTTCGTCTTTTGATCTTGACCCGGCTGGTTTACACGCATCCAAGCTGGCGAATGGGGAAGTAGCGGAAGTATTGGCAAATGGATTTGGGAAGGATGCCTGTCGGCAAGCGTTGGAGAGTGTTCTTTTCACAAAGTGACTGCAGATGGTCCAAACATACCTTGGATGAATCGTCTTTCGAGACGTCTCGTTCTCGCGAGTCATCACGGTGTCTCTTCTTTTCTGGCTCACCCTCTTCTGTGCGATTAGTGGCAGACAACCCCGGCTTTTCTCCATCAGCCGGATGTTTTGCCTGCCCCGTTTTTTCGGCTTCGTTCTTCTCCAGTTTCAAGTCGTCCTTATCTAGCTGGTCCCTACTTCGCTTCTTCTTTGGGCTCAGGAGCTTATCCGCCTCGTTCGCAGGCGCCCGTAATGCTGATGGGGTTCGTTCGCGGTTCTCTTTTGGCTCAGCTTCCTTCTCTTGGTCGCTTGAGTTTTCTTCCTTCGAATCTCTTGATCTCTTTCTCCTGTGGCCGCCATCGTCCTCTTTTTTTGATTCTGCATCAGCAGGATCTGCATCTCTCGATTCGTCATACGATCGCTTTCGTCTAAGGCGGCCCCGGTCGTTATCGTCTGTCGACGCAGACTCTTGGGAAGGCATCGGCTGGTCCTCGGGAGATGGCTGTCGCGAAAGTCCGGCTATGGATGTCTCCTTGAGTTTTTGGCGGATAGGCCGCTCACCAGATCCATCTTTCTTCTCGTCAGAGGCTGGCTCATCTATTGTTGCTGATTCGCGTGCTGGTGTTGAAAGTTCCGTACCTTCTGAAAGCTCTTCTACATCACGACGTGGGAGTTCGTCTTCACATCTCTGCTTAGCTTCTCAATGTTAGTAGCTGAAAGGCCGAATTCAATCGTGTCTGCGGAGCTGTTCTAGAGTTTTGGAGCGGCTCATCGATGCGTACCTTGTGCTGGGTTATCTTGTTCGTTGGAATTAAAATGTATTAGCTTTACTCAGAAAACTTGGATTATAACGAGGGTATTTATGCCCTCTAGTTACAATTTCAAGGAGACCTGGAGTCCTCTCACCTTGAGTAGCCTCTTGGGAACCGTTCAGGAGGTCTAGACATTCGAAAGGGGTGTGAGTGGCGGTCTTTTCCAGACAGCGCTGAGGGTTCGATGGGACTCTCACCGTTCAACTCCGCACCTTGGCCATGAGCTTCCGGCTCCATTTTGAGAATCTCCTTGTTCCGCTTTGTCCTATGGCCTTGTTGTGGTGTCTGGATGGAGTGGTGTCTAAGTCGGAAAAGTTGGTGGGGAAGGACGGAGCCGAGTGACGGTGTTGCAGTTTGATGATTTGCTGGGTTGGTTGGCTCTTGAACGACAACTGGTTCAGCGAAATCTTGACCACACAACTGCTAGACAGCTCCCAAAAATTAGAGATCCCGGTCTATGGAGGTGCCTAATACCCTTGTGCTATCGTTCCGTTTTCTGATCTGCCGTCTGCTGTTTTTGAGAGTAACGCTGGAGCGGTCGTGCTGGAGGATAACACTGCTCACCGGATGTCCGTTGGCCGGGTTGAGGACCCTCGGCCGGAAGGCGTGGCAAGATGTAATTCGGCCTAGGAGCGATGGTTCGAGACGAAGGATAGGAGTGCTATTCCCTTTTCATTTTTGGAAATATTTTAAGAGTTGCAAAGCGGTAAGAGAAAGGATATGCGATTGGGCCAAAGAATTCCATTCTGTACTACATGAAATGGACTGAAGCGAGGATAAACTTTCGACGAGTATCAAATGATCCTCTTCAAAATAGTCATACAAAGAATAGGCTAAAACAACTAGATCAAGCATAGTACACTGATCCTAATCGTATCCTCGGTCATTCACACCTGGGTCAGCACGCATTGATCGGTTCCTCCAAGCCGCTATCTTCATTAATCAATCAGCAAACGCCCCTGGGCCATTCATATCTCCATTTCAGCTGATGAAACAGAGGCAGCCGATTCCAACATAGAACACAAGTAGTGGGTAAACAGCCAGGACGACTCTATTCTTCACGACCCCTGATCCTCCTAGAATACTGACGCCAGCCGCAAGCGACCACGCTACTAGGACAATATATACCGGGATTCGGGGAATGATAGGTAAACCTAGTGCACTAAGTAGCGCCGCAATTACCAGCGGGAATATTGTGTATCCGATCAAGCAAACGGATTGGAAGAAGGAGCTATCGACAGGATGTTAGTGGGCGGAGTTAACCTGAGACCGAGGCGACAACGAGAACCTACATATTTCCACCGAGCAACTTGATCTGCAGGGTGACGACTGCTTCTCCAATCCATATAATGCAGAACATACCCGAGAAAACCAAGCTCTTCTGCTCTTTGGACGCTGCCATAGAGAGAAACATGCTCAGCAATAAGCAGAAGATTAGAGGACCCCTAGAACCACAGGTCAGTCAGATATCCATGGCTTGCGTCCGATCGTGTATCGGGAAAACAAACCATAGATCCCAATCTCTCAAGCCCTCGCTCATCCCACCCTGCAGCACAGCATCTGCATCGGGCCATCTCCCCACTAATCCACTAACCCCCGCCAGTCCGTTCCCAAAGCCCGTGGATTCCCCTCGTTCCGCGGTGCCGGCGATGCCCCCGCCTCCACGCTGCAACATGCCTCCGAGCAGATACTTTGGCCAAAGGACTTGCTTCATTTTCTCCCATACTGCCATAAAATCGCGTGATAACGTATCCCATACAGATTCATCGATAGTGTTCACGGGAGCTCGGCGGTCTTCGCCGGGAATGGACGAAGTGAGATATGAGCCGGTGATACCGCCACCGCCGCCAGATCTAGAAGACTCGCCTCCGTTGTTCGAAGAGGAGATATTTCCTGTTAAGGGCGTTCGATCGGTGGTGGAGCCGAGCGGGTCATCGGCTTCGATAGCTAGAAGCAGACATACTTAGTAGATTTCCCGTATTCGGCTTCAAATCGGGTCGTGCACGTACAGTCATCAGCGTCTATAAGATCGTTGTCAAATGTCGAGTCATCATCGCGCTCAATTACGAACGGGCTCCCCGTCCGGCTCCCAGACGTGACACTGGGCATCATCGCCATCTTCTGGTGTCCTTATTTACTTCCGTCACAACACCAAGGGCATGGGCAGAAAGCCCGCGAAATGGACAGGAAAGCCGGTGGAGGATCCAAGTATACTCTTCTTCGGAGATTTCTCGCTTTAATTCAAAGATATGAAATTGCCATAATAGCTTCAAATTGGAAAGCAAACACCACTCGTGGCATTCAAGCTGCTGGCTTGGATATAACTAGCTGTGAACAGATGGTTGGATATTACGTAACCCCTCATCCCGGCGGTCCACTTCGGGGAGTAGTGGATCAATAGTCGTCCCGGTATCCTATGTAAAGGTTGGAAGGGTCCAACATGTAAATTCCAAATGCCACAGAAACCTTTTACAGTGGGAGTCTACATGTGGAATGTGAAGCAAATTGAGTGTATGTTGCAACCATCTGTAGATCCTTTGTAAATATGTCTGTAACAAGTAGTTATCAGTTCATTGTTGTGTTTTGCGAGATTTCTGAAATTTCAGCATCCGGACAGTATTGCTTAGCCATATAGATACTACGATATTGCTTGTGTCTATCAAGCCACCGCAAGCTTGTTACAGAGTCATCTTGTGAAGAAAATGCAAGATGCTATCATTAATTATTACCGAATTTAGAGCATGAAGAATGCAGATGTTCAGAATGCATTGATTCTATTAAAAAGCACGGGTGACTTAGTTCTGGTATCTCAATCACTAATTTCAAAATATAGGGTGGAAAGAGATTTATTTTTATTTTTTTATTTTTTTATTTTTTTTGGGTTGATGTATCATATATCTGTGTACGGAGCACGGAGTATAGAGTAACTAAGTAGATCTTAGCAAGCTGGCCAGCTTCGCCAGGCAGCAACACAGATATGCTTGTATCAATACAAAAAACAGGGGTATAGAGGAACGCTTTAAAAAATACAATATTGAATAGAAGTCCAGGAGGTGCAAGACCTATCCCAATGCCCAAAACCGCCAAAACCCGTACCACATATAGCTATGCTCAGATGTCCAGATCTTTACTCAGCCTCATAAGCCATTATGACTTCACTCTTTTCCTGGACGGAGTTGGCTCTAGCCATCCTTCCACAATCCCAACCGCAACCCCGCCGGAAATCCTATGCAAGAAATGAGAATAAAAAGAAACAAAAGAAGACTCGTCGCTATTAGCAGCCGTAAGGTCATCAGGTCTCAACAACGATCAAAATCTCCACAATTCTATCAACCAGATATTGCGCCTCTCCTTTCCACCTTTCATCACGCCACACATCCTTTACCCAGAAACGACATCGTGCTTTCCAGTCTTTAGGGTCAAATTTCCAATTCCATTCCCACGGTGCAAAGACACGGCCGGTGCGAGGGTCTGACTTTCTGCCCCTATTATCGTGAAGTTGGGCATTGACAATGCCAAAATGATGCGGGACAGGACCGGTAGTCAAGCCCTGTCGATATCTCCATTCACGCTCAGCCTTCTCCCCGGCCCGTTGAGCTACGGCCTCTTCATCTTCCGCCATGTAAAGATCACACTTGTTGCATTCAGTGCAACGAGAACCCGGATTAATACGAAAGTGCTCACAGAAGTGCTTATATCCCTCCCCTTCCTCTTCATCGTCCGGTAATTCTTCGTCGGACTGTTCATCCAGATCGACCGGACCATCAAATCCTGCATCCAGCAATGCAAGGTTTTCTTGATCCCGGAGTCGTCCAGGACGGAAGCCATTACCGCCCGGCTGTCTGACCGGTGGACCAAGAGCCTTGCGGCAGAGATAACACATTGAGTATCCGCAAACGCAGGTGAGCTTATTGCACCCGGAAGACTTGACAAAAGATAACCCACACCTCGGACATGTGCGCTTTATTGCGGCGGTGCGGGCGGCTTCAACGGTTGTTCTGAGATTAAGAAGAAGCGGCTCGTGGCATATATGCGGGTCCTGCCAGGGTTTGTGACAAGTAACACAACTGTCTCGTCCGCATGTTGGGTTTGAGCAAGTAAACCGCTGGTTGCGCGTTCTCAGACAAAGATTTCGAACGGATGCACTAAAAATTAGGGGTATTGTACTTGGATATAGAAGAAGAAACGCAGTAAGAAGGACAATAAGGAAGGGTATCATATCGAGAAGGACCATGATCATGCAAATAGTAGGTAGTACGCTTGCGCGCCGGAAACGCCAGGTCAAGCCCGGGGGCGAAGGGTGGTAGACAGGATCATATTCAGCATACGAACAAAAAGGGCACCGGACAAGCTTCAGCTGTGATTTCAGGAGGGATTCTTCGGCAATGCGGCTTTCGAATTTCTGATACGCTTCGCAACCGGATTTGTCCGCAAGAATAGCTCGTTTCACAAGTTCTGTGTCCAGCAGTCCATTGCAAGCACCATTTTGCAATGGAGCCAAACATCGAAGCGTAGACTTCTCGGTATTAACTGAGTTTCCCCAGCCCTGTCCAAATAGTGCCTCATGTACGGTTCGCTGGATGCAGGTAAAGCATATCACATGAGAGCTCTCAGAGCACATCGAAATCTGTTCAAAGGCGATATCCGAAAGGCAGCAGCTGCATTCGTATAGAGCATCTGCGGCTTGTGCTTCGACTTCGTTGAGCTCATGTGCTAATCGGAGATCCTCGTCTTCTTGGCTTTCCTTTTTCCGGGCAAGTAGGGGTACGACGAAAGATGTATGAAGCTCTCCATCCAACTCTGCAGAACCCGTTCCTTTCAAATGAGGACCAATATCACCATTTGGCTGCCGCTGCCAAACAAGTAGAGGCGGCTCGTCCTTCTCCTTGCTCTTCTTGAAAGAAAGAATATTGCCCAAAGTCACACGCCAAGTTTTGCGGGATAGATGCCTCAACGTTGGACGAGCACGCGTATAAGAGTAGTTGACTTCCGCCAGGACCGCATCAATAGCACTCCGACTTATAGAGCGAAACTCCTGGCACAATGCCGTCTTGACAGCTTTCTTGTAGTGGTCGCTCCTGAACATCTCTTCTTCCGGCACGGCCTTCGTCCAAGCGGAATCTTTTCCCCCTTTATCAGACACTCGTTTCGAAGTCTGTGTCGAATCAGTATCTGTGGCCGTCGGAACATTCCATCTTCCTTTCACCCATTCATTCCGATACCGTAGCAGCTGCTCCACGCAGACCTGTAGCCTGCTATCTCCGTCAAAGCGGACAAGTAATTCACGAAACACTTCGATCTTCACGTCGGGGAACAACTCCGCTAGGATCACAAGTGATTTATTAAGCTCCGCTCTCTCCTGCTCCTTCTCCTCTTCGTTGTTGAGAATCGTTGCGGGGCATTTGGACTTCCCGGCGGTTCCGAACGGATTGTTACGGAGGGCTTCGATAAGGGTAGCCGACGCCGGTGTCGCCATGGCGGAAGATGAAGATGAGGAAGATGCGGATGCTGTTGTGATCGGGACGGAGGATGGAGGGGCCAATGACGCTGTAGAGGCATTACCCGACGAAGGCGGCCCTTTCCCACTGGAGTGGGGTGATTTGGAGGCACGTAGAAATGGAGGAAAGAAAACCATCCTATCGTTTCTGCCTGGGGTGGATGAAGAAAATCAGTTCTTTCGCTACATGGTTGGATAGAAGTGTGGATGCGGAGAAAGCAGGGCGATGATGACGCTCAAATGAAGCTGTCCAACTTCACTTGGATTACCTGTCCGGCTCAGCTACCATGGTCGGAGTACCCCAGGTGATTGTTCCTGACGAGAAAAATACACCCCAATTCAGCGCCAACAACGGGCCAGACAGCCATGGACTCTGTCTGTGGCTAGGTTTAGTGGGCGGACCAAGATTCATGATCGCCGTCCAACCTTGCGATCTACGAATACGAAAATCGATACAACATTTCTCTTGGGGAATACTCTGTACTCCATGCAGAGTTACATACTACATATGTACAGTACATTCTACCCTATCGTATACCCATGTCCAGCAAGCCTTGCTCGCTCCACCCTTGCAGGGCCTTCTGAAAGGCAAGGAATGTATCTCGGAAGTGAAAGAATATCTCACAGTTAACAGATGCCGAATAAACAATCGGCTGACGCGTTGGATCTCGGCCTCAACAGGCCGAAATACGCAATGCAAAGCTACGAGTTATCCCTGGTTGAAAAAGAGGTTATAACCGGCGGTTGCACATTACGGGGAAAGCCGACCATGGATGCCGCGTGCCGAGCTGCGTACTCGTATGTGTGAGCTCAGATCTGACTCGCCGTCCACCCGATAATGAACTACGATTCGCAATTAACTAAATATCTTAGTTTGGTCAAATGCAGTGTGCATACATTTTAACTCATTAAAAGAACAAATTACCCCAAATTTGCAACTACCTAACCAACCTAATATGTACAGTACACCCGTGAACAAAAGAACGAATACGATCTTGATGCCAGAGACACCGGTTCGTCAGCAGCCGTAGATGACGGCTAGACATCGAATGCCATTTATAAACTCAAACCATATGAGCCGATAAACCGCTTAGAGCTTTGAAGCCTTATCGGAGACAAGCTCTACACCAGCACCAGCGATGGCAGGCTTACCAGTCTCGACCACAGTGGTCTGGAAAAGGACAAAGTTTCCTTCCTTCCACATCTCGGTTCTGAGAGTCTGGCCGGGAAGAACAACACCGGCGAATCGAACTTTGATGTTCTTGAAAGCACCGAATTTGCTGAAGACGTGCTTACCGGAGATGCCCATCGAGCAGAGACCGTGGAGAATGGGAATCTTGAAACCACCAACCTTACTGAATTCTGGATCAATGTGGAGCGGGTTGCGGTCGCCGTTGAGGCGGTAGAGGGCGGCCTGGTCCTCAGAGGTTTTCTCTTCAATCACAGCATCTGGCTTACGCTGCGGTGGCTTATACGCTGCGGTGGCGCCAGCAGGACGGCGAGCAGTTGGCTTGCTAGGACCACCAAAGCCTCCACTTCCACGGATGAACATGGTAGACTCATTGTAGAAGAGATCTTCTCCTGTATTTGCATCTTTGGTGATGTAGCCGTTAACAACGATAGCAGCGTTACCCTTATCGACGACATCGATGAGTTTTGGATAAGAGATGGTCTTGGCGGCAGTTGGGATGGGGAACTTCTTGATCTCCAAATACTGCTCGCCGTGAAGAAGCATCATGGGCGAGAAGTTGGCGACGATTTCACCCATATTCCACGGGATATCAGTATTGAACCAAGGAACAACGCCAAAGGTGGGCAGAGGCTGGAAGTTGTCGTCATTCTCATAAACGAGAGGAAGTTGAGTTCGCTTAGCCCCGAGGCTGACGTTGTAGAGAATCACGTCGCGATCAGTGTAGTCGAAGGAAGTTCCCTCCGCCTTCATTCCCTTGGCAGCTGTAATTGCGTCCAGGATCTGCTGGTTTTCGTCACTACCCTTCGCGGCTGAGCCGCCACTCCTGTTGCTCATGTTCTCCATGATACTCTTGAATCCTGCCTGGCCATCTTCTGGGTGGTCTGCGCGGCCGTCATCAAAGTTGGTGATCTTGCTCCACATAGCAGCAACTGCTTCTGGAGTCAACTCAACATCGATAGGGAAACCGTGACCACCAGATCGCTGCCATCTGGTTCGACCGAACCAACCGCTGCCGCATTCGTACAAGCCCTTCGTAGCTGGCTGGGGCACCATATCAGAGCAGAGAAGGGCGACGATTGGCGCAACTTGGTCTGGTTTGAACGCTTGGACAACCTCTTCAGGCATAACAGTCCGCGTCATCTGAGTACCAGCGTTTGGCGCAATTGTATTGACGAGGATGTTGTATTTGGCACCCTCAAGTGCCAAAGCTCGGGAGAAACCGAGAATGCCCAATTTCTGTGCCCATTAGTAATTTATCTCATTGAGTGGACTCTGGGTTGAACTTACGGCAGCAGCGTAGTTGGCTTGGCCAAAGTTGCCATAGATTCCGCTGGTGCTGGTGGTATTGACAATTCGTCCATATTTCTGTTTTAACATGTAGGGCCAAGCTGCCTTAGTAACGCTGTAGGTGCCACGGAGATGGACATTAATGATGGGATTCCACAAGCTGTCATCCATGTTGGTAAAAGCTTTGTCACGGAGGATACCAGCATTGTTGACGAGAATGTCAATACGGCCAAAGGCATCAATTGCTGGTTTTACGACAGCCGCGCCGTCCTCAACTGACGCTTTGGAGCCGACGGCTTTGCCTCCCATTTGCTTGATCTCCTGAACAACTGGTTCTGGGTCAACCAAATCGTTAACGACAACCGCGGCGCCTAATTTGGCAAAGAGAAGGGCATAGGCTCGGCCGAGTCTATAATTACAGTTAGATTTAGCCAGAAAGAGGTCAAGTCCTTATAAACTTACCCGTTTCCGGCGCCTGTGATCAAGGCAACCTTGCCAGTGAAGTCAGGTTGCTTAGCAGCGGGGCTGCTGGGGAGTTTCATTCCTTCTTCAAGCAAATCCATGAAATCGTTGGGGCCAGTTGGGTAGCTTGGTTCAGAGAAGTTGTTGACTTGGTCCCATTTTGCCAAAAGGGCACCAGGGGTAAGAGAATCATCTGTCTTCAACAAGGCGCCCTTGGCACGCTCCCAACGCAATTTGGCCACATGGCCGGCTCCAGCCTCGAAGATGGATCCGGTCTCCTTGCAAGAAGAGTGGACAAGGAAGGCGACCAAGGGAACAACCCACTCGGGCTTGAGGTTTTCCAAAACCTCCGGTGGCATGACAGTTTCAGTCATACGGCTCGCAGCTAAGTAATTGATTAATATTTATGCCTAGGTAGGGCGGGGTGGGAGCTACTTCAACGTACCAATTGGGGCAATGACGTTGGCATGGATGTTATATTTGATACCCTCCTTTGCCAGAGTCTCGGTGAAGCCAACCAATGCCAATTTGGCCGCTAATCTCGTTAGTAGAGCGTCCCAACGGAGAAACATCAGCATACATACCTGAATAGTTTGTCTGACCGAAGTTACCAAACAAACCTGCAGCAGAAGCGGTATTAATGACTCTGCCAAATTTTTGTTTTCTGAAGTAGGGCCATGCGGCTCTTGAGCACTACGGATAGAGTTAGAAATCGGTTTTCCAGCCCCTGAAAATGGGAGGTTTCTTCATGCACTCTAACACTTACCTTATATGAACCATAAGTATGGACCTGGTTGATCAGATCCCAATCCTGGTCTTTCATGTTCTTAAAGCTAACATCTCGGAGGATTCCGGCGTTGTTAATAAGAATGTCGATACGGCCAAAGTTCTTGATGGCAGTTTCGATGATCTTCTCTCCGAATTCGACGCTGTCGTAGTTAGCAACAGCCTTTCCGCCCTTGGATCTGATTTCGTCGACGACAACATCCGCAGCCTATGATTAACGACGTTAGAATGCATTGGTCATGAAGAACGTGAGACGGTGGTTACGGATTGCCCTCACGGGCGTGCCGATGGGAGGCTAACCTTGGACGAGTGGCCCTCGCCGGTATGTGAGCCACCCAAATCATTGACCACGACGTTGGCACCTCGTGAGCCGAAGAAGACGGCATAGGCCTTTCCCAGACCACCACCAGCACCTGTGACAACCACAGTCTGTCCGTCGAAGCGAAGTTGCGACATGTTGGAGTTTCTGTGAAGTTATAAAGGAGGGGAACTACAATACAAGAACCATGCAAAGATTAATGAAATGAGTGCACGGAAACTGAAGCTGCAAGTGCTAAGAGGGATGATGAAATGGAATCAAGAATAGGTAGGGGGAGAGGGTTGAGGAAAGAGAAGAAGAAGTAGTTGAAAGAAGATGATGGAAAAAGGAAGTTCGGATACTGCGTAGATGTGCGGGAAAAAACGAGGTTCGCAGTTGAAGCGCAGCACCAACAGTGCAGCTTCGTAAGTTGGACCTCGGCTGATGACAGCTACGGCGCAGGGACCTTGGCTTCAGCCATCCGAAGAGCGGCAGCCGAAGTACCTCAAAGTCGCGGGAGATTGCCACGAGTGCGCCGGAAAAATGACCAATCAAAATTCCTACTGCTTAAAATCGTGGGGGCCAATTTCTCTATTTCTATTGGTTAATACTTGTTTTTCTCGCAAAAGAACGCATATAATTCGTTCCTCGCCGCATTTCACATGTGCGGAGGTTGCGGAGTAGAGAGCGACTATTGGCCCACAACAACCTCGAGTCCCGCGCGACCTCAGAGACGGGCGGACGCCGAACATGGGACTTGGGTGCCCCCAAAACACAAGTGCACCCCCCAGTGAACGGAATCTAGCGGTGAATTTAACTGCTCCTGAGGATAGTTCATAACCCTACGGGGTATTCTCCCTTTCAAAAGCTATACAACAGCAGTACTATGGATTCTTTACGGAGTACTCCATGCTGTGCTCCTGCAAAGTTTCCCCCACCACCTGATTACCAGGAATTCGGAGTTGGAAGAGCTCCAAATCTGCTAGTTAGTTAACTTATTTTCTGGCTCACGATTACGTCATCTTGCACCACATGCTTCAGATCGAGGGTGTGTTTGCTTGTGATGCCCAAGGAGACTCCTTTTCTGCCCGAACATACAAAAGGAGCTGAGGGCGGAAAAACAATGTCGCAAATATTTGATGACAAGTCCCAGTATTGTATTCCCTTCCTGCTGGGGAGATTGGAACTCCACCGTGCCCGATATGCAAGTGACCCCAATCCGCCCCCGTTCTTTCTGGGGTTGAATGGCGTCCAGGGAGCAGGGAAGACAGTGCTGGTGAGTGTAGCTATGGTCAACCAGCCACGTCCCAACTGTAATTATTGAGAAGGTGGAAAGCACATACCTAGAGAATTTTGTTCAATTCATCACTGGGAGTTAAACTATGGCGTAGTTCCGCTCGTCTGCTCCGCCCCCGCTGACCCCCCCCTTCCAGGTGACAACCCTCCGCTCCACCCTTTCCGCTCCGCCATACAACCTTCCCACCATAGCTTTCTCCCTCGATGATATTTACCTCACCCATGAAAGCCAACTCCGTCTTGCGGCTTCTCACCCCAACAATCCTCTCCTCCAACATCGCGGTCAGCCTTCCACTCATGACATCTCGCTTGGCAAGCAAGTATTTGACTCTCTAAGGAAGGGATTGCCGACGAAAATCCCAACCTATGATAAATCTGCTTTCAAAGGCCAGGGTGATCGACTGCCAGAAGATCGTTGGGAAGTAGTTAATGATGTTGAGAACGGCGGGCGAAAAGCGAAAGTGGTGATTTTCGAGGGTTGGTGTCTGGGGTTTCGAGCGCGGCTACCAGATGACATACGCACCGCTTGGGAAAATGCTGTTCAACAGAAAGCGACCGGTACCTATGATGGCCAATTAGCCAACGTCAAGCTAGAGGATGTGTTAGCGGTGAATGAGGCGCTGAAGGGATACGATGCGTTCACAGAGTATGCCACATCCCTGCTCTAGTCATTTGAACCATGAAACATGGGATGAAGACTGACGGCTCTGCAATTAAGCCAACTTGACGCATTCATACATATGTACGTCCCCATTACCAAACACATATTCCACCAGTTACCTTAATACGGATCTACTAACGTACTTCCTGATATTTAGCGACGCCGAAGACACCCACTACGTCTACGATTGGCGTCAAGAGCAAGAACGCACGCTCCTAGCCACAAAAGGTACCGGCATGACCCCAGATCAAGTCACACAATTTGTCAATGGCTGTCAGTCACACTATGCCTTTTTTTTTGTTTTCGTGTAGGTCCCTTTTAAGTCACATTCGGCTAACGTGAGAGATAGACTACCCTTCCTACGAGCTTTTCACACCAGCTCTTCGAAACGGAGTATTCAACCCTGCTGGGCGTGCCTTGTGTCCTGGAAACGAACATTCTGCGCTATCATGGAAGGGAAAACAACTCCGACTCATCGTTGACCGCCAGCGGAGAGTGTCTAAAGCTATTACGATATGAGTTCATCCACTCTATCCTATATTCAATGTTTCATGGTGGATCGAGTGTATCATTCCTCGTCCCCGAGATAGAGTCATAAAATATGACAGTATATACATCGTACAACCATGACTGAGTAGAATTGTACATGACATTAGCGGGATTATTTTGGCTCAAGTTAGTTCCCGCGAACATAATACTGGAACCAAAATCTAAAGTCCAGGAGAGCAGCGCGCCTTGAAGAAATAGTACTTACAATATCGGTAGACCGCAACCTCCAGCGCTGGCAAAAAGCTATTTCAGTTGTATTTGGCGACAGAACGGGGAAAAAAAAAAAGACCAAACGAAATGAGCTGACTCGTCAATATATGTTTACCAATCAACTCGAAGACCAAAACCCAACCAATGCTTGGGATATCAAAGGCCAACTCATGCACGCCAGTAATGAAAAAAACGAAGTCTTAGAAAAATGAATTCATAGGTGGGCTTTATACAACTGCAGCGCCTTGACGGTCCGATTAATCACCCTTCTTCCTATCCACATCTCCCAACCGCATCCCACGACCACGTTCCTCGCTACGGGCATTGGACATATCTGATGTAAAGGGGGCATGTCGGCGAGTTTTTCCGGTCTGTCTAGGCGCTGGTGTAGTCATCCTACTACTCTCTGGCGCCTCACTCAACTCAATCAAGTCACCGTTTCCTCCGATTCCTAGGTGACCATGTGGCTGGATAGGTTGTTGTAATTCATTGAGCCCAGCCTTGGCCTTTGTTGCAACTTTGCGGAACCAGCCTTCAATCGCTCCGCCAATATTTTCCAGACCGGTTGTAGAAGAGGTGGATGCGGAGTCAAAGGACATCCGGTCATTGGGCCCGAGAGAGGTACCTGCCATGTGAGGTTGTTGCGAAGGAATGACCAGATTCGGTAGATGGGTACTAACAAAAGCATTGAGTTTATCAGGTGCCGGTCCAGGGCCAATGGCATTGCGGTCTAGCGTGCCGACACCACCAGGCCCAGACAATACGATGCTGCGACGACTCGGATGAGGAGAGACTTTTGAGCTTGATGTTGATCGGTCACGGAGCCGTGAGGTAGGTGAGTGGGATAGATCTCTTTGTGTTTGACTCCTGGATGGGGACATATCGAGATGAGAATATGGTTCGGAAAGAGTTTGAGATTGTCGGCGACCCCTAGCGAAAAATCCCAAGGTCCTTTTGGGAATTCGACCAAGCTCGAGTGGCGAGGGGAATCCCTCCACTTGTACCCAACTTTCATGTCTCCACATAGGTGTGCTGGCAGGCGCTTTTTCTAGTTTAGAGGAAGAGAAGGGATCGTCCAATCCACGAGCGGATCCCCCATATCCGGAAGCATTGGTAGGAGAGGGAGTTGGAATCAAGGAGCTATTATCCTCAAGTGAGTCAGTTGAACCGCCTCTCTTGGGATTCAACTGGTCGACCTGATCAGATGAGATCCTTCTTCCCTTCAAAGTACACGACGCAACCGGTAAAACAACAACTTTTCTAGACTGCACGCTATCGCTTGGCCAAAACCCATTGGCTTTCCTCAAAATGGGAAGTGGACAACCGTAACGTATAGAAACACCGGTCAGACTGTCAGTAGGCTGTACAACGTGTACATAAACTAACGCATCGCCGTCATCCTGCTCGACCGGCCGCGCTGGCGAGGGAGAGTAAGAATTATCTAGTGAAATTCGCCTTTTATAATTCCCTTGGCTATCGGGGACAGCATCTCCATTGGCCTGCAATAATAGCTCCCTTTTCTTCAACTGTATAACGGCTTGTCGATCTTCCTTTGACCCAGGGAGAATTTGGGTGTCGTTCAGACCAGGGGGTCCCCAAGCCGATGGTAATCCGGGCCGCCTGCAACCTTCATCATGGACAGGGGCAAAGGAATCAGACTCAGAAGATTTTCTTCGCCGGTATCCATTCAAAGGCGACCTATTCCTTGACTGATTACCATCTATCCCCAAAACTGCCGAGGCTAATCCTTGAATTGAAGACCAGGACGAATCCAGCAGATCCGCCGCAAAACCGGTAGATTTCTTCCCCTGGGAACTTGCCCGACCGGCCCCGGCCCCTAATCCATTGGCAAAAGACCCGAGACCCGGTAGCGCCGAAGGCGTCCGAGAAAATAGGTTTCGCGGTGCTGGGGACGTCGCCCGAGAGGAATACGGCGAAGGAGACGGATTTCTCGAGCTCGAAATCGTGCCGGTTGTGGTGGGATGCAATCCCCCCTGTTGTACTACCGAACCTTTCGCTGAACCACTCGCTTCATTTTCGCCATCTTCCACAAACGATATTAACCGCCGGTTCCGCGGACGAACAGTTAAATTGGCAGCTGACGTGGCAGAGCTAGAACTCGCTCCTGCTCGACGAGGTGAGGAGGTAGAGGAACGAGAGTTAAATGTACCCAGTGGATTTCCGTCACTGCTCATTCCTATATCTCCCCCAACTACCTTGGTTTTATCTTCCTATCCAATTGGATTCGTAAAAAGCCTGAGAGAGGAGCGTACTCAACGGGAGCTGGGTTGGTAATGATGTAGGCCTTCGTCTTCTTGACAGATGAGCGTGGCTTCGGCATAGGGTGGAACAAGGAGACGATGAAATCCGTTTTGTCTTAGGCCGCGGATGGACAAAGGTATTGTGGTTGTAAGATTTGGGTGGAAGGCTGACTTCTTTCACGCAAATATCATTGCGGTTGAGTACGCAATAGTAAGGTAACGGACGACGGAGAAATAGTCATTGAGGTCGCTGATCAAGGGCCAGGATTCGTCGTCGGATCAGCGTGTAAGGACAGGCTAGCATGGACGACGGTGGCCGCGCCGTAATTCAACCGCATCAAGAGCAGCAGGACACCTAGAGCAATCAGACTTTCTAGAGAAAATCCTTGGAGAGCTGGACAGCGAGAGAGAGATCAGCTTGAACCCGCCTTTATGCTTCGGCCCGCCGCTGTGCTCGATTTCGGCCATCCTGTTGTCGAGGCGTCATGGCTATTTTAGGAAACCAGCCCCGCTTAGTCATGGCTACTTTCGGACAAACATAATTCCTCCCCCACAGCCACGCGAACGTTGGCTGTGTCCCTGGCTGCCACGGGTGCGGGGGAAGGAAGCCCTTAAATGCCACGGTGACGAGGGGTGAATGGTATTCAGATGCTAGGAGGAAGGGGACATTAAGAGGCCTATGACATAGGGGAGCGATATGTATTATCATGGCCTGATATGTCTCTGGACTACAATGGAGCCAGCGATGCGAACTGAAGAAATGCTCTGTATTGTACTTCAAAGATGAATTATATAGGGCTTTTTCATCGCAAACAAACCCGACAGGAAATTTGTACGGGAAGTGTAAAAAAGGCTACATAAGCCAGAAAAAGAAAATAATAAATAAAAGAGGAGAGCTGGCAGTGATATTGGAAAACGATCGAATTTGCGTCCGATAACGCCTCCTAGGACTCCGCCGCAGGGTTCAAACAAGTTCACCGGCTATTAGTCCCTAAACATCACAGAAATCCGTTTTCTGCAGGCAATTTCCAACGAGAACGTCACAGGATACACTATATGAATTACCACGAGCAAGAACATGCTTCAAACTCCAGGACACTTCAGACGAGACGAACCACAGCCGAACGAGGGATCAGTTCACATCTGATCTATCCCTAGGCTGTCGATGCCATTAATCCCAAAGAATTGAAACCTAGAACGAGACGTTAGCAAGAACAGACGGTGAGGTATACCATCGAGGAAAAGGATCAAAGGTGAAATGGTGATATGATGGGCGCCAGCGTACCAATCTTCAACGTTTAAAGTCGGAGGCACAACGGGCCCCTGACCTCGCGAACTGTTGCTCCAATTATCATCTTGACTTGAGGCGTCTATGTGCATATTGCCGTCAAACACCCATGGCTGGGTCTGCATCGCCATCCCAGGTTGCAAATGCTGCTGATGCCCCATTGCTCCCATCCCCGGCATGCCTTGCATCATTGTGGGACTTTCATGCGGTGCACGTGGCCCTCGTGATGGAAGATGTTGCTGTTGCTGATGCATTCCCATTGCCTGTGAACCCATTCCAGTTGGTTGCAAATGCTGTGACATATGCAGCTGTGGATCAACCGCATTTCCAGAAGAGGGTGAAAACCCGGTACCGGTTATATTTGTTCCATCTGGAAACAGTTGATCCGGTTGGAAATTCTCCCAAAGGGATTGTGATAAATTAGGCGAATTTCGGGTGACAAGGAAAAAGTCTGGAGGAGTAGTAGGCATGGAGAACGATGGGTTGAATGGAGATGTTGGGCGGGTATTAACCCCATGGCCTGACGGACCCAAGAGGCCATCTTTGGAGCCCCGATGATGGGGTTGTGGGGACATTTGAGTTGCGCCCGTGGTAGCTATTTGGGCGGGTTGCATAGAAGGCGTAGCGGCTGGCGTTTGCGGGCGTGACCGTTCGTACGAGACTTGATGGGAGGGAGGACCGTTAGGAATGGAAATATCCAAGTCGTCGAACTTGCGCTTCGGAGGTTCGGGCTTCTTCGGCGGATGAACGACATCTTTCTTGGACTTCTGCTTCTGATGTCGTTTTCCTGCAGCTCTCTGGAGGCGTTCCTCTAGTGCCTTGTTTCCGAGGATGGACTCAAAGAGAGTGCAAACCATCTTGGCGACCAGCCAAACTTTGGAAACATCCTTCAAAGCCTGCATGCAGACACCGATCCTGTCCTGCGTTGTAGAGACAACGCTCGGAACAGCCGACCGCATCTGATAAACGTGCATAATTAGGGCAGAAAACAAACTATAGACACTGCCAAGCTGTCAGTGTGCTTTCCAATCTTCCGCAATAAGGATCAGCGATGGAGAACTTACATAAATGCAGGAGTATATTTAAGTTGATCGTGGGCCTGTAAATTTTCCACTATCGATGTAATCATGGCAGCAGCCTGAAAAGCGATAGTGCGCGATGGATAGGCCAATCCATCAGCGGAAGTAGTGTGTGCACCGGTGGCAGGAGGCATATGTGCCCGATGTAATAGACACAAGGTTGTGCTGAAAGGGTTTTGGTCAGTAACGAGGAATGGACGAAAAAATGGAGGGCCACCACATACTAGTAGTGCGAATGCAGCAGAGCCGACCAGAAATGATGACGATTTCTATCCCAGTACACTTCTCTAGGACAATTCTGCAGCCAGTCTGCCAACGCCATGTCACTGTGAGTCAAATCCATCGCATTCGTCCTCCGATATTTTGAAGCAACCGAGTATTGCTGTGACAGCACAAGGCCCATAATCTCGCATAACTTAACGTACTGCAGGAAGAACTGGACGTGAGTCGGATCAGGGGGGGACTCGGCCGGAGAGTCAGCTTCATCTTCAATGAAATCGTCCTCCGTAAGCATCTCCACGTCAGAGTCGTCGATGTTGATATTAACAGGTCGTCCCAGGGCGACAGCAACAGATCGATCTCGTGTGAATAGAGTCCACCAAATTCTTTTCCATAGTCTTTTATCCGCTCTGCTAAGCTGTGATGCTTCAACACTATTCAAACTGTGAGTGAACGGAAAACAAAGCGGGGGCAAAGGTAATGCCGACCTTCGATGCATGCCGGATCCTTGTGCGACGATTATAGCGACTCGAGTCCAATAAAAGACGTTCTTGGTGACGTCTGATAAAAAAAAGGGTATTAATACTCTGACTGTGGTAAGTGTAAGAGAGAATGATGCCTACCTTCGGGACCCTCCCAGTACCAGCCCATCAATACCAAGGCTTGAACGATAGTCACCCTATCGTCTTCATAATTGGCATCGAAAAGGGATTTCGCCCGTTTATAGAATGTAGTTGCAGCCGGGGTAGTCGACCCATTCGCATCCATTAACTGCGGATTTGTGCAGACTCTCGAGCCAGCGAGAAGTACCGCCTGTAGGAGCAGAATCGAAGGGGGGTTCTTGGGATCTCGATAGCGCTTCATGAAGCGACTGCGGTTAATTATAGGAACAGCGGGTGCAACCCATTTGAAATATGCGTCGACCAGCTCGTCACAAAGCGACCGTGGCGGGAGAAGGAACGCGCCTCGCTGATGTAGAATGTCGATTTCGAGACTATCTAATTCGGTGAGCCGGGCCCTCGGGCCTCTAATGCTCTCAGGAAGAGGATAGTGAACGACGTCCGTGGTCCCGTGTCGGTCGTGGACTAATATGGACAGATTCGATGATTCTCCAAGGTATGCCACTCGACCAGCTTCCGTGATCGGCGCTCGCGCAAACTTCGGTTTCATGAATTGGGCATAAGAGTGGTTCTGTTGAGCCTGTTGGGCAGCCTCGGCTTCTGTCAAGGAGGTGACTGGCATTCCATCAACAGGCCTGCTCCGTGGGCCTCCAGAACCCTCTCTTTGAGTGGGCTTCGCGCCGGTAGAGCCGCTTTCGTCACTGTGTAGAGAAACAATGGGATATTAGTCGCACGGCATTGGGAATGAGGAGGCCTCACATACTTGGCTGCATCTTTAGCTTTTTGGTTCTTCTTTCGCTTGGGAGTCGGGATCTTGCATTCGATGGAGAAGGCGACGCAGTTGGTGCAGGGCACACCAAGACTTGCAGCATCACACCGCACCTAAACCAACAACATCGAACAGTAGCAGTCAGCACCACACAACAATATCCAAATAAGCTGACATCACATCAAGTACCAGCATCAAGCAAATAAATTGATGACGGTGTCATGGGGTAGAATGGAGGGGGAAGTCTAGAGGCGGCGAGGTGCGGTCAGGCGAAGGGAATTTTGTTAACAGCACTAACCTTCCTAGCATGACATGTCTATCGCCATCAAGATTATCCTTGTTAGCCACGTTTTATCCATGTTGCATTCGGCCTTCCTTTATCTCCATCATCGCTCTCATCAGGTTGGGACGAGAGCGAATGGTTGGTGAAGAGGCAGGCCGAGGTGCCGAGGCTCAACGCCAGAGCAAGCCAAAAAGATCGCGTTGATCAAACACGAAGCGCAGAACATACCTCACAAGCTCGCGACGCACGTTGTCTAGAATATAAATACGATGATGGTCAGCTAAAAAATTACTCTAAAAACTCTCCAACCGTGCTCCATCGGAAGAAGCGCTTCAGTGGGTTTGATGGATTTGTCCCAGGCCCCTCGCGTCCAATCTGCACCATCTTGTCCTTGCATCGATAAGGAAATCTGATAGCAATGAAAACAGCTGCCAACCAAAGGCGCAGTGACTCACCTTCGAAAACTAGGGTGGCCAGAAGAAGTTGTCGGCGTTGCACCAGCGCCAGGTTTAGGAGGATTCGCGGATGGCTTTTCGCCTTCGACGTCTGCCTGGACTCCAGGGTCTGCGTCCGCCGCTGGTGTGACGGTCGAAGTAGGTGCCGTTATTGGTGCTGATGGCTCACGGTCAGTCATTTCTCGATCGGATTCAGGCTCGGTTCCAGCGATGAGTTGGCTCATGGCGGCGTGGGAAGTTTGAGTCGTCAGAGAAGGCGATCACCCCCATCCAAGAAGGGCAGCCCGCTAAGCGAATTGTCTGGTAGGAGGAGGTTGGCCCTATGTGTAATTATGGTTGTAAAAATTAAAATATCGCCCAAGCCGGATGGGACGAGAAGAAGGTCGCAGCCGGAGTCCGTAGGAGGAAGAGGATATGTGTGAATTGTTTTGCGATGGATCCTGGGTATGGGCGATGGTCCTTTTTTGGGATGGGGCTCCTCCTGTGGTGGTAGATTTGCTACAGCTCAAGGTTTCCCGGTGGTTCTAGTCATTCGTCCCAGTTTTATTCCCCTTGCAGGCATAGCGATCAGCAGAAAAGAGGAATAAGCCAAAACACGACGCTAGGCATTTTGAATAAAAGGATACAGAGCGTTCTTTGGGGGGGGAAGAAGAGAGGGAAAAGTGGACTGAAGGCTTTGGGGGTTGATCAAGAATCCCCGATGGCGTGGCGACCTAAACAAGGATTAAGGATAATAATATTTAAGCAGCAACGCACCAAAGTCAATAGTTGACTTCTTATATTGTTTAACGAGAAGACACAGAGAGAGAGAGACCTGGATCCATAAGAAACGAGAGCACGTTGACAGAACGCCCTTCGAACAGACCAACGCTGGAGCGCACCTATATGGGCGCGGGAGCTATATTAGCATCGTCGAATATCACCTCCGCAGTGCGTTTCACGAGGGACGAAAGCCCACCACCATGGCCAAACAGAAACCGTGAAAAATTCGCGATCAACTACGGAGTACTCCCACAGCTCTGGGCAACTATATAGCTACTGACTCCTACCTAATCATACTGAAGGCTCCCAAAAAAAAAAAAAAAAAAAAAAAAAAAGAAAAGGATCTCGGGCAGGGAGAGTCTTTTCAAAACCCGATGTTGGCATTGGTGCTAGTTTGAGGACAAGGATGGATCCTCTTTGATCCCCTCGTGAGCTAGCGAGAATTAAGACGACTGGATTTTTTGGCGCTCTCCTTTCCTGCGCAACGTCGGGGAGGCCTCGAGCCCTGACGGATGCTGATCCTCAAGCACCTCTGTAACCACACTTCCATGCATCCCAACTTCCATCGCGCCCTCACTTCTCGAGGACATGGACTCTACGATAGATCTACCCGGGGTGGCGGGTCATCGGCGTTAATCCCCTAAATGTGAACTGCGTGTACATCCATACAGGCCCCATTGAAAGCCTGGCTGTGCGAAGAGGATCTTCAAGGTATGTACGGAGTACTCTGTACTCCGTACATTATGCCCGAAATGCAAGGATCATGACAGAACCCAGACAGAGAGTCTCAGACACGGACACTTTTTGCTTTTTCCTCAGTCTTCTCTTTCAACTGCCCCCCTTTTAATCTTCCTTTTCCAAGATCTACTCAGGAGTTATACTTCTACAACCTGACTTACGACGCCGAGGATAAATTGACCAGGCAGTGTAACCTCCCGAGTGTGGACGTGCAGAACGGTGCGGCTCTGACTGGGCCAATTGCTCTTTCATTCTGCTGTGCGATCCGAAATCTCCTCACAGTTACTCCGCGCTTAAACATGGCACCGTTGAAGAGCAGTCTAAGATCTCATGAACCCTCCCCGGGAGATTCCGTTAAAACACGGATCCGAACCGTAGGGTCGATCGATTGGCTTGGAGGACTGATCGTGTGTCCGTTGGAAATTGCCCAGGATGCTCTTCCACTGGCGGAGTTCGTTTATTCGAGGGTGCAGCCGCTAGCTCATCCTCAGCCAGAAACTGGCTGGCAAACCCACCATTCACACGAGTGGCAAACTAAGCTAGCATCCAGGGGTGAATGCTTGGCCTCTTCACATGCCGAACTACTGACCCTCGCCTTATGGAGAATGCATATGACAACTCGTGCAACTGCTTCAGATCTGATCCCACAGCTTCTTCAGCCCTCTATACCTAAACCCATTTGACGTCTACCCGTCTAGGCTTTCAGTGTTACCTACTAAACTATTCCCAATGAGGTGTCTAATATCTGGGGTTTCGCATCGTGCTTCCCAGTATCGGGTTACATCTTCGACGCGCCAGTCAGTGCCTGCATCGACTCCGCACAAGACCAGCAGGGTCCTCCGTACGAAAGAACAGGAATCCCCCACATTATGGCGGGATGTGTCCGAGAGCCTGAGCCAGCCCTAAATGCTTCATCGGAACCTGTTTCTGGCCTGGCATCTCGCCCCTCAAACAAGCCCGTCTTCGTGGTGGAGTGCGTGCTGGGCCATATAAACCAACACATTCCCCCCACCGCTCTGGTTGGCTTCCTCCCGGTCCTCTTCCCTTTTGCTTTGCCCAACCCCGCCAGCTTACTTGACCCGTTACTCTCCGATCCCCCACCTTTCTCTTCTCGAGATGCATTTTATGCCGGGCGGATTTGCTCTTGTATCAAGTGAAGACAACATGATTACGGAGTACAACCGCTTGTTACAAGGCTGACGAAATAACAAAACCGTGGAAGACTTCACATGCTGGTATGTCAGCCCAGTGTTTGGAATCCGAGACTCGCCTGAAGCCTGGATCCTTGAGTCATTTGCAGGTTCACTGCAACCAACTCTATTTGTCACCTTTCCTTCAAAGACTTGAGTAGAGTCTCCGCTGCAGTGCCATCCGCTCCTATTAAGTGAAAACAGAGAAAAACTAAACAGACAGATAGTATTACATTCATACTCAACGTACTGTTTTTGTAAAGCAAATATCAGAGTGTCGTATAGCATAAGTGTGGAGATATTTCGCCATTGCAACACCATCAATCCATTACCCATATGCCGACACATAGCATAATCATCACGTCTAACAACTCAGGAAACCGGAATGGTGCAGTATTTAGAGTATGTATTCCATGGTAAGTTGCTAAATGTGCAACATTTCTCAGTGTGAAGCAACTCTACCTCTATAGTCTGTAAGTTGGGGGTGCGGCCACTCCAGAGCGTCCCTTTTTCAACGCTGTTTTAAGCCCGTATGTACTCCACGTGCCGGCTTCCCAGAGTGAGAAGCTTCGATTGCCTGGCCTGGTCTTCAAATACCGTACAAGTACGGGTCCTTCACTTTTGCACCCATCAGCAGCAGATTATGGCTGGTTCTGTAGAGGCTAAACAGGTTCACCTTTCTGAGCTCTCCATTATCCGAAATATCCATTCATCAGACAGCTCGAAGATCTTCCTAGTCAAATATAAAGGCGCGAAATATTGCCTAAAAGTGGTATGTCAAGAACCAAATGCAGTGTTCTCGTATGGGCCATAATTTACAGAATTGATTTCCAGTTTCATGTCAACAACGTCCCGGGATTTACCTCCACAGGCCGAGATCTCTGTCGCTATCGTTGTGAGATCGAGGCATACAAGCTCCTCTCAGCAGCGGAAATATGCGAGCAGGGCTTTGTACCTAAATTTCACGCGTTATTTGAGGATATTGACCCACTTACGCCCACACTGACATCACATCTCAACGCTTTCCTTGGTGATCTCCACCATCCCTGCGCTATATTACTTGAGTATCTTCCCCATGCGGAGCCTTTGAACTGCGAAAACTACGCCCGAGATAGGATCCAAAAGGCCATCCAGGGTATCACAGCTGTACACCACGCACGAGTTGTGCATAATGACCCATACCCAAATAATGTGTTGATTGTTCCCGGAGCGGCAACCAATGGAAGTGATGACCGAGTTGTATGGATCGATTTTGATATTGCCCTTAATTTCGGGTCTGAGAAGGTTGGTGGGAGGTTACAGTATGATGAAAGCATAGAGAATTTCACACATATTTGACCGAGAGGCAATATATTACTTGGCATGACATTCTCTCTTTCTGGGCAAACTACCTTGTGCTTCCTTTCTGAGGCTGGAATTTTCCAGGAAACCCTCAACTCAAATCAAAAATAATGCAGGCCAAGGTCAGAATACCATCGGATACTTGGAAAGGCTGAACTCAAGCGAATGCGCACAGAGATATCATAGGAACAAAAAAAAGAATACTAATGAGTGGGTTTACTTGCACTGTGCATTTCGCCCACTTCATTTTGAACTCTATGATAGTTTAGGTCAAGATATACAAGAAGGCATGATTCATTCTGACCATGCATATGTCACTATCCGCGCCCGAACAACAGCAGCTGCCTCTATGCAAGCAAAGTATGCCAACAGAATGAAGATCTGGTAAGAGGCCCATATCCACTGGGAATGAGACTTCTTGGTGTGAGAGTGGTTTGAAAACCAAAATTCAATCATAGAGAATGCTGAGACCACTGACAAAGCATACCATGCCTGCCAACCGAAAGACCAGAGAGTGAACAAAAAAGTTGCAACAGAACTCATTTGTTGTAATGTAGTGGTAATTCTCAAGATGATAACGGTTTCCTCCAAGAAAAGCAGCCAACAAAACCTTTTAGGACTGGCTTTATATAGTTACTTCTATGTTCCTCTCAGTAGAAGGTCCAAATTCTCAACCAATAAGTTGCAAGCTACTACTCCTGGGAGAAAAGTTTTACAGCTAAATGTTATGCATAGGATGACTCCGAAAAAGCTGCCCTTGAACTCATTCATATCATGAAACTATAATTGTTCCCATATTACTGATGGTGCTAATATTGGCATATCATTTAATGCTATAAGTCTTATTAGCATTTGAGCAACTTTAACATTTACTTTGAATTTGTTCCTAACAAGGTGCATATCTCTGGAATCAGTAATTTACTCTTTCAGGCTCTCAAAAAACAGCCTCCCCCTTCGCCCAGAATACCCACATTCTTTTTTTTTTTTACAGATTGGGGAGACATCCCTCTGCCTGGCTTCTTGCTATACAATTTTGCCATTGTTCATATCTTTGATATCTCTACAGCTGGGGTATATGTTGACATTATTCTTCAAAATATAGAAGAATGTGTTCAGGAGGATGAGCTTAATGACCTAGATTGTCTAGTAAGGCTGAGGCTACGCAGTTGGTGAGACATGCGCAGACACAACTGGGCATACAGCAAGACGACGCTGGATTGGAATTGCGGTGCACTTATTTCATACCATCTGCAAATCGTAGCCCTAAGTCTTCTACAGGCACGGGTTGTGGACACAAATCGTACTGGTTTGTATGAGCTCATATATGTCTCTTTCCTGGCATCAGAGTATTATTGCTATTGTTGGACGCTTCCTACTCTTCTTGACTGTATTACCGAGTTTATCTGTAATGGCTGCTGTCTAGATTAGATTGAACTACGAAATCTGTTATGTATAATTGTTCTAAGAGATGTTCTCAAGCCTGTCATCAGCAATGGTTGCTTGTACCCTTGTGGTTCAAACATGCCTTAATTGTACCGACAATGTGCCACAATGAATTTGTATTTCCAATGACTTCCTTTCCCCCCTAGCATTCCAAATGCTATCATAGATGTAATACTTTACAACCTTTTCAACGTACACCTTTCATATGAAATTGTTTAGAGATATGCGTCAAATGCGACATTCTATAGGTCTTTGCCCAAACTCTATATGGAGACAGATATTTTAACACCAAAATTACAATTTCCCAAGGAACCTGATCAGGTGCCCGCATATAAAAATTAAACAAGACAATAGAGAAAAAAGATTATAAAGTTTTAATTGACCACTTTTGCCGTACGGTCGGTGGAAGATACGAGTCCATTTTCGACAAAGCCATGCTTCCCCGGGATGTTGGGTTTTGACGAAGATCCTCTGGCTGGCTCGTGTAACTTCCCATTTGTCTCGACCGAAACGTTTGGCTCGCCCAGTTTGCCAGAGGATACGCGATCATCGCTTCGAAACTCGATTCCCGAAATGAAGACCTCACTTAGGAATTCTAACCCTGCCACAAAGACGGACATCCCGCTCGCAATACAAAAGTGGCTGATGGTTGTTCCGATATCAAGCCAGCTCCCTTCGTCTCGAACCATATAAAAGAAGTTCAAGGTCATCACGTCGCTAATTGACATAACGATCATGAATAAGGCGGACGGAGCGACGCCTAGGCGGTGATTGAGAATGCCGAGATTCGCGCTGATCACGGCGAATGGGATGAGGATCTTGAGAATGAGGAGGGCGCCCTGGGAGAAGGGATTGAAGATAGGGATGAGGCGACAAACGCTCTCAAGAGAGAATGAGGAGATAGAAGCGATGTTTCCAGTGCTGAAAAATGCGGACTGTAGGAGGAAAAGGAAAAAGAGGGCGATGCGGGCATCGGAGACGGTTAGGCTGCGGTGCCTGCGATTTTGGATTGCGGTAGAGAGTGAAACCCGAAGGCTCTCTGTCCTCCCGTTCGTGATTCCCTGATCGGTAGGTGTTTTGGAGGTCGTATGGTAGCTCGACGTATGTAGGTATATGCTGTGTTCAAGTCTCACCCATGTGAGAAGCGATACACAGAATGTAAAATAGAAGAGTCCTTCGTAGGAGATGGTGAGGATGATAAACGTCGGTGAGAATGCAAGGAAGAGTATGATAAGGCGATGAAGATAATGGCTATTTGGATAGAGTTTGTGCACGAAGGGGAGCAAAAGCGAAGAAACTATAAAGAGTTAGCAATTGAAGGTGAGTAGAGGGTCCGTAAACTTGAGTTACTGCATACCCATAATGATCCATCCAACAATTTGATTGCCAAATGGTAAACCCTTCTTAGCTTGTATTGATGCAATACTTGACCTTGTAACAATAATGGCGAGTAGAATCAGGCCGACCTAGAAATTCGTTAGCCAGATAAGCACAACGTAATACGCCTACAGGGGATGCCGGTGACATACTTGAATTCCCATAACAATGCGTGATCCCTTGCGAAGGGAGCCTTTTGCGGCCTGTTTCGATTGAAGGGTGATGCTCTCCTCAAATGCGAGGTAGAGAAGGCCCGTGGCAAACATAAGTGCGCCTCCAAGGGTGCTGCATATTTGTTAGGACCCAGTCGAGTTAATATCGTTGGGTCACTCACATTGTATTCGAGCTTTCAATTTTGATCACTGGGAGAAGAGTGAAAACACTCAATAAACCACACCCAATAACCCAAGTAGAGACAACGACTTTGTTGCGAGAGAGGAAGTCGAATCCGTAAAAGGCCGGCCAAAAACAAGCAATTAGATAACAGGCAGTGTAGATCTCTCGGTGAAAATAAGATTGAACAAGAGCCTCTAATACTCCAATATATATCATTAACTGGAGTAAGAACGAGAAATAACCCGAAAATGTTCGAATATGGCCTAAGAGGATCTGTCGTCCGGCTTTAAGCGCGTCTCGCCTTGCAACAACTTCTTCCCAGAAAAATACTGGGAATATGGCATATGCATAATAACGCCAGGAGGACTTCTGAACCCATAATACGGAGTATAGACCAACCAGGACGGAAGAAAAAAATATCGTGGTGAAGGTAGTCCGGACAGATTGAGAAGTTTGGTGTAAAACATGGAGGTCTATAACGGTGGTTAAAGCATAAGCAATCCATCCAAGATAGCCCGCGGTAACAATGGTTCGCAGGAAGAGCCAGTCGTACGTCTGGAGGTAGCGCAATCCGTCCAGTGCCTCCTCTAATAGTCTTGATGAGTGACTGATTGCTTCCTCGTATTTTTGCTTAGAAATTAGCTTTTGGATTGCGGATACCTGGGAATCTGGCGAACTGTCGGGGCTGGCAAATGGCCCATATGGCTTGTACCGTAGTGTAGAAGACCTCTTGTGCTCCTCCTTCACGTGGTATATTTCAAGGACTCCTTGAGCGTTGGCCAAAGCAGCATTCGCCTTCTCCTTTAAAGTCGCATCGATATAATCAAGTGGAAGCTTGCCCACGGAATTGGCAGGAAAGTCGAGCCCAGCCAAATAAGCCATGAGGGCAGCAACATCGGCCTGAGCAACGTCATGCCGATGAACATGGTCCAGGTTCCAGTCCGATGAGAAACCGTCTTCGTGACCGGGAGCAACTCCCCAATGGGAAATTTTTGGTTTAGCGACCCCGGAGCCCCAGACAACAAGTGGCGTACGGGTGTTATCTGGGTGGCCATCACCATGGCTACCCCAGTCACTCATACCGTGATCAGCGGTGAAAACGAAGGCAGTTTCATCATCACCGTAGAAATTCTCAACTAATTCAGTAATTTCACGGACTCCTTGATCGACAACTTTTATGTTGTGTAGATATTCCCTTGAGTATGGTCGATAAGCATGACCGGACGTGTCCAGACCCAAGAGATGCAGGAAAAAGACTAGCTTATCGTCTCTCAACCTTGCATTCAGCTCCGGATCCTCTTTTGCCCTTGAGAACAGCGCTTTCACTTTATCAAACACCCATATATCCAGCTTTGTTGCATCCTGGGTGAAATCCTCGGCCTCCTCACCGTATGTTTCCGCATCGATTCTTCCAGGAACGGCACCCTCCTTAAACATAGGAAGGATATCCGGGCTCCCCCAGCTCCAGGTATGCCTACTGCGATTGAAGACACTATCGAAGTTGACTGGATTCAATTTCCAACCTGTTGTAACCGCCGAAACGTCTTCGTACAACCCTGCGATGAGTGCAACATGTCCCGGTCTCGACTCCGTAGGAACGCGGGTGTGAGACACGCCGAATGTACCGTGGTGGAGGACGCGCGAACGGATGAACGGAGCAAGTGGCCTCGGTTTGAGATATTCTCCATCGCAGCTGGAAGCATCGGGGCATGCGTCTGGAGGCGGAGACGGGTCGGGAAAGGATTGGAAAGCCTTGTCAGCACGGAGACCGTCTCCGACAAACAGGAACAATCGCTTCGCGGGTGCTTTGGCTCCGGGTTCGCGCTCCACGCCACAAGGTC